AAGAATATAAACGTAAAATAGAAGAAGTTAAGTAAAAGACCTTGTAGTCCTGAATTTCGATTTGAATTAAGTTCCTCATTAAAAATAAAATTATATTCTAGCTCTGTCAACTGAAGAAGCCTAGACATAATGACCAACTAGTGGCAGTGAATAGCTCTATTCCTAGATTGTATCTTGAAGTTCCATTTCCCTAAAAGAAATGAGGGCTTCTTGGAGAAATGTCTGATTCCAAATTTAGGACAGGAAATGTATAGATAAGCCTGGGCTAGCCTGTCCTACCAGATAGCAAGCAACCTATCAAAGACTAGGAGATGTCAAAAAGACTCAAGAGAAAACTTGAAGATGTTCTCACTTGACCAAAGATGGGACAGTTAAAAGAGATAATAATTGTGACTGATTAAAATCCAATAAATATATTTAAATCTATGAGTTCCTACTGACATTTAAAAGAAAAAACCCTATTTAGTTGCCTTCAGAAGATCACAGGGAATGAATTTATAATCTTGAGTACTAGTAAATAAAGTGAAAGAAGCACACATATGCCCAACCTTTCTTGTATGAACTGTATCACATATGAAATGAGTACAAAACAGTCGATAAGAAGATTGTTGTTTGGTTTTTTTAAAGATTTATTTATTTATTTTAGAGAGAGAGGGCATGAGGGGAGGGGTGCAGAGGGAGAGAGAGAATCCTGAATCAGACTCCCCACTGAGCACGGAGCCCAATGCAGGGCTCAGTCTCAGGACCCTGGGATCGTGACCTGAACCAAAGTCAAGAGCCAGCCTCTCAACCAGTTGAGCCACCCAGGCACCCCGAGGATTGTTTCTTTTTAAAAATGTCCCAATAAAAGAAAATAAATGATTGAATATAACCATTTTGCAATACTCAGTAAATAAATGGACTTAGGCATTAATAATTAGCAGCTGCTAACATATCACCTTCTGTAGTTTTGCCAAAGGGACCAAATGTGGCCTGATCAAACTTCTGGATCCAGCTGCCAATTTGTGGAACGTACAGAGGACAGACCAGTGTGTTGAACTACACTATGAGTGTCTAGTCAGTCAAATCCATGTTGTGGGGGAAATTGCAGGTCAGATGCCCCAGGTTCTAAAAGATGAATTGTGGGGAGACAAGAGGAAAGGGGAAATGGAGAAAAAAACCTGTAGACAAAAAGAGACTTTAAAAAAATTATAATGAACAAAAGTAAGGGATGCACACTTGGGTGGGAAAAACTATAAAGAAACTCAAGGAGGCAATTACTGTAAAAATCAAGATAATGGTTATCCTGTGGGGAAGAAGGCATTGAGTTTAGAAAGGGACACATAGGTGGGCTTCCAGTGTGGTGGGCAAAGTTATTTTTCTTGGCCTGGGTGATGGGCTTTCCTTATAATAACACATTAAACTACACATTTGTTTTGTGTGACTTTCTGAATCGATGTTTTTATTTTATAATTAAAAAATTATGCAAAGACTTCTGCTTCCAAGTAGAATGTAGTAAGTAGTGCCAGCCATCACTCCCACTGCAACAAAAGGAAAAAATGAGAGTACAAATATATATATTTTTTAAAACATCAGAGACATGTGGAAGTAACAAGGACTAGATGAACTAAAATTCCATTGAAGAAAGAGCCCATTTATGTGAACTGAGATCATCGGCTGTTTTCTTCCCTGGGGATATTTGCCAAGTCTGAAGGGTTGAATATTGGACTTGACTTAGGCAAAGGGATTCTCCTGGAGGAGAGTAAATCAGTAGAACTTTTAACAGTCATGCAGGTTGGCATGACAGATAGGAATCTACTGCTGTTTCAAACATACTGCTGTTTTTCTCCATGAGATGCTTGCTGAGTGCTGGGGTAGCTCAGGAAACTAGGAAACTAGGGTGAGTGAAATCTCATGCAACCTGACAGTGCTTAGAAGATAAAGTCCTGCTGTGAGGAGGGGCCTGCAACAAATACAGGATAGCTCTCATCCTTGAGACATTTGAAAGTTGAGGTGGACTGAATCTAATGAAAACTCAATTCCTGATTGGACTGGGGTGATAATATTTCACCCTCCCTGCCTAATACAGGAAAGAGTGAATCCACTGCTGGTGGCCAGGAGGGGTGGGTGCAAGGGCAGTGCAGGAATGAGGGGATAATAACTTCAGTTTCTAGGATTCCATTCCTTTATAATAATGTCCAGCTAAAATAAAAAATTATGAAACATCTGAAGAAACAAAAATATGGCCAGTAGCTGAGAGAAGAAAATAGATAATAGAAGCATATTTATCCACATTTAGGGGTGCCTGGGTGGCTCATTCAGTAAAGTGTTGGACTCTTGATTTCAGCCCAGGTCATGATCTCAGGGTGGTGAGATCAAGTCCCGTGTAGGGCTCCATGCTCAGAAAGGAATTGGCTTGAGATTTTCCCCCTTTCCCTCTCCCTCTGCCCCTCCACCCACTTGCATAAGCTCACTCCCTCAAATAAATAAATCTTTTAAAAAAATAAAGTAAAAAATAAATGATCCACATTTAGAGTTAACAGAAAAAAACTTTAAAATAAGTATAATGAATACATTAGAGGAAAAGATTAAAAATGGATAAAAGGTTGGATAATTTTAATATAGAATTGGAATCTAAAAATAAGATGTGCATTTTACAACTGAAAAATATAATATCTAAAATTAAGAACATTGGAATGAGATTAACTAGACACAATAAAAGTAGACCAGACACAACAAAAGACCGAGTTAATGAACTCAAAGACAGATTAATAGAAACTATCCAAACAGAGGAAGAACAAAGAAAACAGAATGGAAAGAACAGACTGTAAGAGACTCATGGGACACAAACAGTCCAACATACATGTAATTGGAGTCCCAGAAGGAAAGGAGAGTGAGATAAGAGCAGAAGCAGTATTTGCAGATAGAATTTTTGGCTGAGAATTTTCCAAAAGGGATGAAAGATAAACTTTATTCAGAGTGCATGAACGGGGGCACCTGGGTGGCTCAGTCAGTTAAGCATCTGCCTTCGGCTCAGGTCATGATCCCCGGGTCCTGGGTTCGAGCCCCACATTGGGCTCCCTGCTCAGCAGAGAGTCTGCTTCTCCCTCTCCTTCTGCCCCTCCCCTTCCTCTTGCTCGTGCGCTGTCTCTCTCTCTCTCTCTCTCAAATAAATAAACCTTAAAAAAATAAAAGTGCATGAACCTCAGGAAACCATCACTGGACTAACCACAACCTTTCTCCTGGGCCTCCATTCTCCAGTATTTATATTTCTGCTGCTTTCATCTGTGTTAGTTACTACATTCTCAGAATCAGTTTGGAGGTTTTTCCTTAAGAACATGCTCCATCTCCCTCACTTGCTTCTTAAGAGCAAGGTCTGTTTTTAGTATCGTTTATTTTATATTTTCTGCAATATTGATAGAGTTTACTAACAGTTCTGAATAGACTAACAGAACTTCCCACCCACGCAATAAAGTGCCAGCACTATTCCAAGTGATTTTTGTCATATTTCTGAACACTTGTAATTTATCAATCAGGACTCAGTAAAGAAAACAGAAGCCATACCAGTTACTTTAGTAGAGAGAATTTAATATTCAAAAATTGGCTAGCAGATATTGAAGGGCTGAAAAAAACGAAAAGAGGACACTGAAATAACTGTTCCCGATCTGGGAACACGAAGGAGAGAGATTAGAGTTTTGGGAGCCTAGAAGCCTAGAGGAGAGATGCCACAGAGCTGGAACCATCAGCACTGAAGGAGTGGCTGCCCTGAACAGCTATGACACACCGCCGGGAAGGCTTCTCTTCCCGGCTGATTTTGGAAGATTGTATTTTCCGAAGGTAATAACAGTACCTGTCATTTCACATGCTCTGTATCATTTGCCTTTGACACTCTTCTTGTTGAAAAGTGGGATTTACGTTTTCTCCCCTTGACTCTGGCTGCCTTACAAGAATGGCCGAAGTGGTACTATGTGTGTGACTTTAGAGGCTAGGTCATAGAAGATGCATCTTTTACTTGGATCTCTTGGGGCCCCTTGGAAGCTTTGAGCTGTCTGAGGTCATGCTGCGAGGTCTACATGGAGAGACCCTGAGGCTACTTGGAGAGATGCCCAGCCAGCCACCCGCTGCTTTAGCACTCCAGCCCCAGCCACAGTTTGATAGCAACCACATGAGACACTGAGCCAGAACTTCCATGTGAGGCCCTCCCCAAATTCCTGACTCATGGAAACAGGAAAGTTAGTAAAATTATCTTAAGTCACTGAGTTTTGGGGTGATTTATACAGCTGTAGATAATTGGAACACTGGTACTCTTACCTCAGGAGCTCCGAGGAGGTGCCTCACAGAGCCATGACTAAGACCTCCAAGAAGCACAACAAGGCTAGTTTTGTGCCAGGAAAAGGCTAGAAACTGAAATTGGCAGGTTTAGTCAGAGTGAAAGGGCCATTGCTGAGACAACACTAACAGGATTGGCAAGAAAACAGAAAGGAGTCTGTCCCTTCTCCTCCCCTAGACTTCCAGCAGCTAGTCCTTCCTCTTGGCAGAATCTGACAGACAGCCAGCTTGGCAAAGGAGAAATGTTTTCAGAGTTCCAGCCCCCGCATCACAAGTCAGAGTATAGAAAACAACTATGGGGCGCCTGGGTGGCTCAGTCGTTAAGCGTCCGCCTTCGGCTCAGGTCGTGATCCTGGGGTCCTGGGACCAAGCCCCACATCAGGCTCCCTGCTCAGCGGGAGCCTGCTTCTCCCTCTCCCACTCCCCCTGCTTGTGTTCCCTCTCTCGCTGTGTGTCTCTCTCTGTCAAATAAATAAATAAAATCTGTAAAAAAAAAAAAAGCTTAATAACTGACACGGGCACAAATTCTTTTTTTCCTAGTAACTAAGTAAAGTATGTTCGATTCTCACTGTGCATTTTGACCAGAGCAAGTGTATGTATCCAACATGTCTTTAGCATGATTTCATACCTTATGAAAAGGGCCTCACGTCATAAAAACAGGCATGCAGTCTTTGGTTTCTCCCTTACTGCAGGTATGATCCAAAGGAAAACAAATGGACTCGAGTGGCTTCTATGAGCACCAGAAGACTAGGCGTGGCCGTGGCTGTATTAGGAGGGTTCTTATACGCTGTGGGTGGCTCTGATGGGACATCTCCACTCAACACAGGTTAGTCCCTTCCGAGGTCAGTCCGGTTCCCCCAAAGCAGCACATTCCTCAAGAGAGTCCCCCTACAGAAAAGTATAAAAAGTCATGTTATCCTATAATTTTAAGTTATAAATTGTAAATTTAAAATAATTTCTATATTTATGTAAATGATATAATTATTTATAATCTAAATAATTGAAAATTATTTTTCCTTTAGAGTACAACTCCCAACTCTTCCTCAGCTCCTTCTGCAGCCATATTCTTCTAGCATATTCCCAAAATACTTCTTTCTCCCTCCTCTTTATAAGCTTCTAGGAATTTATAATGAATAAAAGAACTATTTTCCTAATATGATTATTTCTCTGCCTCACCCCCAACCATCTCTCCTTAAAAAACCAAAACTAAAAAAAGGACAAAACAAAACCTATATTGTAATCTAAGAATAAATAAAAAGTTATAGCTATAAGCTGGTTTATGTATTAGTCCTTTCTGTTGAGAGATAATGGGTATTTTTGCCTAAGGATATCGTCAGTGTGGCACTCGCATCAGATTCGTAGTCGCATATCTTGTCTTCTGCTTAGAATGCAGTAGGAATACAGGCAAAGGGAATACAAGAGTACAGAAGTTGTCTGATTATGACAATCAGTTACTAGTATGGAATGGTGCCTCCAGATCCTTTAGTTAATCCCCTCATTTAAAGATAAGGTGAGGCCACAAGTCATACAGTTAGAACTAGAACTAAGGTCCCTTGACTCCAACACGTGCCTTTTCCACGATACTGAACACAGACGAAACCAGTAGTCCCCGAGGAGATTATAGTGGTTTTGTCTAAAGGTATACAAGTCCTTCTCAGAGCAAAAATCAGATTGTGTATTGAAAATACGTGTTACCACAAAGTTTTAGTGGCTATGAGGAAAACTAGAGGTGAGAGGAAATGGTTAAATGGTCACTTACTGGTTTTTTCCCCTGCAGTGGAGCGCTACAACCCTCAGGAAAACAGATGGCACACGATAGCTCCTATGGGGACCCGGAGGAAACACCTCGGCTGTGCAGTGTATCAGGACATGATCTATGCCGTAGGAGGGAGAGATGACACTACAGAGCTTAGCAGCGCGGAGAGATACAACCCCAGAACTAACCAGTGGTCTCCGGTGGTGGCTATGACGTCCCGCCGTAGTGGAGTAAGTGCCCAGCTACTGAAAACTTTGGGAAAAAGCACCAAGACAGGGCTGTGCAGGAGAGCTCTGATCTGTCATAGTAAGGAGGTGCACTATTTCAGCAAAACAGCCCCTGCTACTTTTGTACTGGAAAAAAAATTCATTTCTCGCAATTGCTGTTATCTCAAGTAGTTAAATATCTTATAGTCAGTCATAGTCTTAATAATAGAATTATTTTTTGTGATTTATCTTTCGATTGTTTTCCTGAAAGACATTACCTTATCTTATCCACTACCTTATGTAACTTCACCCATATTCATCCCTCTCGATTAGAGCTAAATATTCCTAGCAAATGTTCCTAGGTAATATTCTAAGTAGTTGGCACACCAATACAAATGTTTAGGCAGAAACTCATCTGGCCCCACCACCAGTCTCCACAAACTGGTTGGAGTCTGTCCCATCTGTAGTCTAGACCTGGTCAGGCTGACCTATGTCATGTTTTAGACCATGAATGACATGTGACTACAAGAGACTTCCAGGGTGGAGTTTAGCATTCATCCATCCCAGGGTGTTTGGTTCAGAGTGAAATGTAACCCATAAACCACTGATTGTGTCAGGAGTGCATTGAGGTAGGACAACAGGTGGGAGAACACAGCAATAGCTAAGACTCCATTATCTGAGGAGAAAAGGGAGTAAATTCTAGTTTGCACAAATCAGGGAATATCATTGATAGGCATCAGCAAGTCAAGACATTCCCACATCTGTGGCTCTTTATTACTGGTGATTAACAACTTCTAGGTCGCATTCCTACTGTTTTCACTGCTACATTTTGATTATTTAGCAAATATTTATTAAGTGCTTATTCTGTGCTAGGAAAGCAAAAGTGAGTACAACTCCAGGAGGAGCTCCCAAGTTAGTGAAGGAAATGGAAGTGTTTACAGCTAACCATAAAAAAAAAAATCTTACAGCCACAGCATGTGCATTTTAAGAGAACACGGGAGAATATGCTTAATGTGTTTGGGGACAGTGAAGAGACTCACCAGAGAAAGTCGCATGTAAGCTAGGCCTTGAAAGAAAAATAAGATTTTCTAGAAGAGGGAAAGAAAACACCAGCCAGGGAACAACATGTGCAAAGTACAGAGGCGTGAAAAACATGGTCTTTTCTGGAACTAGCAGTTAAATCAGTATTCTTGCAGCATCGGATACATAAGGAGGTGAGGCTAAAACATGGGCTAGTATGGATTTCTGGAGGGCCCGAATGACATAGTAAGGACTTTAAACTTACCCTTAGACGGTAGGGAGGCTTAGAAAGATTTTAGAGAGTGACAGCATGGTTAGATCTGTATTTCAGTGGTCATTTAGATAGTGGGTTAGAATAGGCAAATACCAAAAGAAGTGAGAGCAGTTTGGAAGTTCTTACCCACTCCCAGTGATGATTTTCCAAAAATTTAAGAAATTTATGTTTTTGACTATAAAATATTCTAATTGAATATATAATTTTATTGTTCCCACAGTGTAACAGATTTTTGTCATTACTTTTTCTCTGTGTTCAAGTAAACCAGAATGTAAGGTCATAAAGAATTATCTTTTATTAAAAAGATTTATCTAGATACTAGTCAAAATTTTCCCAGTGATTCTCTGGCTTCTTCAGTAGCCACTGTGTTTTGGTCCTGTAGGTTGGCCTGGCAGTAGTGAACGGACAGCTCATGGCTGTAGGAGGCTTCGATGGCACAACGTACTTGAAGACCATTGAAGTTTTTGATCCTGATGCCAATACATGGAGGTAACCTTTAAGCTACATTGCAGATCACCTCACTGCTGACTTGAAAATCATGGGCATAAGGTCGCCTGTGACCATCAAAATGGGGATGGTCAGTACATTGAGAAGTGCTCTTGCAGTACTCGTAAGAGAGCTCCAAGTTACCCATATTTGATGGCTTCTTGTGACTTCCCTGCTCTAAAGTGGCTGACATCTGACAACATCTTCTCTTTGGTAACTGTTCAGTTTTATAATAGAGATGGCAAACACGGAAAAAAAAAAAAATCTCCTCTCTAGCCCCATCATGTTCAGCTGAGGTAAGTGAGGCACTGAGAAATAAAATGAAGCAAGTTAGTGATAGAATTAGAACTTAGATCTCTTGCTTCTAATCTGTCACAGTTTTTTGGTGTTCCTATGCACAGCTTTATGCCCAGGAAAAAACAAACTTCAGTTACTTTTTTAAAAAATAATAGTTTATTTCATTTAAAAATTTTTTTCCTTAAGCTTTTAAAATCTATTTAAACATATTATTATTCTATTTTAAAGTCTAAGGGCGCCTGGGTGGCTCAGTTGGTTAAGCGTCCTACTCTTGGTCTCAGCTCAGGTCTTGATCTTAGGGTGGTGAGTTCAAGCCCCGCATTGGGCTCCATGCGGGGCATGGAGCCTACTTAAAAAACAAACAAACAAACAAAACTATTAAATTTTAACAATCACTTTTAGGAAGGAATCTACCACTTATTTAAGAGGTTTAACTATGTTAAATTATATTTATAGGTTAATTTTACTTTGTTTTTAAATCTTTGTCTTAACAATCTTAACAAATATTTTCTAAGGACTTAAGTAGTTCTTATAAATTCACATAAATCATGTGACTCGTGCATTTATTTTAAATTTTAAAAAAGTAGGATGCCTGGGTGGGCTCTGTTAGTTAAACGTCTGCCTTCGGCTCAGGTCATGGTCTCAGCGTCCTGGGATCGAGCCCCGCATCGGGCTCCCTGCTCCGCGGGAAGCCTGCTTCTCCCTCTACCACACCCCCTGCTTGTGTTCCCTCTCTCGCTGTGTCTCTCTCTGTCAAATAAATAAATAAAATCTTTAAAAATAAATAAATAGAGGCACCTGGGTGGCTTGGCTCAGGTCATGATCTCGGGGTCCTGGGATTGAGCACCACATCGGGCTCTGCACTCAGCTGGGAGTCTGCTTCTCCCTTGGCCCTTCCTCCCCCGACCATGCTTGCTCTCTTAAATAATTAATAAAATCTTTAAAAAAAATTGTCTTCATGTCTGGGAAAGCCACACTTTTACAGATGTTTAAATGACATTCTTTGGATTCTGCCTTTCTCTCATGGCTCTTTATGACTTGGTCACAATACTAGGGTCAGACTAAAAGTCAGACATTGTACATTTTTGGCTTCCACTACATCACATTTTCACAGCCTTGTTCATTAAGTAAAGATGTACTGAGTATTCTAGACATCAGGGATACAACAGGGAAAACAAAATTCCCTGCTCTCCTGGAGCTGACATTCTAGTAAGAAGACTAACAGTACCATGTCAGGGGGTAGAAGCACTATGGTGAAGAGCCAAGGGGGGTGGAGGTGTCCAGGGAGGAGCTTCTTTTGAAAATGTGGCCTAGGAAGGCCTCACTGCAAAGGTAACATTTTAGCAAAACCTAATAGAGGTAAGGGAGAGATAGATAATGGGAGGTTTTCCTGAAGAGGAGCCTCCCACTTGTGACATATTTTCTTGCATATTCAGCTTTCTATGTTTAGTGGGAATTTGGGGAAATCTCCAGATTTACTTCTGCTACTTAATCACTATAATCCTACATAAGGACCTATTTCTCAGTAACTGTCACTAAATAGAATTAGTAATATGTGACCGAGTAATATTTATGAAATTCTTAAGGATCATCTATTGAGAGGTTATGATCTAAATTTTTGTAGTTACATATCCCAAACTTAAAACCAGTTTTACCTTACAGCTGACAGAGGATCTAATATTCTTTTTTTTTTTTAAGATTTTATTTATTTATTTGAGAGAGAGAGTGAGAGAGAGAAAGAGCACAAGAGGGGGGAGCGGGAGAGGGAGAAGCAGACTCCCCGCTGAGCAGGGAGCCCGACGCGGGACTCGATCCCGGGACTCCAGGATCATGACCTGGGCCGAAGGCAGTTGCTTAACCAACTGAGCCACCCAGGCGCCCCGAGGATCTAATATTCTTTTCCATGTAAATCTTTAACTTTGAAGATGATCTTGTTCACAGGTCAAAAACTAGATGCTTACTTTATTTCCTCATATCCAGGTTTGTTCCATAAAGGAGGAGGCTTGTAAGAATACATATAAGACAAAAAGATAAAAATAAGTTATCGGGGCGCCTGTGTGGCTCAGTTGGTTAAGTGACTGCCTTCGGCTCAGGTCATGATCCTGGAGTCCCGCATTGGGCTCCCTGCTCGGCAGGGAGTCTGCTTCTCCCTCTGACCCTCCTCCCTCTCATGCTCTCTGTCTCTCATTCTCTCTCTCGCAAATAAATAAAAAAAAAAAAAATTTAGGGCGCCTGGGTGGCTCAGTTGGTTAAGCGACTGCCTTCGGCTCAGGTCATGATCCTGGGGTCCCGGGATCGAGTCCCGCATCGGGCTCCCTGCTCGGCAGGGAGTCTGCTTCTCCCTCTGACCCTCCTCCCTCTCATGCTCTCTGTCTCTCACTCTCTCTCTCTCAAATAAAAAAAAAAAAAAAAAAAAAATTTAAAAAAAAATAAGTTATCGATGTTTAGGCAGAGGGAAATGTGAGTAGGAAAATAAGATAGCCATAGTCAAAACTAGACAAAAATGTAGAATATGATTCTGTGTAATTGTTAGAAGTCAGTTTAGGTGTAAAGTTATAAAGTCGTGATACAAAATGTGGATACAACATTCATTCTTAAAACAGTATCCTAGAAATGAGACCTTTTCACCCAATGTCTGAAATAATTCTGCTACTTACCAGTGCTCAATTCCAAGTCCTAATCTTTGGAAGAGAAGTAGGAATCTAAAAATATTAGTTATGATAGAAAACATGTGTTTTATTAACATCTAAGTTGTAGAACAAACAGTGATTTTTCCACTTTGAAATCTGATTTTGTTTCTTTCTTTGCAGGTTATATGGCGGGATGAATTACCGTCGGCTAGGGGGTGGTGTAGGAGTTATTAAAATGACACATTGTGAATCCCATATATGGTGAACATCTAGAGACAGTCGTGTACATGCTCCTCTGTATTCTGGAGAGCTTTGACTTTGGAGCTTTGTATAGCTCAAGAAAACATTAGAACAAATTTTATTCTTTGCCGGTGCCTCAACATATGGAAATACAAATACAATGAAAGTACTTCAACTGCAAGATGCCACCTTTGCACAAAAATTTTCAATTCTGTGCAGAATATTTATTTTTGGTTTTAATTTATCATGGGTTTTTTGTCGTTGGGTTTTTTGTCGTCGTTTCATTTTGCTTTGGATTTAGCCTTCCTCCCACTAAAAAAGGAAAAAAAATAAAGGTAAAATTCTAAGCAGTGAAAGTTTATTTTTAAGATATTAAGTTTGAAAATACTAATAAAGGGAGAAGGGCTATATACATGATCTAGTTATTTCTAGGCACTGCATCCACATGACTCCACTACTTACAAGGACTACCAGTGACAAAGATAGGTATGCAAAGTGTATTATTTAGCCATCATGCTTGCACTAAGCACCAGAAGACTTGAAAATCTAAAAAACAAAAAAAGGAAACACTCATTTTAAATAGTACAGTTCAAAAGGAATATTAAGTAGATAAAACCAGGACTCAGACACTAAAGTTTTCATCAGTGCAAGTTTGCAAATTGTTTCCTTCCATATGAACTTGTTTTCCACCATAGTCTTTTTTCATAATATTTTCATAGAATTTCTGCTAGCTCTAGAGCTCTGCTCAGTGCCTCTATAAAAACTGTATACAGTTCTTATATGCTGTCTTGAGAATCCTCCAATAGAATCATGTGCTACTCTGCAGAAGTTTTTGCTCAAAAATATTACTGACTGAAACAATTTTCCTTCTTGTTTCCTTATTGCTACTAAGGACCAGCAGGGAGAAATGCCCTCTCCCCAGCAGTGAATACTGTTATGCAATTTTCACTTGACGCTCAGGCCTGCTGAAGCTCAGGCTTACCTGTAATCACAGCCTCCAAGGGAATGAATTCTTCAGTTCATGTAATAGTACACACTAATGAGTGTAAAGTTGAGGCATTTTATTAATAAAAGCTTGGTTCTTTTATACAAACTATATATCATCCTCATTCTCTGTTACTACTCTGAAATTGCACTTTCTGGTGAAAAGTTAAAATTTTTAAAGAAAAAATGATACAAATTTCAATGGTCAGAGTTTTGTCATTGTGTTCATAGACCAATTTTTTTCAATGTATTTTGCAGGAAAATCTTTGAATAAGACTTTAACCGCAACCAAAAGGAATAACCTTCTCCTTCTCCCTCCCCCAATACAAAAATGTTTGGCAACTTTTGTGTTTACATTTAAAGATCATTTGCACCTTTACAAGGAAAAAAAAATAAGTATTTGGTAAACAGTTGTTTACATGTATCATTTATGCTTTTTTCTAGCATGTATAACTTTTTTAAATAAAGGTAGTACTTACCGTAAAAAAAAAATTTTGGCTAAATGTTTTTTAGTGCTTGTGTCTTTGCTATTTAGTTTCTATATCATTTATATTTCCTTTATGTAAAGTTGTAAGTACTTTCGACCTGAAGGAATAAAGGGATTGCCAGCTAGAATTATGAACTTTTATTATATATCTTATATAATAGGATTATATTACCTAACCTCTAAACTTATTTTCTGGTGTAGCACTTAGAACCATACAATTCTGAGCTAGAAGGACTCTTAACAATCCCCAGGCCCAAACCCATCTATTTCTATGCTCTAAGACTGAAAACCAAAGATGTCCTTCCTAAGAGTAAATATAGTCAATGATAGGACCAACATTAAAAATCAGTTCCCTGAACTCCCACTCCACTTCTTTCTGTGCCACACTGCCACTCCACCCACACTTGAAACATGGCCTAGAATTCAATATACTAACAGACTCTAAGTAAATCTGGTATGTAACATTAAAAAAATATAAACACTTTATGAGATCCTTAGAGTACTGCATCATTAAGTCAGTCTTCAAGACAAAACTCACTTATTTCCCAAGATTCTACTATTGCATGTATTTTAAGAAAAGGAGAAAAATAAACAGGGTTGCTGGAGTGGTGGGGGGTGGGAGGGATGGGGTGGCTGGGTGATAGACATTGGGGAGGGTATGTGCTATGGTGAGCGCTGCGAATTGTGCAAGACTGTTGAATCTCAGATCTGTACCTCTGAAACAAGTAATATATGTTTAAAAAAAAAAAAAGATAGCAGGAGGGGAAGAATGAAGGGAGGGAAATCAGAGGGGGAGAAGAACCATGAGAGACAATGGACTCTGAAAAACAAACTGAGGGTTCTAGAGGGGAGAGGGTGGGAGGATGGGTTAGCTGGTGATGGGTATTAAAGAGGGCACGTTCTGCATGGAGCACTGGGTGTTATACGCATATAATGAATCATGGAACACTACATCAAAAATTAATGATGTAATGTATGGTGATTAACATGACAATAAAATTTAAAAAAAAAAAAGAAAGAAGAACAGGAAAAAAAATTCTAGGAATTAGACTCTCAGTAAGTAGGAAAGTTCCCAATAGGAGCAATTGACATGGCAGTGATTCAAGAGCAGAGACCCAGGAACTACAATACTGACCAAAGTGTTCATTGGAGCATAAAGGGTTATTTTTTCCCTCCACTGAAAGTGGTCCAGTTTTATTATTGATAAAATATACCTATTATATAAATGTCATTGCTGTAAAAGAGTATTTGCATACTATGAACAGGGTGCCTGGGTGGCTCAGTTGGTTAAGCGACTGCCTTCGGCTCAGGTCATGATCCTGGAGTCCCTGGATCGAGTCCCGCATCGGGCTCCCTGCTCGGCAGGGAGTCTGCTTCTCCCTCTGACCCTCCCCCCTCTCATGCTCTCTATCTCATTCTCTCTCAAATAAATAAATAAAATCTTTAAAAAAAAAAGAATATTTGCATACTGATTTCCACAATTATGAAGTGAGCTCAGAGTTGGGTTGGGTTGGCTGTCCTCTTCATTTTATAAATAAGTAAACTGAAGCTTAGAAAGTTAGAAGGACATGGTAGAAACTGAACCTCATATCCACATAACGATTCCAAATCCATTCATTGTTCTCTATACTACTCTTCAACCTAGGGGACAGCTGTTTACCCTATATCCTCCCCTCCTATGGATCCAAGAAGAGTTCTTGATTTTTCCATCTCCTCAACTTTTTACTTGTTAGGACGCAGTGGCCATCCTCGTATGAGGAACTGGAAACTGGAAGTGAAATGTGTAGTTTTAAGTAAAAAAAATATAAATCATGAATTATCTCAATAGGTACAGAAAAATAATTTGACAAGATGCAACATCCATGCATAATAAAAACCATCAACAAATTAGGAAGAGAATTGCTTTAACCTGACAAAGGGCATATAGGAGAAACCTACAGCTAACAGCACATTTAATAGTGAAATACACACTAAGATCAGGAACAATATAAAACTACATCCTCACCACTTCTATCTGCAATTGTGGTGGAAATTCTAGCCAAGGCAAGTTGGCAAGAAAAAGAAAGAAAAGGCATCCAGGTTGAAATTAAGTAAAACTCTTTATTCACAAGTGACATTAGTCTTGCATACAGAAAATCCTAAGGAATTCACTGAAAAAAATTACTAGAATAAACAAGTTCAGCAAGATCACAGGATATAAGAGCAATATATATACTCACAACAAACAATCCAAAAATGAAATTAAGAAAGCAATTCCAAATGTATAAAAGTGCAAGCATCTTTTTAAGAAGTCTATCCTTCAAAAACAGAAAACACATAAAATTACTCTACTGTCATTATCTAGTATGGATGGATGTGTAGCTCTACTTTGAAACTCCCTAGCTACTTACCTTTCCAAAATAAAGTAATTTTCACTTATTTTGCAAAAAGTGTTTTTCCATTCTCAATAGCATGAAATACTTAGGAATAAATTTAGCAAAAGAAGTGCAATACTTGTATGCTGAAAACTATAAAACACGGTTGAAGGAAATTCTGAAATAAATAGAAAGATACCCCATGCTCGTAGATTAGATATTAGACTTAATATCATTATGATAGCAGTACTCCCCAAATTGATCTATAGATTGAACACAACCACTATCAAAATCCCAGCTAACTTTTTTTCAAAATTGACCAGCTGATCCTAAAATTCTTTGGAAATGCAAAAGACCCAGAATAACCAAAACAATCTTAGAAAAAAGAAGGAAAAGCTGGAAGACTCACACTTCCTGATTTCAAAGTGCACTACAAAGCTACAGTAACCAAGACAGTGTGGTACTCACATCAATGAAATAGAACAGGGTCCAGAAATAAACATCTACGGCCAAATGATTTTTAAGAAAGGTGACAGAGGCAACATGGGAAAATAGCCTTTTTAATAAATGGTACTAGAACAAATGAATGACATGAATGAATGAATATGCAAAATGATGAGTTTGGATGCTTACCTCACTCCATACAGAAAATCTCAAGATGGATTACAGACCTCAATTTAAAGCTAAAATTATAAGATCCTTAAAAAAACAAAGGAGTAACCCTTTGAGACCTCAGATTAAGCAGTAAGATTTCTTAGACACAACACCAAAGGCGTAAGAAATAAAATAACTGATAAGCTAGACTTCATCAAAATTAAAAACTTTTACATTTTGAAAATAAATGAGTTCACCCTGGTATTTCCAATTCAAATTTAACATTACAGAGTTTCTACTTAGCTTACTTTATTTTATAATTGCATATCTTGATTCATAACATTCTTACATGTTTTATACTCAGTTTTTATATGTTGTACTCAGTTATCTTGAGTACAACTTAAATTCCTTTGCTGCTCTTTTCCTAAGATATAGCTGACAACATACAGTCAAAATACGAGGATTTAAAGATACTAAAAATAACTCTGTGTGATTATGGCATGAACTTAATATAGTTAGGTTTATTTTCAATTTTTAAGGATTGCTTTTTCTTTTTGATCCAATTTTGTTATGTAATTATATAAAACACTTACATGGTTCCAAACTATAAACAAGGAACATTCAAATAAGTTTTAACTTTCATTCCTGTCCCCTTTACCCAGTTCCTTCCTTCCCCCTAATTAGTAACCACTTTCATTAGTTTTTGGTTTATCCTTCCATTGTTTTTTGGAAACATAAAGGAAATACACACACAAACTCGTATTTCACCCATTCCTTCCGTAAAAGATAGCATACTATATATACACTGTCTACATGATGCTCTTTCAACAACGCATCTTAGAGATCAAGATCACTCCATGGCAGTATTAGATATCTTCTTCAAACCTTTTTATAGTCACATAGTAGTAATTCACTGTGCAGCTACACCATAAACAATCCCCCTTTGATATGCATTTGGACTTTTTTCAGTCTTGCTATTACAAATACTATTGCTATACTAACACTATAGATAACCTTGTACACGCTTCATTTATATTTTGCCAGTGAATTTTGGGGATAGAATGCTAGAAGTGGGATTGCTGGTCAAAGGATAAATCCCACATAATTTTGCTAGATATTGCTAATTTCTCCATAGAGACTGTACCATTTCCAATAATCTTTTAACTGTTTTTCCTTTCACTCTTGTCCACCTATAACTCATTCTCCCTCATATCTTATAAAACATAGATTCGGTAATATTACTCTCCTGCTTAAAACGTCAGCGGCTTCTCATTGCATTTAGAATAAAATCCAATCTCTTCACAGTATCTACAAAAACTTAGATGATGTAGATCCTGCCTCTTTCTATCAGGATTAGGTTTGGCTATGAGCAAGAGACCCAAAATAGCAACAGCTTGTAGAAGATAAAAGTTTACTTTTCTGGGGCACCTGGGTGGCTCAGTCGGTTAAGCACTGACCCTTGATTTCGGCTCAGGTCATAATCTCAGGGTTGTGAGATCGAGCCCCGTGTCGGGCTCCACGCTGGAGGTGGAGACTGCTTAAGACTCTCTCTCTCCCCCTCTCTGCCCCCCCAACCCTCCCTCTCTTAAAAAAAAAAAAGTTCTCTGACATGTAAGTCTAGAGGAAGACCACCCAAGGGTGGCAGTGGGGTTTAGCTTTAAGAAGTCCTCGAGGCAGGGCGCCTGGGTGGCTCAGTTGGTTAAGCGACTGCCTTCAGCTCAGGTCATGATCCTGGAGTCCCGGGATCGAGTCCTGCATCGGGCTCCCTGCTCAGCAGGGAGTCTGCTTCTCCCTCTGACCCTCCCCCCTCTCATGTGCTCTCTCTCTCTCTCTCATTCTATCTCAAATAAATAAAATCTTTAAAAAAAAAAAAAAAAAAGAAGTCCTCGAGGCACAAACTCCTTTCAGACCATGCTCTACCAGCCCTATGACCTGACCTGCATCCCCGTGACCACAAAGAATGGCTAGAATTCCAGTCATTATATGTGTTCCAAAGAGAAAAGATGGAAGAAGAATAAGAAAAAGGCAAAGGGTACATGCCCACTGTTTTTTAAGGAAGATTCCTGGAAGCTCTACATGATCCTTCCATTTATAGGCCGTGAGTCAGAACTTAGTCATATGACTATACCTAGGTATAGTTTACACCTGAGAAAGGCCAGAAAAGGTCATCTTTATTCTGGACAGCCACATGCCCAGTCAAAAATTGGGAGACATAACCAATGGAATAAGTCTCTGCTGCACAATCTCTTCACTTTGATCTACTACTACTCCACCCTTATTCACTATGCTCCAGCCACACAAACTTCCTTTATTCCTCAAATAAGCCAAGTTCTTAGCTATCTCAAGGCCTGTGCTCTTGCCATTTTACTTGCCTAGCAAACCCCTCCACACACCTTCACATAGCTGGTTCCCTCTCACCACTCAGGACTCAGCTCAAATGTCACTTCCTCAGAGAGACCTTCTTTGACAACTGTATAAAAAGTCACCCCTTTCCATAATGTACTGCCTTATTTTCTTTATAACATTTATCTCAACTGAAATTATCTTTTACCTTCCTCCACTAGAATATAATTTCCACATGACAGGGATCTTTTTTGTCTTCATTGCTATACCCCTGTTGCCCAATACAATTCCAAGTATACTGTAGGAGCTTAATGTTAGTTAAATGAATGGCTGTCTGACTCCAAAGCCCATGCTTTTTCCACTATCTCTGCTATTCATGGTATATGTGAAATAATACCCCATTCCAGAAATCAATCTTTGTTTTTAGAATGACAGCCTATTAAAATTATTTCCTTTCAAACAAATTTTTAAAAACATCATTTATAAAGTAAAACAAAATCTTCTGGGGCTCAATAAATTAAAAGAAGAGATTCAGAGATTTAGATACAGCATCTTGGGCAAGTCTCCTAAGTTGCTTGATCTCATAGTTTGCATCTATAAAATGGAAGAGTTGGTTAAAATGCATTCACTTAATCTGCAGATATTTACTAAGCACTGTGCTAAAGCAAAATTAGGGACATGAAAGTTAAATAATTTCTGCCCTCAAAAGCAGCTCACAGTTGCCTTTGATTCCATATAATTGTTGGCTTGTAACATTTGTGCTAGAGAAAAAGCCTATGATTTCTCATTTCTGAGACATTAATTAAAGATCTGTCACCAAGACACTAATAAAAACACTGCTTCATTTTAAAAGTGAGTATTTAATTCAACATTGCAATAAGAATTGAACAGTATTAAAAACAGAAGCATATTAGTGGCTTAAAAAGTGTATATTAATCTCTAGTTTCCTTTGGAGGAGATTTTAATTGTCAATTCTTTACAGTGAAATGATACTAGGAAAATGTCTTTAGAAGACAGAAATTCCCTCTGGACCCAACTCTAAAATGCTTAAAAGGAACTGAAGGTTTTAAAGATCCAAATCAGAAATAATATTAGAGATACCTCATTTGAATCCTAAAAATTTAATGTAATAAACATTACATATTTTTTAGAAAGATGGTCCAAGAAAATAACAACTCAGCATTTTCTAGAATCTGGCATCCCAGATCATCATGACTATTATCGAGCACCTGGCTGTGATTCATTTACTACCACCTTCTTTGTTCTTCTAGATCCTTCTTGAATTCCATCTGGGCAATTCCAAAGGCACTGAGAGGAAAACAGATGCAGAGACAGATGCGTATTTCTCCTGCAGGCCCTCTCAGCATAGCAATTAGGCAAATAATCAGTGAGAAAGAAGTATATAATCCATCATGTATCATCCCCACAAGACTTCAATCAATTTGAAAAATTGCCAGTTCTGTCAAATATGCCAAGACTCCAATAAGGTATTTACGACACAGAATCTGAAAAACAAAAAAACCCAGACATTTAAAATTAGAATTCTGATAACAAAGCAGTTTAATATTTGATAAATATTCCAGGCTTATTTTAAATTCCGTATCTGCAAGCTAAGATGAATCCAAACCACTGCTGCTCTAAGTCAAATTTTATTCTATTTAATGAAGACTACTAACTTTAATAAATATACAACTATTAGTCAATGGTGCATAGAAATAACTAAAGTTCTTATTTATCTTGATTTCCATGGGTGGGCTATCTGCATAAGGAGTAAGGAGAGGAACAGGTATCCCTGAACCCTTGGATTTATATGCAAATTGAGTATCTACATTTTCTAGAAAGATGTTCCATAGCTTCCTTCTTCTCAAAGGGATATATGATTCCAAAAGTATCTTGTAGAAACTAAGCAGATGGCAGAAACCTGGTTAATACACTAATTTCAAACTTCTGAGAGGCAGTACACTGTTGCAATTAAAAGCATAAGCTTTTGAGTCAGATGACTGTTTTCAAATTCCAACTCCACTTATTAGCTGTGTGATCTCAGGGAACCTACTTATCCTCTGTGCTAGTTTCGTCTTTACAAGCTAGGTCAACAGATTGTTGTGAAAAACTAAATAAGACAGTATACATAAAATGCTTAATAATGCCTGGCACGGCTAGTGCTTAATAAATGTTCACTATCAAAAAAAATTTAAAAATGTTAGCTATCATCATGGCATTATGTGAAGGTAGGAGCCAGTTACTGTCTTATATCATTAAGCGAGGCTCTTAGTGGGGTGCCTGGGTACCTCAGTAGGGTAGGCATCTGACTTGATTTTGGCTCAAGTCATTATCTCAGGGTCATGGGATCAAGCCCGGTGTTGAGCCCTGTATCAGGCTCCACTCAGCATGGAATCTGTTTATCCCTCTCCCTCTGCTCTCCCCTCCCACTTGCTTGTTCTATCTCTAAAATAAATAAATAAAATCTTAAAAAGAAAAAGAGGCTCTTACATGTATAATAGACCAGATAAAATCAATTTGTTAAAGAACCACCTTTATATTCATAAGAACACATTATACATAACAGTTTTTAAATGTAGTTTACTAATGGAATGTGGGCATATGAAAATAAAAATCTTAAAATATACAAGGACTTCATGAACACTGAATTCTGAGGTGCTAAAATGGAATTTTTTTCCTTTATAATATCAAAGTAACAAGGTATAGTATAATCTTTCAAATGTTTTACTGCAAACCAAAGAAATAAATTTAACATCATGACCCAGTACAAGCAAATGTATACCCTTACCACATGTGATACACTCATTTATATATTTTCTATTATATTTCTCTCTTGTTTTTTTAAAGCTGGTCTCTTCCCATCAAAATTATTTTCCAACTTACTATTGCATTATGACCTTCAGTTTGAAAAACATTAATACGGTACTTATAGAGTATGAGCTTTTTGGAACCTAAGAGATAAACATTCAAATACTGACTCCTCCTCTGACTAAGCTATCTTGCAGGTATCACTTTCACCTATCTTATTTTAAAAATAAAATGTGGATAAAAACACCTATTTTAAAAATAGGTGTTATTTCTAAAAATAAACTCAATAAATTAAAAATAAAATTTTATTATTTTAAAAATAAATGTTTCCTTAAAACTAAAATGTGGATAAAAACACCTACTACAGGGTTGCTCTAAAGATTAAAATTAAGGTGTATTAAACTCCTAGCACAGTGACAAGACCAATATTCACTTTTTACTGTGGCTATATTTTAATACATTTTAAATATATTAATATATTTTATTATATTTAGGTGCCTACTCTCAGTTTATTTCTGATACTTCCTCTAGCAAGTACTTCATAGAGAGTAAAACAATGCCAATTATTTCTTTCCCAGTAGGGAGAGAAAAGCCTAAAATATAAAAATGACACCTTAGTTATGTATTTCTGGCTATAATTTTCTGATCTAACACACAAAATCCTCTGTTGCTCCAATAATTATTTCAAAGTTTGACAAAACAATTTTTAAAGTTTCAAAGTTACTACAGAATAATTCCTATTATTACCAAAGTCTATAGCACACAGCATACAGTATCCTCCCATTATAAAGCTGTATCTAGAGGCTGAAGACTTTTTAGTAAATCATTTATAAAGCATAAAATAAAATATCTCTACTGTCTTGAATTAGCATTCAAATGTGTTTCTTCAATGTAGAAAATACAATTACCATACATTTTGAAAGCTATGTAACAATAAGGAAAAATTACTTAACTAGATTTGTTCAGACTAACCTTTATTTTTCCATCAGTATGTGCTGAAGCTACAGATGTGGAAACACGGACCAATCTTGTGGCTGATAAGTGAATTTTGAAATGCCTATGGAAATGTGAATAAAGGCAGTCCATAAATAAGTCAACTTCCTCCTGAGTAACTTCTCCAGGTGTTTTGTGGACACTGTCCCACAAAGCTTTGGCATCTTCTGGATGTATGGCATAAGAAATGTCCAGACTTTGAGGGCTACAGGGTACAGACCAAAGAAATTCGGTAGCAGCCATATACTGTTCCATTTTGCATGCAGTCCACATAGCAGCCATCCAGGAAAGATTAAATGCATTGATTGCTAAGGGACTGAAATAACAATCAAAAGTTTTCTGAAACCAGGTTCCTACTATGGCTGTATTTGTCTCTGCTCCATTTGCAAGGAATAAGGGTACACAGGTGAAATCTTCTGAAACAGTCTCTAGAAGACTGTCTCCAAATATACAGCAGAACCAACCAGTCCACAACACTTTATGTTCTCTGTTCTCAGATGGCAATTGAGATTTTGACAGAATCTACAAAGAAAAAAAAGGTTAAGTTCAAAAGTACATTTACTCCTAAATTACATCTTCTCAAAATCAGTACATTTAAAAATAAGAAGATATGTTGTACTACTTGCCAAAAAACACAAAGGGAATAATCTCCCTAATCACTATTAGGATATATCAAGTTAATTGACCTACCTCTTAATGCTCTTATTAGGATATGGTATATGGCAAGATCTTGGTGCAGCCAAAATGCAAAATAAGGAATGCCGATATGGTGTAATCAAGTACACTATCCTAAGGGAAAAAAATCTCAAAATCTCAACTTCAGAAGGGAGTGTAAAAAGTCACCAAATCCAAAGTGCTTGAATTCTTCCTAAGGCAGCTCTATCAACTTAAAAACGTTCTCTCATATGTTAGGCCCACAGTTTCCACCCGCAGGTCCTGTTTTCTTCCTTATGTGCATGTAGAACAAATCAAATCTAATTTCTCTTCTACAGGAAAAGCCCTTCAAATATTTGATGACCCCTATCATATGTAATGTCAAGTTCAACATCTCCGTTTCTTCAACCATTCCTCCTATGCCATACACATTATCCTGGTCACTCTGAAATTATTCTGCAGGAGTGTCATTCTTAAGTGAATATAATTACTTCAAAAAGATCTGATTAAAGGACTGTAACCGGGGTGCCTGGGTGGCTCAGTCGTTAAGCATCTGCCTTCGGCTCAGGTCATGGTCCTATGGTCCTGGGATCGAGCCCCACATCGGGCTCCCTGCTCAGCGGGAAGCCTGCTTCTCCCTCTTCCACTCCCCCTGCTTGTGTTCCTGCTCTCGCTATCTCTCTCTGTCAAATAAATAAATAAAATCTTTAAAAATAAGTAAATAAAAAATAAAGGACTGTGACCATCTTTAACCTGGATTATACAACTATTAATATAATCTTAGATTGCAGTAGTTTTCTAATTTTTAGTTGACAGCTTTACATAAATTACCCTATTCGTTTTTGCTATTAATAGGTAAATCTCGGGCGCCTGGGCGGCTCAGTTGGTTAAGCGACTGCCTTCGGCTCAGGTCATGATCCTGGAGTCCCAGGATCGAGTCCCACATCGGGCTCCCTGCTCGGCAGGGGGTCTGCTTCTCCCTCTGCCCTCTTCCCTCTCGTGCTCTCTGTCTCTCATTCTCTCTCAAATAAAAATAAATAAAATCTTTAAAAAAAAAAAATAGGTAAATCTCTGGGCACCTGGGTGGCTCAGTTAGTTAAGCAGCCAACTCTTGATTTGGGCTCAGGTCATGATCTCAGGGCCTGAGAATGAGCCCCACGTCAGGCTCCATGCTTAGCGGGGAGTCTGCTTGAGATTCTCTCCCTCTCCCCCTCCCCCTGCTTGTGTGCTCTCTAAAGTAAATAAACAAATCTTAAAAAAAAAAAAAAAGGTAAACCTCCCCTAATATACAGAGGCAGTATATTTATTCCTATTAAAATTTTAATCTCGGGGCGCCTGGGTGGCTCAGTCGTTAAGCATCTGCCTTCGGCTCAGGTCATGATCCCAGGGTCCTGGGATCGAGCCCCGCATCGGGCTCCCTGCTCCACGGGAAGCCTGCTTCTCCCTCTCCCACTCCCCCTGCTTATGTTCCCTCTCTCGCTGTCTCTCTCTGTCAAATAAATAAATAAAATCTTTAAAAAAATAAAATAAAATTTTAATCTCTTTCAATTTGACCCATTGCGCCAATCCATTCAGATTTTTCAGAATCTTGATTATGTTTTCCAGCAGACTAACGTCTCAAACTTCAAATCTATAAAGTACATGACAAACATACCTTCCAGATATTCATAGTTTTAAAGTTTGACCAGGATAAAGTGAAGATCACAGCCCAGTATCATATCTCTTTAGAGATAATCATTTTAACAGTTACTTTTTGCATATTTCTCCTCCTTGTTCAAGAGATTGTAAGAGACTCAAAAGCCTTTAAGCCCAGATAGGTCTATCACACTTTCATAACCTAAAAGTTCTGTAACTCTGTGAAGAAATGAGATTTAACTTGGACACTGTTAGGACACTCTACTAAGAGTTCAAGAAGTCATTTCTATTCCTCACAAGAACGTTTGCCTGTTAACATGCAAATCACATCCCTTCTCTGGGCATCAACTGCTTCATTTGACAAAGACTGCTGTCTACCCAGTACCTATTTTTCCTTCCACAATAAAACTGGGCTTTTAATGAGATGGCAAAGTACCCACTAAAACAGAAAAATTTCCTAATCTGCCTTCCGACTGGGATGTAAAGAGAAGTTGTTGGGTCTTAGCAGTCTCATTAAAGATTCATTTGGTTCACCTTCCTACTTCCTGCCTGAAACTGGCAGAGAATATTTAGAGCTTCAGGAGCCACCTTAGACTTAAGATGCAACCTTAAGGATAGAAGCCATGCACCAAGGATGAGAGAGAAGATGGAAGAAGAAGATGGAGAAGATGGAAGGAGCCTAGATTATTAATTCATAAAGCATATACCACCTTAAACACCTTACCTCCAAACACTTTTTGGTAAGACAAATAAGCCTCTATCTATTAAACCTCAAGACAGACATTTAATTCATGGTTATTTGGTCTTTCTGTTTTATGCAGCTAAACCTAATCCTAGGAATCTTGAAGATCCTTGCCAATATCATGATCTATACCAGGGGTTAGCAAATTCTTCCTGTAAAAGTCAGACAGTAAATATTTTAGGCTTTGCAAGCCACATGGTCTCTGTAGCAAATACTCAAACGTGCTGTTGTAGCACAAAAGCAGCCATAGACAATATGTAAACAAATGAAAGGAGCACTGCTCCAGTAAAACCTGATTTCCAAAAACAGCAACAAAAACAAGCAGCAGGTCAGATTTGGCCCGCAGGCCATAGTTGGCGTATTTCAGAATTTGATTTAAAATGACTAAGATGAATTCACTCAGAAGAAACAGAAGTAGCAGGCATGAATAATAAATCCAGTTTCTTAATCCAAAAATAGTCATATTACTTTTAAATACTACACATAGGAAGGAATGTTACATTTCTAAGAGTAACCTGGCATGATATATCACAATATATGATGATAGATTGTGTGTGTGTATATATTATGTGTTTGGGGTTTTTTTGCTAAAATTCCACTTCTAGGAATTTAGTCCATAGAATTAGACAGATACACTTACAAAAATGTAATATTCTTGGGTTTTGTTTTTTTAAAGATTTTATTTATTCATTTGAGACACAGAGATAGAGAGAGAGAGAAAGAGACAGAGCATGAGCAGTGAGAGAGGCAGAGGGAGAGGGAGAAGCAGGTTCCCCGCTGAGCCAGGAGCCCAATGTGGGGCTCAATCCCAGGACCCTGGGATCATGACCCAAGCCGAAGGCAGACACTTAACCATCTGAGCCACCCAGGCGCCCCCCAAAATGTAATATTCTTAAGGACATGAGTAATTATCTACAACACTATTATTAATTTTTAAAAAAAAGGCCATATGCAAAAGTATGGGCAATAAAATCCCAATTTTAGTAGATCCAGATAGCCAGACAGATGTATCTATGTTCATGAGAGATATTGATCTATAGTTTTAATAACCTTTGTCTAGTTTTAGTATTGGGTAATGCTAGCCTCACAGAATGTGTAAGGAAGTATTCCCTCTGGTTCTATACTCTGAAGAGACTGCAGAAAACTGAAATAATTTCTTCCTTAAATGTTTGACAGAATTCACCAGTGAACCCATCTGGGCCTGATGCTTTCTATTTTGGAAAGTACTGACTCAATTTCTTTAATAAATAGAGGTTTACTCAGATTGTCTATTGCCAAATAGATGTAGACCAAAATGTTAAATTGTGGTTTTCAATTTTCTTTGTATTTTTAAGTATTTTCTAAGTTTTCTAAAGTAAACATGACTATAATGTAACTGGAAAAAAAAACTTTTTAAGTTAGCCATATCTAATTACTATAATTTGGTCAAACAAGACATAAAATAGGTTATAAATCACAAGGTTAAAATTTTTTTTAAATGGTAAGAAAATACCACAATTTTTTTTCTTTTTTTCTTTTTTTTAAATTTTATTATGTTAGTCACCATAAAATACATCATTAGTTTTTGATGTAGTGATCCACGATCCATTGTTTTCATATAACACCCAGTGCTCCATGCAGTACATGCCCTCCTTAATACCCATCACCGGGCTAACCAATCCTCCCTCCCCCCTCCCCTCTAAAACCCTGTTTGTTTCTCAGAGTCCATAGTCTCTCATGGTTCATCTCTCCCTCCAATTCCACCCCTCTCATTTTTCCCTTCCTTCTCCTAGTGTCCTCCATGCTATTCCTTATGTTCCACAAATAAGTGAAACCATACGATAATTGACTTTCTCTGCTTGACTTATTTCACTTAGCATAATCTCCTCCAGTCCCATCCATGTTGATGTAAAAGTTGGATATTCATCCTTTCTGATGGCTGAGTAATATTCCACTGTATATATGGACCACATCTTCTTTATCCATTCGTCTGTTGAAGAGCATCTTGGCTCTTTCCACAGTTTGGCTATTACAGACGTTGCTGCTATGAACATTGGGGTGCATATGGCCCTTCTTTTCACTACATCTGTGTCTTTGGGGTAAATACCCAGAAGTGCAATTGCTGAAAATACCACAATTTTTAAACCAAGACAGTGCCAATTCTTTTCCCCTGGGAAGCAAGGATTGCTTATATAACATACCTGAACGAGAAACGCTTCAGAGTCTCTTTGTGTTCCTTTCATTCCTAGGAGAGTGGAGAAAGTCACTTTGATGTTGAAGTCTTCTCCCACTTCCACAGCAAGCCCTTTTTGCTTTTCAGCAGCAATAAATGCACTCAGAAGTCTAGAATACTCTTTGAGATTAGTATAGGAGAATTTATATAGGGGAGTTAGACTATATAAAGTCCATTGTTTATGCAGAAGGAATGCAACTTTTTGAGGATCATTATCTTCCTACAGGAAAAAAAAGTCAAGACAAGTTTAAATTCTCATTTACTAATATTTCCTAATTCTTAATCATAATATTTCAAATACTTAACACAAATCTATTACTGGGTACCTGATCTTTACACTCCAGCCAAAATAGAGTTTGCAGGACTCTGAAGATCCCTGAACAAGTCTTTTCATTTGCTGTACCTTCACTCTGGAATACTCTTCCCATATGTGTTCACATGGCATGTTCCTTTCCTTCACTCAGGTCTGTCCAAATGTCACTCAAGAGGCTACCCTATCTAATTTTGTCTCACTCCAATTTTGTCACTTTATATCTCTTTAACATTCCTTTTTTTCCCAAAGCATTTATTACTATATGACATTATACGTTTGTCTGATTTTTATTGTCTGTCTTCCTTACTAGAGTGTAAGTATGACAAGAACAGGGATTTTGTCTATTAGGTGCTATATCTCTAGCATCTAGAACGGCTGTTCAATAAATATTTATTGGATGAACATTTATGTTTGACTTTTAGAAATTTAAAATTATAGATTTAGAAAACAGTAACTACTCCTGGAGCATTTAATTTGATTAGTTTTAATTATGTAATTTTCTTAAACGTTTGGTGGTAAGTCCACTCTATAACACAATGTCAAATTCAGTAGATTAAATAAAAAGATACTTGGGAGCATTTCTGCCATGTTCTATTAGAACCACAGGTACCATCAAAAACAAAAACACTTCCTTCATATTGGCCCTATGACATTACTGAGGGTCTTCACATACATCCCCATACAGGTTCCTACTTTCATCCTGAACTGAATTTTTCTATAAAATCCATAGTTTTTGACATGGTCTTACAGCTCCAACTATCTTTTGGAACTTTCATTACAGTTGTCTACTTGATAAAACTATTTCTTCTGACTAGAGTGTTCATGAAAACTTTTATAAAACTTATATAAAGTTATAAACTTTTTTCTTATTATGATCAAAAGGTATGGGAAAATTATTTGTTTCACAGAGATAAGGAAATGAATTGGACATTCCAATTTTTATATACAATTTCTGTTTTATGGTTAGGAACGATCACTTTCATTACCAGCACTAGTAATTTAAGAAACTTTTCAGAAAGAAGCAAAAATTTTCCCATATCTCAAGAGATATGAGGCACACAACATGGACAAGAAAACAAGACTATAGGGAGGATGTGGGTGACTGATCAGCCAGAATCCTTGCTATGTTTCTCAAGACCACACATCAAACCCACACTGACGAGGGTTTTATTTCATGGTCCAATGAAATCACAAATTACTAATGTTACCTTCAGAGTTGTTTATGAATAATCAAAACAGAGAATGTTGCCAGCAGACAAACTGGAGACAATATAAACATCAAAATAATTAATGATTTAGAAAAATTTGAAAAAAATTCATTAAGAAAGATAGATAAATAAATAAATAGAGGAGAAATGAGAACGGTTTATAATAGAATGCCAAAGGCTGGTTGGTAAATATGGAGCAAATGGGAGTTGGAAAATCATTATATCGTGACCATCATGATAAATATAGAATCAGACAAATATAATCAATGGATGTTAAGTGTAAGGGGAAATTTTGATGAGGAACAGAATATTTACATTATCCTAAAGTGTTTCCCAGACTGTTTATTAGATGCAGAGAGGAATAAAACAGTGACCACTGGGTAACACCTTGACAGGATGATCAAAACTGACATCACCTCCGTGCTACCAGATGTTATTCCCCAAAAAGGAATGTGTTCCAGCCAATACATAACTTCAATCTAACCATGAGGAAACATCAGACAGATACAAAACAAAGAATATTCTATTTAAAAAGGAAAGGGGAGGGGCGCCTGGATGGCTCAGTCTTTGAGTGTCTGCCTTTGGCTTGGGTCATGATCCCAGGGTCCTGGGATCGAGCCCTGCATCGGGCTCCCTGCTCGGCGTGAAGCCTGCTTCTCCCTTTCCCGCTCCCCCCTGCTTCTGTTCCCTCTCTCACTGTCTCTCTCCCTATCAAATAATAAATAAATAAAAATCTTTTAAAAAAATAAAATAAAAAAGGAAAAGGGAGGAAATTACATTCTTCAAAACATCAATGTCATAAAAAACAAAGAAATACTGTGGAAATGCTCCAGATTAAAGGAAGTTAAAAGACATAACAGAGGTGGTACTGATAGTGTGAATAATAGTTTGTTTTTGCTATTTCTCATTTATTATCTGGGAGATTAAGAAGACACTAAAAACATTAAAAAGTAACAAAAGTCAAAATGTTTTGCTCACAGATTTTCTCAATTATTGAGTAACACGAAGGAACACAAAAGGCATACCTGTAATTGTGAACACTGAGGAATTTTCCTTCGAGGTGGAGTTGGGATAAATGAAGTCAGCTTCCTGACTGATTCTAATCGTTTCTGCAAAGGGGTGGCACCTATAAAGTAATCTTTAAGCCTTGAGGATGCACTGTGCCTAGGAGTCGATTCTGATGTATCATAAGAATCCATGGTCTACATAAAAAGAAATAAAACCAGAATTCTGAACACTAAAAACTTAATTCATGCTCATAGTTTCACTGATCCTTCTTCTCCCTGCTATAAAGGAATTCTTTCTTTCCCTTCCTCTCCTTGCTCCTCCCCTCACCCCCAGATTTGAGTTTTTAACCAAGTCCTATATTTCTCATTGGCTATAGGCTATTTTTTCTTACCAATACCTCAAACTCAGAATGTTCAAAACTAAATTTAATTCCTTCCCATCCTCCTCCAAAAGTTAGCTGGTCCATTTTCAAATTCCAGTCAATTTTCTATGTTAAATTCATTTAAAGTGGGAGAAAAGTATTCTCCCACTTTCATTCTTGAACATGTAGTCATTAAGCACATTCTTTTGAGTTTTTCCTTCAACAGTCTCTGTCATCCATTCCCAAAGCTACTTCTAGGTTCTTATTACAGTATCTAAGGGTAATCCATTCTTCAGCAGTGACACTTTATTTGTCGCCTGTGCAAAAAAACTTTACAGTGATGAGAAAAATTCTACTTTTCTGCTATTTAAGATCTTTCATAATTCAGCTTGCTCTTATCCTACTTCTCCTAGGCATAAGCATATTCTTGTCTTCATGTTTTTGCCTATCAATCATGTTCCTTATCCACCTCCTTTAGGACCATGTTTGAATTTGATCTCTTTTCAAGTAGAAGGGTTTTGTTAATCTTTTTTCCCCAGAATATCTATGTTATACACTTCTGTCTGTATCAATAGCTCATTCCTGGAAGCAATGTGTATGCGGGCATGGCTGTGTGTGCACAGAATGAGATCTCAGGGGTAAATATTTTTTAAAAGCCCAAAAATCCTCTCGATGAGTCTAACAAAATCTCACAATATGTTTCATAAAATGTTTGGAGATTAATAATATACCAGCCCGCATAGCTCTCCTTGATCATCTAGTTTGTACCACTCATTTTAGCCCATATTCATATAGTTCCTTGTACAATTTTTTTTGGTATGCATTTTTTCTCTTCCCAACAAGACTAAAATACTTTGAAATCATGCTTTATATTTCTCTTGTATAATTATCCTAATATAATGCTGAGTGTTTTTTAATTGTTAGCAAGGATTGCAGGGGTTTTTTATTTGTTAGTTTTTGTAGTTTCAAGTTTTTCTTTAAATTCCAGTTAGTTAACATACAGTGTAATATTAGTTTCAGGAGTAGAATTTAGAGATACATCACTTATATACAACTCCCAGTTGCTCATCACAACAAGTACCCTCCTTAATACCCATCACCCATTTAACCCATCCCCCCCTCCGCCCACCTCCCTTAACAAGTATCAGTTTATATCAACAGAAGGGGGGCGCCTGAATGGCTCAGTCGTTGAGCATCTGCCTTCGGCTCAGGTCATGATCCCAGGGTCCTGGGACCAAGCCCCACATCAGGCTCCCTGCTCTGCGGGAAGCCTGCTTCTCCCTCTCCCACTCCCCCTGCTTGTGTTCCCTCTCTCGCTGTGTCTCTCTCTGTCAAATAAATAAATAAAATCTTAAAAAAAAAAAAAAAAAAAAAACAAGAATTTCATAGAACTCTGAAATTATAACTTTCATTGAAAGGAATTATGATTTAAAAGTTATAATAATTACTCCCACGTATTGGCACAGTTACCCTTTGGTAACAGTTTTTCACAAATGAAAACTTGTAGGGGCGGCTGGGTGGCTCAGTCGGTTAAGAGTCTGCCTTTGGCTCAGGTCATGATCGCAGAGTGCCCGGATACAGCCCCACATAGGATAGAGCCCCACATCAGGCTCCCTGCTTCTCCCCCTCCCCCTCCCTCCCGCTTGTGTTTGCGTGCGTGCGTGCATGCTGTCTCTCTCAAATAGAACCTTCTAAAAAAATGAAAACTTGTATTTATTACTGTATTTAAATTTTATTATGTCAAAGTAGGACACCCTCTGTATCTTGCACAAAACTTCACAGGTTAAATATGCATTTCTCAATGCTCAGATAATGCCCAGGCAAGATCATACACCACACAATTTAAATAACAGCTAATTTAAAGCATTCTACTTTTAAATGCATACTGAATTATCTCTTTAAAAGAGAGTTTTAGGGCACCTAGTTATCTCAGTCAGTTAAGAGTGTGACTCTGGATTTCGGCTCAGGTCATGATCTCAGGGTCGTGAGATTGAGCCCTGTGCACTGGGCATGGAGCCTGCTTGAGATTCTCTCTCTCCCTCTGCCCCTACATCCACCCTTCAGTGGCACGGTCTTTAAAAAAAAAAAAAAAAAGGGCGCCTGGGGGGCTCAGATGGTTAAGCATCTGCCTTCGGCTCAGGTCATGATCCCAGAGTCCTGGGATCAAGTCCCGCACTGGGCTCCCTCCTTGGCGGGGAGCCTGCTTCTTCCTCTCCTGCTCTCCCTGCTCGTGCTTTCTCTGTCAAATAAATAAATAAAAAATCTTAAAAAAAAAAAAAAAGCAAAAAACAGCGGGGAGGGATTTTAATCAGTCCCATCCACACAGAATGTTTCTTTCAAATTTTTATTTGGATTAATTGCTAACATTTATTGAGTACTCATCAGGTGCCAGGTACTTGTCCAAGCCCCTAACAAATATTGCCTCAACCCCCATGAGGTGGTTTATTATATTCCCAGTTGACAGACGAAAAGACAAAGAAGTTCAGTAATCTGCCAAAGTCATACAGGTAAAGAAGGCAAGAACCAGGATTTGAACCCAGACAGTATAATGCCAGAGTGGGTGCTCTTATCTCTTTTTTCACATTGCCTTTCAATAGAGATCAATTTCAAGGCAAAAGAAGCCCTGCTGAATTTGACTCCTTAAAAGAGAAATGCTATGAATTCCAAAAAATGATTTAAAAATCTGTGTAGATGAGAAAAGGACTATTAGCACGGAGACAGTTGGTTTTGAGAAAACCTTTCCCCTCAGTATTTAATATTATGGTAATGTGAAATATCCCAAACCACGCATGAAAGATTAGAAAATGACTCACATCTATTTTATTCTCTCACTCCGCACTCAATAAAGGGCAATTTTGCCCTGCCCAATAAGTAAGAGGTTAAAGATATATCTTGACTCATTATTTTAGTGTCCCATTCTTAACCCCTTTCCCCAGTCCATAAGGAGTGATCCATAGACGCCACTTCTATCTTGTCATTACCTTGCTGGAGATCCCCTAACAATTCCCACCCATCTTTCAGATGAAGTCAGAACTTCTCTGAGTTTCATGGCACTACATGATCTGATCTTATTATTTGATATTATCCAGGTTCATTTTCTACTTCAGGAGTTCTCGGCCAAGATCTATGGACAAATGGCCTTTCCAAAATCCAACAACCCTCTAAGGTTGTATGCAAAATGTTGTATGCATGTGTATTTGGTGGTGGAGGGGGAGGAAGAAAGGCCCAGTAGACAATTTTTGAAAAGATTATGAACCACTGCCCTAGACTGATCATCACCCTACTACTCCCCTTCGTGCCTGTCATGTTTGCCTCTGCTCCCTGACTTCTTTATTCAGCCTTCAGCCAACTAAGGATGCTTCTCTCCTCCCATTGGCCTGACCAAATGCAACCCATCCTGGAGGTTTCACGTCCTCAGAAGCCGGCCGGTATCCACAGAGTATCACCAGCTCTTCTTGCACTTGCAGTTCATAACACACAGTTACAACTTAGTTGTTTTTCTTGTGGTAAATCCATGAAGGAACGGACCCTGACTTTTTACACCGCTACCAATACCTAAATCCCACTGCCAATGCTTGGCCCAGTGCCAAGCACGTAGCGTGCAGCCATCTAAACACAAAAGTGTTGTAGAGATAACGAGTACACAGCAGGGCAAAACATAAAGCTGACGGCCAGTCCTGGACAAAGATAAAGCTTCTTACCAATAAAATACCGTGATGACGCTGTCACCCATTCCGGCTTCAAGAGTCATTCTTCAATTCTGGTTCCAAAAGTAGGTAGAGACTAAAATCCCCTGAAGTTTAAAAAAAAAAAAAAAAAAAAAGCCGCCAAAACGGCAGGTAAGAGAGAGTTTGGAGGAATCCTTGGCCCCTCCAAATTCCCTCTCGCTCCGCAATAACTGGGTTCACCAGGGACACAAACTCGCTTCCTCAGATGTCCCGAGACTTCACCCCAGGAGGGGCATTTCCGCTGACCCAGCCACCAGCTCTGCGACCCTCGCTTCTGCGGAGTCGGCCTCTGCCGGAGGAGAGGAAGGGCAAGGGACAATGGGTCCCAACTCTCCCCTCTCCACCTGAGCCCTTCAGAGGCCCAGCGAGCTCAGAAGTCCCGCCTTTGAGGAGCTGCAACCCAGCGCTCAGCCGCCGCCTCAGTTTAAAATAGTTTCCCGTCTCGCTTTGCGGCGGGACGCCGGAAGCCTCCCTGGTGCCGATCACACGTTAATGAAGCAACTACGGTCGCCATTTTAACTGAGGTCAAACTACCTAACCATAATCGTCAACTTGGCTAACCGCGCGGTGATAGTCTTCAGCGCTTTTCTACCTGCGCGAAGCGTTCCTTCAAATTTCCGCCCACAATAAGCATGGCGGCAGCACCTCTGCTCTGATTGGTTGAATGCCTCCACCGTAACTTGAGCGCTCTCGGAGCCGAATGAGGAGCGCTTGGCTCTCAGCGGGGATACGGCTGTGGGTTCTGGACCTGAGGAGGTTTCGGGCTTGCTGGCCTTCCTCTTTCTGAAGACCCGAGGACGGCCACCAGGTCGGAGAGATTTAAAACCTGAGGCTGAGTTCCTTCTTGTTTTCCAAGTTCGGCCTGCGGGAACCTTCGGAGAAGCGTGGAAGGAAGGGAAGGGCGGGCAGTTGGTGGTCAACCCCTTCCGCCTCTGTATGGTCGCGGAGGAGTCCCACTCTGCCCTGCTGTCTGGAAGGTTCTCTCGGCTCTTCTGGGGCCGCAGTTCGGTTGGTTAGAAGTGGAAACTGATGCATTGGAGGTGGGAAAAGGCTCTTTCCCCTACCCGCTTCCCAAGGGCCCCGAAGAACTTGTAGATTTATCTAGTTTCTAGACACGTGTACTTGACTGTTCAGCGGAGAAGGGCTTAAATATTGGAGAAGAGAGCGAGAACAACTAGCATTTTAAGGGATTTGTGTGTATTTCCAAAAGTGACTTTTGATCATCATCCAACACCGGCAGCCTGGGATTCGTGAGCGTCTCTCGCCATCCTGCGGCTCCAACATGTTCTCCTGTTGGTTAAGTCGGCTATGCAGGGGTTTTTCCACACCCACCGGAAGGATCGCCCACCTGATCCGGGGTTCTCTCTCCAGAACGCTGGTGCTCGGTTCACAGAGGAGAACTCCAGGTGAAAGCAGTGAAGGGTTCTGTCCTCTTTAAACAGTACTTCCTCCTGGTCTCTGCAGTCAGAGTGCTCTTACTCCATTTTCCTGTAGTCTGAACTGGGTAGCCTTATGTGTAGAGGCAGATCATTCACTCTCCATTTCTTATAATGTAGATTTTTGTCTGGAGTTTTAAAAGTAACCGCGTGAATTCTGCTTTTAGCTGATGCTATTAATAAGCCTAAAAAATTCTTTCACATTTGAGAATGTTTTCTAGCGTGCAAGTGACTGGTTTCACTCTAGATTCATACCATCAAACCCGTTATTCCAAAACCTCATTTCATTTTGGAAAGGAATGTGCACTATTAAAAATAGGGTAATTTTAGGTCTCAATGCAAATGCTACGTGATCAAAGTTTAGATTTCCTAACACAGGGCAAAAATTTACAGTAAGACTGTTAATTCACTTGGCTTTTGACACATTTGCAGCTAAATTAAATAGTGACTGAATCAAATTACATACTTCAACTTTATGAATTTCATTCATTGTCATGAAATACTTAAGATGATATAATTTGAGCGTCTTTATTTTCAAGCAGTTTGCAAATCATATGTTTTTAATCTTGCTTTCCTTTAAAGAATTCAGTAGCTTTGTTGCTCGGACCAACACGTGTGGAGAGTTGCGTTCTTCTCACTTAGGCCAAGAAGTCATTTTGTGTGGATGGATTCAATACCGAAGGTAAACTGGCTTAGAATACCTGGTGGTTAGGGGTGACTGGGTGGCTGGGTCCATTACGCTTTCAGCTCTTGATTTCCGCTCAGGTCATGATCTCAAGGCCGTGAGATAGAGCACCAAGATGGGATCCGCCTGCTTAAGATACTCTTTCTGCCCCTCCCACCCCCCCAAAAAAAAGAATGCCTGGAGATTGTTTTCCCTCAGTCAGTTCCAAACTTTTATTAATTTTCAATCACTCAGAACAACAAAAGCTTTTCAACTCCTGCAGGATTCTCAGAATTCACTGAGTTTTCAGATTTGTTTTGAAAGACCCAAACAGAATCACTGGAGTGGCATCTGTTGAAGGGTGTGATAACAGTGTGTTCCACCAGTGGATTGAAATGTCCCTTAGCTTACTCGAGTTGAAGAGTTCCGAGGACCAGTAATTGGGAGTGGGCCACCTGGTAAGCTTCAGTAGCATGAAAAAGCTTATTTTATTCTAAATTTAGGTAGAGAAAAAGCGTAAAAACACGAACAGTGATTCCTTAAGATTAAAGCCCATTTTGTTGTTCATCTCTATATTCCAGCACATACCTGAATAGTACATTAATTAACAGTGAAGAGCTCCAAAATACATAGACTGTGTGGCCTTCCTGAAGAATATGTTCCATATGGGTGGATATTTGACCCATAAATTTGGTGATTTCTGAACTCAAAATCTGAAGAGGTTTTCTGTACCTCTTCCTGGTACTAAGGATAGTATGAGAAATGCAGGTTGAACGCTAAAATGTTCGGATTTGGGAGACCTTTTTGATGGTTTATAGAAGTATTAGTAGTTGGACCACCTCTAGAAAATTGTAGTTTTTATCTTTTAAGAAAAGAGTTTATAGAGACACCTGGGTGGCTCAGTCGGTTAAGTGTCTGCCTTCAGGTCAGGTCATGGTCCCCGGGGTCCTGGGATCGAGCCCCGAATCAGGCTCCCTACTCAGCGGGGAACCTGCTTCTCCCTCTCCCTCTGCCACTCTCCCCAACTCGTGCTCTCTCTCGCTTGCTCTCTCTCAAGTAAATAAATAAAATCTTCTTAAAAAAAGTTTATATTGTGGGGCGCCTGGGTGGCTCAGTCGGTTGAGCGGCTGCCTTCGGCTCGGGTCGTGATCCCAGAGTTCTGGGATCGAGCCCCACATCGGGCTGCCTGCTCAGTGGAGAGCCTGCTTCTCCCTCTCCCTTTGCCTGCCTCTCTGCCTACTTGTGCTTTCTCTCTCTCTCTGTCAAATAAATAAATAAAATCTTAAAAAAAAAGTTTATATTGCTATATTTCAAAAATTTATATTGCTATAATTGGATATTTCTCATATCCTAAAATATTTGTGGATTTTAATACATGAAAAGTTTCCAAATTTAATAAAATTTTCTTATAAAGACTTAAGCCAATGAAAATTAAAAGTTTGCCTTTTACTGACAAGCCATCTGGATAACTTTAGTAAGCTGAATATATAACCAGTAAAAATTGAAATTGAAAATGAAAAGCCTGGGGTGCCTGGTTGGCTCAGTGGGAGTGTGTGCAACTCTGGATCTCAGGGTTGTGAGTTCGAGCCCTGCTTGTGGCATGGAGTTTACTTAAAAATTTTTTAAAAAACAGGAGCACCTGGGTGGCTCAGTCGGTTGAGTGGCTGCCTTCGGCTCAGGTCATGATCCTGGAGTCCTGGGATAAGCCCCATGTTGGGCTCCCTGCTCAGCAGGGATCCTGCTTCTCCTCCTCCCTCTGCTGCTCCCCCTGCTTGTGCTTTCTCTCAAATAAATAGATAAAATCTTTTTTAGAAAATTTTAAAAATAGATGATTAAGAAAATAACAAATGCAAAGTCTGGGGTTTTTTCCGTTAATAAGCTACATAGATAATTGCATGAATGTAGCACATAATGAAAACACATAATTATTATAAAAAGAACGTGGGAAATTGCATGGATTTTTGTTTGTTTAATTTGTTTTGCCTCCTTAAAATTTTGGGCTCAGAGATTTTGGCCTTACATGTTCATTTTCTTCATTGATCAGGCAAAACATCTTCCTGGTCCTGAGAGATTTCCATGGGCTTGTTCAAGTTGTCATTCCCCAGGAGGAGGTAATAGAAGGTTTCCTACTGTTATCTGAAAGTCTCTCTGATGCTATGCTTAGTATGTTGGTTAAGTATTTGTGTGTGTGTGTGATGAAATGTTCCTGGAATAATACATACATATCTGGTAACATTGGCAAACTCTGGGAAAGGCAACTTTTTACGGTATATCTATTTATACCCTTTGAATTTTGAGCCACGTTTACGGTACCACCTGCTCAAAAAAAAATTAGCATTAAAATTAGGTAAAATAGCTCTCATCATGCTTGTTGAGCTATATTGGTTTCTCTTGTGGTAATGTTTACAAATGCTTTATACCTAAGAAATGTGTGATTTACTCAGTTCTTAGTCTTTGAAGTAAGTAAAGAGCAATGAATTATCTTTCAGGGATCAGGATCCAGAGACGAGCATAGCTAACCCAGGAGAATTCCTTTCAGTTGGACTCCATTATTTCTATTGGATGTAACTGCCCCTAAGACTAACTCTGGAGACAGTTGCCTTAAAAGTATGTAGGAATTGTTTCCATCAATCATTTTTCCCCTTATTTTCCTTTAAGGAAAACATTCTAAAACCCTTAACAGGTTTACCTGCTGTATTATGTGGAGTCAAAATGGCAATGCAATTTACCAAATTCTTTAAGAAAGTCATTAAGGGCAGCCCCAGTATTTATGGCAATTAAGCTATGAGTGTTAATATTTTTCTAAACCATAGACTGCGGTAACTACATATTCCTCTACATTCATTTGTTTGTCGGAACTGTTTTTCTCTCTCATTCTGTAGTCAGCTGCTTCTGTGAAGAAGATTTTGTGTGAAGCCCCTGTGGAATCTGTGGTGCAAGTGTCTGGGACAGTAATTTCCCGACCTCCAGGACAAGAGAATCCAGTTAGTAGTTAAGAAGCGGTCTATGTAAATTTTACCTGTATATGTGTGCACTCTACACATTTAGGCAACAGACACCGAGCACCTATTAGACATCAGGCACTAAGATTTCTGCAGGTTCCACAAATGAACCTACAGATTCCAAAATCTTCACTACAAACACACCAATGTGCACAGGCATGTTAAGACATCTGTCAGTGAGCACATCGACCACAGATATGCGTAAGAATGTCAAAATCAGGGGCGCCTGGGTGGCTCAGTCGTTAAGTGTCTGCCTTCAGCTCAGGTCATTATCCCCGGGTCCTGGGATTGAGCCCCGCATCGGGCTCCCTGCTCCGCGGGAAGCCTGCTTCTCTCTCTCCCACTTCGCCTGCTTGTGTTCCCTCTCTCGCTGTGTCTCTCTGAAAAAAAAAAAAAAGGTCAAAATCACGCACAGACATTGATGCTTTAGACTACACGCCATACGCACCCTCACATTTTACATATGTAAGTAAATGCATGCGTTTTACAAATGATCACTGTGTACAGGTCCTGATGAGTGATTTTTTTTTAAAAATAGGTCTTTTCTTCTCTCTTTAAGAAAATGCCAACAGGTGAGATCGAAATCAAAGTTAAAACAGCTGAACTTCTGAATTCCTGCAAGAAGCTGCCCTTTGAAATTAAGGACTTTGTGAAGGTGCCATCCTCTGTTATTAATAAAATAGAGTATCTAGAAAATGTTGGTAACCGGTAAAGTGTTTTCAGAGTTTTTTAAAGAAAAACTAACTTCTACAAAATTAAGCATTTTTTTGTGGACCTATCGTGAAGTGTTCTGTTCTGTGCTGTTCTGAAGTAAGCCATTGCAGTTCCTAAACACCTAGGCTGCTTTTTCAGACAGCTCGAAACATGGGTCTACCTTTAAGACTTGAGGTGGTGTTTTCAGGTTTTTTTGTTGCTGTTTTATACTTTGAAAGGAAATTTGTGTCTAGCTTGGAAATAGCCAGACGGCATAGGAGATCCTGCATCTATTAACTTTCAGGCTCTAACAGTGATAAAATGTTTGCTTGACTTCGCAAGCATATAAATCTGATTACTGTATTTTAGGATGTACTTTGCCCAAGTTTGAGGGGTTGCCGAAGCTAAATAGCTCTGGGTGAGTGTACCCTGATAATCTGCAGCTTTGAAACAATTATCTACAGTTGAAGATGTTTATACATCTAATTTGTAAACTGATCTACACAACGGTTTTTAAATTAACTGTATGGCCACTTAGTGTCACATTTAAATTCTCAGTACTTAATCTTTTAATTAGAAAAAGCAATATAATTATCTGGTTGACCTTTCTGTGGCGGGAGAGAAAAGGAAATATACAGTTTTCCCCAGCTAAGCTTTCAGAAAGAAATGACAGTTCTACTTCTGGTTAAAAAGTTGTCAGAACAGGGCACCTGGGTGGCTCAGTCGTTAAGCGTCTGCCTTTGGCTCAGGTCATGATCCCAGGGTCCTGGGATCGAGCCCCGCATCGGGCTCCCTGCTCCGCAGGGAGCCTGCTTCTCCCTCTCCCCCTTCCCCTGCTTGTGTTCCCTCTCTCGCTGGTCTCTCTCAAATAAATAAGTAAAATCTTTAAAAAAAAAAGTCAGCACAGAGAGCTGCAGAGATGTACAGCTTTGAAAATAAGCAAACCTTCTTACCGATTTCTACTAGTACAACAGTGGGGGGGTTTCCTTGCATTTCTCACACCTGTACTCCCACTTAGGTGATAATGTCATAGCTATTTTTACTCTTGTGTATTTTTTTTTAAGATTTTATTTATTGGGCGCCTGGGTGGCTCAGTCGGTTAAGCGACTGCCTTCGGCTCAGGTCATGATCCTGGAGGCCCGGGATCGAGTCCCGCATCGGGCTTCCTGCTTGGCAGGGAGTCTGCTTCGTCCTCTGACCCTCCCCCCTCTCATGTGCTCTCTCTCTCTCTCTCATTCTCTCTGTCTCAAATAAATAAATAAAATCTTAAAAAAAAAAAAAGATTTTATTTATTTATTTATTTGAGAGAGAACGAGCAGGGGGAATGGCAGAGAAGAGAAGCTCAGTATGGATCCCGACACGGGGCTCGATCCCAGGACCGCGGGATCATGACCAGAGCCAAAGGCAGATGCTTAACCTACTGAGCTACCCAGGCACCCCTACTCTGGTGTATATTTTTAAATGATCTTTGAAGTCTTTAAATGTATTTTTCAAGACTCAACTATGGGCTTAAATAAATGGATAAATGTTTAGTGAGGGTAGGCAAATTTCAGTCAGTGAAGGGCGATGTTAATAATAAAGAAGAGTTAAAAAAACGTAAAATCTATGCTAGTAACAAACTTAGAGGCTGTAGGAATTAAGGATGGTGTTGTATTCGCAAATAGTGGAAACTAAAGATAGAACTGAAGTTTTTGAAAATCCACGCTCTGTATTAAAGTTAATATCTCTTTAATATTCAAAGAATATTTAAACATTAAAATCTTTCAATTTGTTTAGAAAACAGAGGCTCTTCGTTTGCAGTATCGCTACTTAGACTTGCGTAGTTTCCAAATGCAGTATAACCTGCGACTGAGGTCCCAGATGGTCATGAAAATGCGGGAGTATCTCTGTAATCTACACGGTAAAGGACATGCCTAAATGTTCTTTAGAACTTTTCAGCATCTTCTTTTGTTTTATTCAGCATTTTATTGTATCTCTCTTTAGCATCATTGGGTCAGAAGTTGCCAGAGCTCTGGAATTCACTTAATGTGTAAAGCAGTTTTTGAAAAAAAGGTGATTTCCAGTGTTTTGTCCTAGAGCATAATTTGGTAACTTAGAACATAATTTAGTTCTACTAGGTCCCAAATACAGTCTTTTAAAGATATTGCATTGAAGGTAGAAAAGCCCTTTGGTTGTTATTTATGAGTTTTCTTAATTTTTTATCACGCTTATACTAATTTGTTAGGAGCTCAGAAATGTCCTATGAATTAAACTAGACTCTTCAATCAGTCCTGGAGGTTTTTCTACTATGTTTGAGTTATTTTTGCTATCCTAGCAGAACATCTAGAAAATGAAAACAGTTCAGTAAACAAGAATCCATCAAACAGTTGGAATTATTTCATGACAAAAGTGTCACTTTATGAGCCAAATAGGGTTTTATGAAAATCCTCAGCTTCTGTCTTGGATGTGTGGAAATCAGCATTCAGTAGGCTTGGTAACTTCTTTCAGTCAAAATTCCTAATTAAAATGTAGCCTCAGATTTGATTTGTTGAACTGTACCCTAGACAACATACTTGACAAATTCCTATCTAGTAATTTCTGATGCTTCTCTCTTTTTAGGATTTGTGGATATAGAAACACCAACATTGTTTAAGAGGACTCCTGGGGTATGTATATCCCTTAAATCAGCCTACTAATAATGTCCTATTAGTTCTGAAATAGGACCACTTTGTTTTTATATTCATGTGGCTGTATTTTTTTCATGTATTTTATTATTTCACAATGATCACATTAACTAGGTTTTGTTAAGAGTTGAGAAAATTATATGGGTCAGTATTTTGAGTCAGAACACTTTTATTCTACATGAGTTTTCTTTCCCTTGAGGTTTATAAATGCAAATCAATAATGAATTCTTTCCTTAAAAATAAACCCCTTGTGGGGTGCCTAGCTGGCTCAGTCAGGAGAGCATGTGACTCTTGATCTCAGACTTGTGAGTTCAAGCCCCAAATGGGGTATAGAGATTACTTAAATAAATAAAAAAAACTTAAAAGAAAATAAACTCCTTGATCAATAAGAATTGACATTTCTAAACATTGATATTTATACAGTCCATGGACTTTTATAAAAACATAGTTTTAAAAAGCAGTTAGCAATTATTAGATAGGAATTGCACAAAATTCTTTCAGCTCATAACAGAATTGGGAATTCATTTCAACAAGCACGCATTTATTACTTACCATGTACAAACATTGTTAGAAGCCTACTGTGTGCAAGCCTTTTGGGGGACTAAAAGATGAGCAAGAGATGATCTCTGTCATTTGCTCTTTAGTTAACTTCATTGATGAGCTGAAGTATCACCTTCCACCAGGTCTTAGGTCCAGGTTTTTTTAACAATATTTCTGCTCTCCTCTCATTAAAGGGTGCAAAAGAGTTTGTAATACCATCCAGGGAACCTGGAAAGTTTTATTGTCTCCCTCAGAGTCCTCAACAGTTTAAACAGCTTCTGATGGTTGGTGGTGTAGACAGGTGAGCCTTCTGTATGTTAGTAGTAAGTTGTCAGAAAAAGAAAGGGGAGGAAGGTGGGGAGGAAAAAAGGAAACACAAAGTTATCTGATCTCTTAAAAGAAGTTAGAAAATGTATGAGCATTTGGAAAACACTTGTTAAAAACCCTAAACATTTGTAGTCATTATTTAGTAAAGATGTATTGGGTGGCCGCCATGTGCAAAGCTCTATGCTAGTAGATGTGCAGGGAATTAAAAACAAAAAAGGAAAGGTCTTAGGAGTGCCTGGGTGACTCAGTTGGTTAAGTGTCTGACTCTTGATCTTGGCTCATATCTTGATCTCGGGGTTGTAAGTTCAAGCCCTGAGTTGGGCTCCAAGGTGGGCATGGAGCCTACCTAAAAAGAGAGAGAGAAAGAAAGAAAGCAAGCAAGAAAGAAAAGGTTTTGCTGTCCAGGAGTTAATGAATGTAGTAAGACAGAATAGGGTAATAAATAAATAAACCAACTGCCAACTATGATAGAACCCAAAAATAAGTTTGTTGAAGGTTGCAAACTAGGTATTGTTTGGGGAAATATTAAAAAAACTTTGTGAGCAAGGCCTTTTGGGACAGTGCTGCATCTCAGCAGATGAAGATGAGAATGGAAATGGCATAGCACAAAAAAGCTCAAGTGTAGTCATGGATCAATAAGTATTTTGATTTGGTCAGAGCAAAAGAGTATATATAAAGAAGCATAAGTGCCTTGCATGCCAATCTATTGTATATTTTTAAAACAATGTATAGAATATTAGTTTCTTATGGGTCTACTGTATATCTGATTAGATTAGAGCATCATAAAGAATTTTAAAATTTCTTATGTCCTTTAGGTACCATTATTAACTTATTTCGTAGACTGCACTACCATGAACTTCTGGGGAAAAGTGTGTGTATCTTCCTATCATGACTCAATTCATACTATTTTTCAATTGTAGATATTTTCAGGTTGCCCGATGTTACCGAGATGAAGGTTCAAGACCAGACCGACAGCCTGAGTTTACTCAGGTACTAAGTTATATTCACTTTTGTCTCTTACTCAGTCATCCTTGTGCCAGCCAAGTGGTTCCAGACCGGGCAGTAATTTTATATATAGGCAGACCTTGTTTTGTTGTACTTCGCTTTATTGTGCTTCGCAGACATTGCATTATTTACTGATTGAAGGTTTGTGGCAACCCTTCAGAGCAAGTGGATCAGCACCATTTTTCCAACAGCATTTGCTCCCTTTGTGTCTCTATGTCATGTTTTGGTAATTCTTACAATATTTCAAACTTTTTCATTATTATATTTGTTTTGGTGATCTGTGATCAGTGATTGTGATTCACTGAAAGCTCAGATGATGTTAGTATTTTCTAGCAATAAAGTATTTTTTAATAAAGGTACATACATTTTTTGACAATGTTATTGCACACTTAATAGACTACAGTATAGGATAAACATAACTTTTATAGGCACTGCAAAACCAAAAAATTAATTTGACTCACTTTATTGTGATTATGCTTTATTGCAGCAGTCTGGAACCAAACCTGCAAGAGCTCTAGTGTATGCCAGCGCTTTACTTCTCATTACATTTTATCCATCAGATATTTAATTAAACTAACCTGCAGTTGAGACACTGTTTAATTTTTGATCCATTTCATGTGTCCTTTTTATAACACGTATGGTCATCAACTAAGAAATGCCAAAGATTCCTGCAGTGTTTTAATGGTCGTTGCTAGGATAAAATTCTTTAAAACAAATCTCTTGTACATTAAGAACCAAGAATTCTGGGGCGCCTGGGTGGCTCTACCGTTAAGCGTCTGCCTTCAGCTCAGGTCATGATCCCAGGGTCCTGGAATCGAGCCCCGCATCGGGCTCCTCGGCGGGAAGCCTGCATCTCCTTCTCCCACTCCCCCTGCTTGTGTTCCTTCTCTCGCTATGTCTCTCTCTGTCAAATAAATAAAATCTTAAAAAAAAAAAAAGAACCAAGAATTCTGTATGTTGGTATTTAATCTGTCTAATCTTTAGACTCATCAAAGCTGTCATGATTTGGTTTTTATGTGATAGCGTGTTAATCAAAGTGGTGAAGCGCAAAAATCATAAGCTTTGGAGTTGGACAAACCTGGGATCAAGTGTAATTTCACTACTTATTAAGTGCATGTACACAGGCAAGTTACAAAGCCTCTCTGAGCCTTAAGCCATGAGGAGAGTGATGGGAACTAAACAAGTTGATATATATAAAGCCTTAGAATAATGCCTAACACAAAACAGATGTACAGTAACATTTATCCTCCCAACCCACACCCATGTATTAAGTATTTATGTGCAGAATCCTATGGTAACTTGAAACCAGAGGAATGTATAAATACGTACATATTAATATTGTGGCTATTCAAGTTAGTTTCCATATGTTATTTTGGTTTCAGATTGACATAGAGATGTCTTTTGTAGACCAGACCGGAATCCGGAGCCTAATTGAGGGCCTGCTCCAGTATTCCTGGCCCAATGACAAAGATCCTCTAGTGGTTCCTTTTCCTTCTATGACTTTTGTTGAGGCATTGGCCAGCTATGGAACGGATAAACCTGACACTCGCTTTGGGATGAAGGTACTTCTCTTCACTTTTCCAGGACTCTGTCCCACCATACTCTTGCAGTTTTTTAAACCACTTTGAAATTTACAACCAGTTACACACATTGTTATATCATATTTTTTTGTTGTTACTTTAGCTTGTTATCAAGCTATAGCAAGAGAGAATAAAAGCATGTTAGCACTACAGTACTTTTGTCCTATCTCCTATGCTCCTAGACCATTTCCAAGAATAAGGTTCTTGCCATAAGGTTTTTATTACTGACAACTTATTAATTATATGGACATGAATGACCACTTGAAAGGGGGGAAAAAAACCTATTCTTTCCTCTTCAATTTTTCTTAAGCTAAAATGGCACTTGGAAGGCAAATGATTAAGAGTTATTCTTTTTCCCTAGCCTATAAAGAGCTCAAACATGGAAATGTTTATTCAAACTAGTAAGATCTGTACATATTTTAACTAGGGGTAAGAGTAGAATTTATATAAAGCAGTTTCCATTAGCAAGCCTCTCATTATTTGCTCTTAGAAAGCAGTGGCCCTTCATGTCTATAATGCTGGTGGCATTTCCCTATCTCAGTTCTCAGTGCAAATTCCTTAGAAATCGAAGTTCCACTTCATCTATAAATAGGCAGTGCTTGATTCTTGGGATGAAAAAATATACAAAATGTTCTAACTGCCTACTTAGAGCTGCCAACTTAACCACTCCTTATTTCTTCTTCTGTAATCTAGAATAGTGGTGCTTAAGTCAGACTTCTTAGGTTAGGTTCTGGCTCTGTGTTATCTTGGCCGAGTTACTTTCTTCTCTGTGCTTGGTTTCTTCCTGTATTACATGGGGATAATGAGAGTGCATATCTCATACTCTTGTTGTACTGATTAAATGAATTAATGATGAATAATACATTAGTAGATTAACCCCTGTCGTAGTGCTCAACCCAGTAAAAACTGATGGTGCTCTGTAAACATTAACTTAGTAAGATCTACTTGCTTCTTTAGAATCTTGTTTGTAAAATTTTTTGAGATAAAAATTACTTCACATTTAGTTACCTTTTTTTGTTGCTGTTTTATAGATCGTAGATATTAGTGATATGTTCAGAAACACAGAGGTTGGATTTCTTCAAGATGCACTTAGTAAACCCCAAGGAGCCGTCAAAGCCATATGTATCTCTGAAGGAGCAGTAAGTGACTCGCAGTTCTGTTTCTCTAGGATGTATATTTGGGAAGTAAATATGTTCAATGTTCAACACTGGCACATTTAAACTTCAAGAAGAACAATTCTTTTTTTAAGAATATATATTTTTAGGGCGCCTGGGTGGCTCAGTTGGTTAAGCGACTGCTTTTGGCTCAGGTCATGATCCTGGAGTCCCGGGATCGAGTTCCACATCGGGCTCCCTGCTCGGCGGGGAGTCTGCTTCTCCCTCTGACCCTCCTCCCTCTCATGCTCTCTGTCTCTTATTCTCTCTCTCGCAAATAAATAAAATCTTTAAAATATATATATATTTTTTTAGGGGCGCCTGGGTGGCTCAGTCAGTTAAGTGTCCAACTCCTGATTTCGGGTCAGGTCATGATCTTAGGGTCCTGAGATTGAGCCCCACATCAGACTCTGCACTGAGCGTGGAGCCTGCTTGAGATTCTCTCTCTGTCTCCTTCTACCCCTCCCCTCTCTCTAAAAAAAGAAAGAAAAAGAATATATATTTTAAAACAGTGTCCCTGAAACTATAAGTAGAGAATAAAACCCTGTTGTGAGTGTGAATTTACACTCAAGATCTAGAGTTTTTGTCTTTCTTTTAAAAAATTCTGTAAAGTACTCCTCTACTTCATTTGCCATCATTCCCACCAGTGATGAGCATGAAATAGTGTTCATATGTCCTCCAGCCTCAGTTTATCCAAAGGCTCCCAGCCCATATCAGCTCCAGCATCACCCTTGCATGTTGTTCTGGGTCTTCAGAGATCCCTGGTCTCAGTTGCATTCAACTGCATTAATAACAGTGGGAGGGCCAGGAGGTGGAGCTGTGAAAAGCAAAAGGGAGGGGACGTTAGGGTGGGAGAAAGAGTGGCCGGGCTAGGCAACCCCTGACTCTGAGATGGTGAAACACGTCTGTTTTCCATAGTTACCACACCTGCTTAGAACAGAATTTGAGAAGAGTTCCAGAAGGACTTTGAACAAAATTACTATTTTGAAAGGCGACTCATTTGAGCATATTAGTGTATTCAAAATGGGAATAAGAATTCATTCTCATTACTTTTTATTCACTTCACATGTTTAGTGGAAAGTAATCCGTGTCCGTACTCTAGTCCAGACATAATGAATGCGTGCAGGTAAGCTCAGTGTCACATATACTGCTTGGTATTTTCGCCTCAATTTGAGTATGTCCAGTCTTCCCCGAGCAGATTATAAGAAGTGAAGGATTGTGAACCGTGTCTCCACTTTTTTGTATCTCCCATACCTAGTCTAGTGCCCCGAGAATATTAGTTATGATGATAGTCCTCATGTCTCACTTACAAAAGCATTGAGATAATTTAGAAAGAGTAAGATACAAAGAATTTTAAGCACCTGAAATAAGCAAATTCTGAGTCCTCTTTCTGATCTGAAAGTTATTTTTTCTTACACAGTTCAGTTGTAAAGATTTGAACATGTACCCCACGTATTCCATATGCAGGCTGTTCTGTGGAATACATTCATAGCCGTTTCCAATGAGACTTGTGTAATTAAGGGGGGAGGGTAATAAGCTCTGTGACAAGCTCTAAAGTGTTGTCATTTGGAAGCAGAAATTAAATTTTACATTGAATCCTCTTGTGATGGAAGGACACAAAATGTATTTGTATCCTATTTGATACCATAGACATGTTTATGAAGCTGAGTTTACTTTTCTTTTCAGAAATACTTAAAAAGGAAGGACATTGAATCCATTAGAAAATTTGCAGCTGACCATTTTAATCAGGTAAGGAGTTAATTACAATAGGTTTTTTTTTTCCTTTTAGGGATTCCATATTTTTAGTAAGTGTTTGAGCTCTTTATACAATCACTAGTTTTGAGGTCTTGTTATTTCAGACCATTTTTCTACTTTTCTTCTTTTTAAAGTTCATCTAATCCCAGGGCATGACTCTAGGACTTTGACTTAGACAGTTGAATTCACCATTAATCAGAATGTGGAAGTTCAACCATAATTTTTAAAATAAATGTGAAGAGATGCCTGGGTGGCTCAGTTGGTTAAATGGTTAAGCATCTGCCTTCGGCTCACGTCATGATCAAGCCCCATGTCGGGATCCCTGCTCACTGGGAAGTCTGCTTCTCCCTTTGCTCCTCCACCCACTTGTGGCTCTCTCACTCTCTTGCTCTCTCAAATAAATAAAAATCTTTAAAAAATAAATAAAATAGGGGCGCCTGGGTGGCTCAGCCGTTAAGCGTTTGCCTTCGGCTCAGGTCATGATCCCGGGGTCCTGGGATCGAGCCCCGCATTGGGCTCCCTGCTCTGCTGGAAGCCTGCTTCTCCCTCTCCCACTCCCCCTGCTTGTGTTCCGTCTCTCGCTGTGTCTCTCTCTGTCAAATAAATAAATAAAAATCTTAAAAAAAATAAAAATAAAAAATAAAAATAAAAAATAAATAAAATAAATGTGGAGTTTTAATCCAGTTAAGATTAGATTAGAGCCCCATGTGCCCAAGTTTTGAAAGAAAGCCTGTATTCATTGTTCTTCCCATATCCTTTTTAAAATTCTGAATCCACCTTTGACAAACACATTGTGTGTTGTTGGCTTGGTGAATGGAGGAACTGAACTACAAAGGAGCAGGAGTGGGAAACAGGCCTTCTTACCTTGTCACTGGACCTGGAAATTGCCTCAGCCTTCTCGGAATCAGTAACTTTAAAAATAATCATACCCTCTGAGTCATTAATTTTCCGTGACATGCTTTGTAGAAAACATTCTAAATGTGAGGAGAGTATGCTTATTATAGTATCCTTTACAACAGGGATAAGATGAAATTATATGGGAATGATTAAATAAATTAAGGTATAATCAAAGGAATTAATATTAAAGTTCCTTTTTAAAACTTTGTCTCCAAAGAGTTTATAGTATGGGGGACATGTTCATGTTGTAATGATTCGTAAGAAAAGGCAAATACAGAATTCTATGAACACTGATCATAACCAGGTAAAAACACAGTATTTGTGGACTGAAAATGGACCACCTCTGCTGCCACCACAAGCCAAGCCTCATACCTCAGGCTCAAAGAGATTTTTCAACAAGAAAGAAAGAAAGATTAGGATAATGGTTTCCAAATGGGTCAAGGCAAAATGAGAAAAGTCAGAGCAATATAAAAAGCTTTTCATAAAGCTAAATGAATTTAAAGAATTATCCTTTACTTCTTGTTCTTTGTTGTAAAAATGTATGTTCTTTTATGAAAGGATGGTAATAGCAGATAATGTTTTAGGTTTGTTTTATGCCTTTGATAAAATTCAAAAGTGGAAACTCTAGATCTCCCAATTTTGTTTCTTTACTTTCATGTTGCTAGTGTTTGAAGTCTGCATCTAGGATCGACAGGACCAGGAAATAAGCCCAAAGGTTAATAACTTCAGTAGCCTTCAGTTGATGGAACTCTTACTACATGTTCTTCTTTTCCTCATCTCTTTTCCTCTTTTCTTTTTTTACCCTTTCTCATTAACTGGATTTTTATAGAAGAAATGGGCACTACTTCTGTTTTTTCAATTTATTAATATATTTTAACTTGGCTTTATTTTTAATATGTATGTGAATTTTTAGCAATATGCTACATGCGCAGGGTTAAAAACACAAATAGTAAAGGATTACTAATGATAAGCAACAAGTGTGTGTTCCAGCTCACATCACACCAGTCCCACAGCAGCCAGAACGTCTCCGCTCTTAGAAATATATCTACATACTAGTGTTTTTGTTTGTTTGTGTTTGTTTTTACTTATCCATTTTAAATTTTATCTTAACTTCCTGCACGATAGATGAAGCTCCCACACACAGGCCTGCCTTAGTTACTCTGTCCCTTCTGCACAGCTGTCTTTCTGGACCTTTTCTCCATTCCTCTTCTGAGTTGAAACCACTCTTCCTGGATCCCAGATCTTCCTCTGTCTTATTTGTGTTGGAGTATATCCTCAAGTAACTTCCTAAGAAAGCGTGCAAGAGATACACTTGCTTTGTCTAAAAATGTCTTTATGTTCAAAACCTCACACTTGATTACTCATTTAGCTTAGTATAAAATTCAGAATTGGCAGTCCTATCCCTTTAGAACAGTGCTGTCTGGGGCACCTGGATGGCTCACTTGGTTGAACCTCCGACTCTTGATTCGGCTCAGGTCATGATCTCATGGGTCATGGAATCGAGCCCCGCATCAGCCTTCCCACTTATGCGGAGTCAGCCTGAAGATTCTCTCCCTCTGCCCCTCCCCCCACTTGCCCTCTTGCGCAAGCTCACTCTCTCTCTAAAATAAATAAATAAATCTTTAAAGAAAGGAAGGGAGAGAGAGAGGAAGGAAGGAAAGAAAGGAAAGAGAGAAAAGAAAGAAAGGAAAGAAAGAAAAGGGAGGGAGGGAGGAAGGGAAGGAAGGAAGGAAGGAAGGAAGGAAAATAGAGAAAGAACAGTGCTGTCCAAGAGAACTTTCTGTGATGGTGGGAATGTTTTGCATCTACATCGTCCAGTATGGTAACCACTAGCCGGTGTAGCCATCCAATGCTTGAAATGCGGCTAGTATACCTGAGGAGCTGAATTTTTAATTTTGTTTCACTTCAGTTAATTTAAATAGGTACGTGTGAGTGGTGGCTACTATATTAGACAGCACAGCCTTAACTTGTTGAAGGCATTGTTTTTTTCCGTGGTACCTGCTGTTACTGCTGAGAAGCCTGATGCTGATACAAATTTATTCCTTTACAGCAAACCTGATTGTTTTCCTTTGGAAGCATTCAGCCTCCTGATTCTTGATGTTCCAAAATTTCAGTTTATGTACCTTTGGGTTGTTTTACATTCGTGTGTTGTACACTAGAAGGGCCCTTTCAATATGATGGCTCATGTCTTTCATCTGTGGAAAGTTGTTCTATTACTAATTGTTTTTACTTCATCATTTTCTCTAGTCTCTTTTTTTGGAATTTCTTTTAGTCCTATTCGGACCTCCTATTGTAACTTAACTTGTCTCTTTTTTTCCCCCATGTTCTTTCCCACCATTTTCTTCGTCCTTTTTTTTTTTTTTTTTTTTAAGATTTTTTTATTTATTCATTTAACAGAGATAGAGAGCGCAAGTAGGCAGAGTGGCAGGCAGAGGTAGAGGGAGAAGCAGGCTCCACCGAGCAGGGAGCCCGATGCGGGACTCGATCCCAGGACCCTAGGATCATGACCTGAGCCGAAGGCAGTCGCCCAACTAACTGAGCCACCCAGGCACCCCTTCTTCATCCTTTTTATTCTTACTAAGAGATTTCTTCAACTCTTCTGTTGAATTCTTTTTAGCAGTCATGTTTATGTCCCAATAGCTGTTTTTTGGTTTTTTCCATCATATATTATTCTCATTTTATTGATAAAATATATTTTTGAGGGCCTTTGATGATTCAGTCCTCCTTTGGTCCCTAAACTACCTCCTTTGGTCCCTAAACTACCTAAACTACGTCCTTTGGGTCCTTTTTTTTTTTTTTTTTTTAAATACTGCAGAATTTCGTTGATGAATGGTGACTGTTGGTTGTATATATTTAGAAGGAGGCATTTTTTTTAAGTTTTTATTTAAATTCCAGTTAGTTAACATACAATTTAATATTAGTTTCAGGTTTACAATTTAGTGAGTCAGCACTTCCTTACAATGCCCGGTACTCTTCATCCCCATCACCTGTTTCACCTGTCCTCCACCCACCTCCCAGAACGAAGTATCTAAAAAGCTGATTGGGGGTGGAGCCTGACTGGTTCACTTGGTAGAGCATGTGACCCTTTTTTTTTTTTTTTAATTTTATTATGTTATGTTAGTCACCATACAATACGTCATTGGTTTTTGATGTGGTGGTCCACGATCCATTGTTTTCATATAACACCCAGTGCTCCATGCAGTACATGCCCTCCTTAATACCCATCACCGGGCTAACCAATCCTCCCTCCCCCCTCCCCTCTAAAACCCTGTTTGTTTCTCAGAGTCCATAGTCTCTCATGGTTCATCTCTCCCTCCAATTCCCCCCTGCCATTTTTCGCTTCCTTCTCCTAATGTCCTCCATGCTATTCCTTATGTTCCACAAATAAGTGAAACCATACGATAATTGACTTTCTCTGCTTGACTTATTTCACTTAGCATAATCTCCTCCAGTCCCATCCATGTTGATGTAAAAGTTGGATATTCATCCTTTCTGATGGCTGAGTAATATTCCATTGTATATATGGACCACATCTTCTTTATCCATTCATCTGTTGAAGGGCATCTCGGCTCTTTCCACAGTTTGGCTATTGCGGACATTGCTGCTATGAACATTGGGGTGCATATGGCCCTTCTTTTCACTACATCTGTGTCTTTGGGGTAAATACCCAGTAGTGCAATTGCTGGGTCATAGGGTAGCTCTATTTTTAAATTTTTGAGGCACCTCCACACTGTTTTCCAAAGTGGCTGTACCAACTTGCATTCCCACCAACAGTGTAAGAGGGTTCCCCTTTCTCCACAACCTCTCCAACATTTGTTGTTTCTTTCCCTGTCCATTTTTGCCATTCTAACTGGTGTAAGGTGGTATCTCAATGTGGTTTTGATTTGGATTTCCCTGATAGCTAATGATGATGAACATTTTTTCATGTGTCTGTTAGCCATTTGTATGTCTTCTTCAGAGAAGTGTCTTTTCATATCTTCTGCCCACTTTTTGACTTGATTATTTGTTTTTTGGGTGTTGAGTTTGAGAAGTTCTTTATAGATCTTGGATACCAGTCCTTTATCTCAATGTGAGACAGGAATCCATCAAAATCCTAGAGGAGAACATAGGTGGTAACCTCTTTGACATCGCCCACAGCAACTTCTTTCAAGATACATCTCCAAAAGCTAGTGAAACAAAAGCAAAAATGAACTTTTGGGACTTCATCAAGATAAAAAGCTTCTGCACAGCAAAGGAAACAGTCAACAAAACAAAGAGGCAACCCACAGAATGGGGGAGCATGCGACTCTTGATCTCTCTTGATCTCTCTTGATCTCTCTTGATCTCAGGGGTCCTGAGTTCAACCCCCACACTGGGTGTAGAGCTTAGTTAAAGAAAAAAAACATTTTTTTAAGCTGGTTGGGAACACAGGGTGCTTGCAGGGGCTTTGTGAATGGGTAGGTTCAGTTTAGGGGGAGCAGCAGAGCCATTGGCCATTACCCTGTGAAACCAAAGCTTCTTAAGAGTCCTGAGCCTACTCTCGAGGCTTCTGCAGGGTAAAATCAGTTCCTTCTGTGGTGAGACTACTCCATTTTTCTCCAGGCCAGAACTTCCTGCATCTTGCTGCTATAATCGTTCTATTCCATTCATTTGCAGCCTGCCACAAATTTGCAGAAACCTCTTTGCTGGTGTCTCCCACCTTTTATTCCCTTTTGTTTTTGATTATGGTGAGATTACTTTTGTAATTCCTCTAGTATCATTTTGAAGGGGTCGAGGGAGGGAATGAAGATCATCCCGTGTTCTATTGGGAACAAGAAATCTTTCTACGACAAGAAAAATAAATCACCCCCACTTTTTAAGAAAATGTGACTAAAGTCTTTTTCTTTATCACAGGAAGTCTTACCTGTATTCCCGAAAGCCGATAGAAACTGGAATACTCCAGTTGCTCAGTCCATACTGGAGGAGCAAAGATCAGGACTAATCAGACTCATGGAAATCCAAGAGGCTGATGTGGTCCTGCTAGCTGCCGGGGAGCACGAGAAAGCAGTAAGAAACACTACCTGTGAACATCTGTGCTGTTGATGCTGCATGGTGCCTCTCTTCTCCTACGTACATAGTACATATTTAAAACTGACTTAATTTCATAAAATGTTGGGGCTGCTCTACATGAGTTTGCTATTAATAAATACCTTTCAGCACTTACAAACAATGCACTGTATCAGAACTAGAGTTTTCTTCATCAGTTCCCAGCCTCCATCAGCACTGCTCACACAGTGATAATTGTGAGGATTGGCATTGTTCACACAGATTAGATCTGGCTCTGATTAGGAAAGTCACTCAGGTAAAGGTCCATTGGTATTTCTTGTAGGGCTGTGAAAAAATATTTTCATTTTCCAGGTTTTGCAGATTAGGATATTTTGGTAATCCCAAACTTTTGTAGATAATGCATTCCTAAAACTGTGGAGGGAGAGATCAGACTGTTGGAAGGCTACTGGGCTGGCAGACATCTCTGGCCCTCCTTGGTCAAGGCAGGACCCTTCCTCCTCAGGAGCAGCAGCTGGGAGGTGATGAGCTCCACTATGCCTGGTGATCTGTGGAGTGGACTTAGCCATAAAGATCATTGTAAAATGTACAGAAGTATGGAATATAAGTCAAACATGAATATTGAAAATATATTGGAAAGGTCAAGTGTGATATAAATTCATTCTCGCACTAAAGTATAATATGATTTCTGTATAGCAGTGGTATCTGACTTTATCAAGTCCATTCTTTTAATTTGTATTTGTTCTGTACATATCATTGTTTGTTCCAGAGGAAAAGCTTCAGAGGTCAGTTTCAGTGCTAAATGTAACCCACTACCCGGCACCTGGCTGGCTCAGTCGAAAGAGCATGCAACTCTTGATCTTGGGGTCATGAGTTCGAGCCCTACGTTGGGTGTAGCGATTACTTTAAATAAGTAAATATATAAATTTTATATAAATTTTAAAAGACTTCTTTTGAATAAATAAATAAATGTAACCCACTGTCTTTCCCTTCTCCTGCAATAGTGGAGTGAAGAAAGCTATTTAATTACAAATTTGTTTTGATACCACAGTCATGTTTATAATGAATTCATTTATCGACATTATTTTTTAATACCAGCCACGAACAGCCCTGATAAATTTGCTGGGGAATGCACCAGTTAATTACAAATTTTACTGTCAATGAGTTTCTTACAAAAGAACTTGGGATTTTGTATTATATAAGTATCCTGCTGCAAACTCATTTGGTCATTCCACTCTCAGGAAGGTACTGTTCCAATTCCTACTGGGACTCCTTGAAACAACTAGAAACCAGACTTAGGAGGAATAGCATTAGATTCTGAATATGTCACAGTGCAAGTACCCTGGGTGCATATTTAATGTAAGCTAGAATAGGCCATAAAGTGACACCCTATGCATGTTTCCAGGCATGGTTTCCCTTCTCAGGGAAGCTCTGCATATCATAGTTAGCACTTAGTGAGCGCTTCTGTTTGCTCAGCACTGTTCTGTGTACTTTGTGTATATTAACTCATTTAACCCTCATGACAACCTTATCGGAGAGAAGTTACCATTCTAAGATAAGAAAACGGAGGCATGGGGGCGCCTGGGTGGCTCAGTCGATTAAGCATCTGCCTTCAGCTCAAGTCATGATCTCGGGGTGCTGGGATCGAGCCCCACATTGGACACCTTGCTCAGCGGGAAGCCTGCTTCTCCCCCTTCCTCTGCCCCTTTCCCCCACTCCCCACTTGTGCTCTCTGCTCTCTTTCTCAAATAAATAAATAAAATATTTTACAAAAAAGGAGAACTGAGGCATGGAGATGAGAAATTTGCTCACACGCAGCTAGGCAGTAGGGGAGCCAGGGTTCTAATCTATGAAGTCTGGTTTCAAAACTCACACTCTCAAACAGACCTCTTACCCGTACTGCCCCTCTAATCATAGCCAACTTTTACGGGCCATCAGCTGTGGGCCAGGCACTGCTCAGAGCCTCACCACACCCTGCAGGAGCAGTCAGGAAAATATTCACAGAATAGCCGCCATGGATATGGCACCTCACATGCCGAGTCTCACTTGATGTTCACAACAGCTTTTTGGAGTAGATTGGTTGATCTCCATTGTCCCCTAGGAAAAGGTGCAGAGAAGTGAGTCAGTAGCCAAACTGAGATACACCCAGGTCAGTCAGGCTCGGGTGTCTGTGCCCTCAGTCACCGTGTCATCAAATCCTCACCCGATCTGCCTGCCGAGTGTGACCATCCTTCTCAACCATGTTTCAATCCGATCATCCAATCGGATGAGGCTCAGAGTGTCTCATCTATTAATTGTCTAATCCCTTCTCAGAGGATGGCCTGGCTGTAGAGTCCAGCTTGTGTCATTTGCTGCCTACTCTGTCACAGTGGTTAAGTCAACATTTGTATCTTCTCTTTGCAGTGCTCTGTGCTGGGAAAATTACGACTGGAATGTGCCGACCTTCTAGAAGCAAGAGGATTGGTGCTCCGTGACCCAGCTCTGTTCTCTTTCCTTTGGGTTGTGGATTTCCCACTCTTCCTTCCCAAGGAGGAAAATCCCGGAGAGCTGGAGTCAGCCCACCACCCATTCACTGCTCCCCACCCCAGTGACCTCCAGCTCCTATACACTGAACCCAAGAAGGTACCGTATCTGTACTTCCAAATAAAAGGGAAATGTGGAAACACAGGCAAAGATGTTTCGATTTCACAGTCTGACCCAGTTCTGGAAGCCTCAGAAGAGATGGTCGGGTTTGAGCCCATAGTGAATACATTGTCTCTAAGTAACTTCGCTGTCTTCAACCTGTAGAAGAACAGAAAACTAGAAATTTTCTCTAACGTAAAGGCTCTGGGAATCTTCTAGGTCCGTAGCCAACACTATGACTTGGTTTTAAATGGCAGTGAGATAGGCGGTGGTTCTATCCGAATTCATGATGCAGAGCTCCAGCGTTACATTCTGGCAACATTACTGAAGGTAACATCATCTTCTAACCTGTTGTGTTTTTTTTTTAACCAGAATATTTGTTGTTTTAGCCAGCATTGATGATATAGTGGTAAGCATAGCTGCCTTCCAGAATGTATGTGGGGTTTTTTTTTTTTTAATTGGTATGAATGAAGGATTCACTAGATACAGAACAGTGTTGGCTTGTCTCTGTACCTTTAGTGTAAGACTTTGAAAAGTAATAAGAGCCGTTCATTAGTACTGATCATATGTGCCAGGCACTAAGTACTTTATATGCACAGACACATTTAATCCTCACAATTACTTTTTGAGATAAATACCCCTGTTCTGCCCATTTTAAAGATGAATGACTGATGCAGATTAATTAATCTGCCCAGAGTTACACAGCACAGAAGTAAACTGAGCCACTGTTGGAATCCAGGCAGGGTGGCACTTTGAACCCAAGCTCCTAAGCTCTGAACCACCACACTGCACAAAAAAATGATGCGGTCAGAAATGCATGGAAATGTTGATAATGCTAGAGAAAGAGCCTGGCTTGAAAGAATTTTGTATCATTTAATACGGGCAGGGAGGTATTTTAGTGATAGAAAGTGGCATAATCAGGATTTTTAAAAGAAGAGTCTCTACAGATGCAGGCCTAAAAACCTGCAGTTTCTTGATGATTCCATAGAAGGCCAGGATAGATTTCAGGAAAGCAAATGTCTCAGAGTCTGATCCCAAGAGATCATTTTGTGGGATTAACTAACAGGGGTGAAGTAGGATGGAAGAATTTTATTTGAAGACAGGATTGGAGAACTCAAAACCCTAGACTCCCCGTTAGCCTTGCAGACATTGTGACCTCCCTTAATGTTTCTCCTCCCAACTCAAGGCATCCAGTCATCAGTTTCCCAGCCGAATTTCTTCCTTCCTTTCATTGTTAAGCTTCTTAAATGAGTCAGTGAGAATTCATTGCTTCTGCTTCTTCCCTGCCCCCATTGGTTCTCAGCCCTGCTGCACATTGGAACAGAATCAAGTGGAAAGTGTTAAAAACAAAAAAAATCACCCCACTACTCCACACCAGATCAATTAAATAAAAGGCTCTGTGTGAGGCTTTAGCATTCCTTCCTTAAAAGCTCCCCACTTGTTTTGGATCTGTAGCCTGGTGAGAGAACCACTGTCAGATACACTTTCAACATTTCTACACACATTGCCCCACATAAGTTAACTTGCATAGCCACCAGATCCAGTGGCCTGTTCTTGGCCCCTAAGCTGTCCCACCTACCAGCAGCGTTTGACACTGTTCCTCTCTTAATAATGTTCTCTTCCCTTGGCCCTGTGATAGGACAGTTCCCTGCTCTTCATCCCACCTTTCAGAGCCCACATCTTCATGTTCTTGATTGGCGTTACCCTCTTCCCATTCCCAGTATAATACTGGCTGCATTTACTGAGTGCCAGGACTTTCTCTGCATGTTTTAATATCTGTGACTAGTCCTACTCTCTTGCTAAACTGTAAACTTCTTAAGGTATTTTTTTAACTCACCTGTTTTTTTCCTTTATCGCCTAAGCTTACTGTGGACCCTCAGCGTGTATTCAAATTGAATTCTGTTTTGAATTTCAGGAAGATGTGAAATTGCTGTCCCATTTGCTCCAGGCCTTAGGTTTTGGGGCACCCCCTCATGGAGGAATTGCCTTAGGTAAACAACTATCCTTTGACAAGCTAAATTTCATTCCATAACCATCCGTATGTCTCAGATTTGGGCTCAGTTTCCAGGCAGGGGCAGAGGAGGAGCGGGTGGGGGTAAAAAGAATAGGGTGTGAGCCCAAGAATTCTGTAAGAATTTAAGTTCGTATTTTCATTTCGTTGATATATGTTTAAAATGTACTTTACCAGTTAAAGGTAAAACTTGACTGATAATTTGCATTTGAAAGATTTCTTAATAGAATAAAACTTCAGTCTTAAGTCAGTATTGCTCAAATCCCTGGGGGCTCACGGACACATTCATAGGTATCTGAGAGACACTGCTCCATAGTATTCAGCTTGTGTGAAAGTAGGAATATGCCGGTGCCCTTCCGCCATGGTTGCTCACCTTGCTTGTTTTATCAAGCAAGGAGGAGTGTGAGAAATTCTCGGAAGCTCACCTAGATTGTAGGCCCTCGACAGCAAGGACGTCCATCTGTGTTCTTGGGAGTGCCCTGCACAGCACCTGATTTTTGTCAACCTTTAGAAAACCCTTGCTAAGGACTCATTAATTGCTGTGCCTTAATTTGAGCATGTGAATATTCATCCTCAGCATTTTTCTAGAATAAAACAGAAAAGAACCTTTCAAACAAACATAAGTTCCCTAAAAAAGGCAGGGAACTCTGCTTGGCTGCAACTTGTTAAAGATTCTTACTTAGAAGTTCTCTACAACCTTTGTGGAAAATCTTAGTCACTCCCAGCCTTAGATTACATTCTCATCTGTTACCTTTGTATTTTATTTCCAGGGTTAGACAGACTGATATGCCTTGTCACTGGAGCACCAAGCATCAGAGATGTCATAGCCTTCCCCAAATCCTTCAGGGGGCACGACCTCATGAGCAGTGCCCCAGATTCTCTCCCTCCTGAGGAACTGAAGCCCTATCATATCCAGGTCTCCTGGCCAGCAGACTCAGAAGCAGAAAAGAGCTCGTTGAATCAGCCATACCATCCAGAAAATTGAGCTTTTGAGTTTTGTCTGCTTTGCTTCCCCAAGGCTGAAATCAGATGCGGAGTTCTGCCACAGGTCTAATAAGCAGGTCTTTAGGTGGAAGGAATCCAGACAACATTCTTCACCACAACAAAGAAACAGAAGGTATCCAATTTTGACTTGATAACAGGCATTACTAGGATTTTTTGTTTGGGATTTTTTTGGCAGTTTCTGTTACCTGGAGAGGTGTGAAAATGGCGCTTTGTCTGAGTAATATAATAGCTTAATGTTTTCTCATCATGTTTTTCATACCTGGATAGTAGATCGTTCACTTGAGACAGAGGTAATCAGACCATGTGAAATGTGGGGAAATGCTTGCCCCTTTAGACTAGTCAGTTGATGGGGGGTTAGTTCAACCAGCATCATCAAGAGAGTCCTGTAAATTAAGCTAAATAGTGACATCTCAACTATCAGTATAATACGAGAAGCATCATGATATAATGCAAAAAAAAAAAAAAATCACCAAAATCAAAGTCACAAAATCTTAGTGTTTCACCTTGAGCAAGTTACATAAGCCTCCTTTCCTGCCTATATGAAATGGGAACACTGCTTGCCCAGAACCAGAGGAAATGATGTATGTGGAAGGGATAGTGAGTGAAAATGCTTTGAAAAACTGTAAAGCATTACACAAATGTAAGATAATGGTATTATTTATCTGTAAACAGATATAGGTATACCTATGTATCTTATAGTCTTAAGATTAAATAAAATTGATATCTATAGTATAAGAAAAACAGTAATTAATCAGTATTCTATTTATGATTCTATTTTTAAAAATAATTATTGGGGTGCTTCGCCGGCTCAGTGGGTAGAGCATACAGCTCTTGATTTTAGGGTTGTAAGTTCGAGCCCCACATTGGGTCTAGAGATTACTTAAAAATAAAATCTTTAAAGAAATAATAAAATAATAATAATTATTATTAATCCCTGAATAACACTCATGTGGAAGTAATTGAAAATATTGATCTTAGGCCAACCTCAAATATAGAAAAGTGATTGTAATTTTCTTATACATTCTGTGACATAAATAAAAGCTTATAATTAGTTAATAATTATGAAACGGGAACAAGACCTTGATTAATGAAAGTGTTCTTTTCTACTTTATCTTCACTTTTGCCTTGACATTCTTTTGATGTGTAATTTATAAGTACCAAGTATCAGTCCTCAATCCCTGCCTATTTTTCTTGGTGGTCTAAGCAATGCAATCCTATAGTTGTTTCTGTTTGAAAATAAAATCTGCTTCCCTTCCAGTTCTAATCTGTGATACTCAGTAGACCAAGATGAGTATGAACGTTCTTCACTGCTGCAGAAAAGTGGTTTGCCGTTAGGTGGAGCTTCTCTCTAAAGTATGTCCTTGAACCCAATCTCCCCATCTGTGGGTGTACTCTGGAGCAAGAAAATTCTTGCTGGCAGGGCTCTCCTGGTGAGAATGGGTATCCAAGTCTGCCTACCCTTTCTCAGTGGAGAGAATTTTTAGAGCTTCCCTTTAATAGGTGGGGAAATGCAGTTTGTCCATTTATCCCCCGTGGGATAAATGTAATTCACTATTGACTATGTAAAGCCTAATTCCAACTAAAATGTTGTCTTTTATCCTGGAAATGAGAGTTCCAGAAGACACGTAAAATCCAGAGAATATTTTCTAGGCTACAAATACTAAAGACCCCCAGTCCTTAAAAGTCAAACAATCCTGTATTGTTATCTCAAAGACCTAGTCATTTGGGGCCTCACTCGGCTTTAGTCTTGCCTCTTGGGGAAAAAAAACAAAATGCTTATTCTGAAATCCAGGGAAATGTCACTTGTTTTAGATCCCTTACCATATTGAAGTGAGGTGAAATTTTAAATTAAGTCTTTTCTCAAAAATTAAGGAACTACTTAATGATAAAGTTGAAAACAACACAGCCAGGATTTTGAAATGCACAATCTGATTATAAACCGGATGCTAAGTTTATTTCAAATCCTATCTCCCCACTTTCCTAGGGAATTTAGATTTATCCTGTGTTGCAAGTTTTAAAAACAAAGGTAAGCAAGTGCCAGCTATAACATCAATAGTTATTATTAGCTTCAAGAGAGCTCTGTCTTATGAACAATTTCTCCTTGTTGGAAAGAGATTTGTCAGATGATGAGTCTGATGGGATTGCTTTATGCTCTTGGGCTTTGCTTAAATAAAACAATGCATCTATACAGCTGCTCCAGGATTCCCTTCTCTGAAGAACCAGAACTCTGTAACATCACATTCCTTGCTACTGGTTTTTTAAGCATAACCAACCCTAAAAATACTGCCTTAAGGACACCTTTTTTCTTATTTTGAGAAAAGGGAGTTATGTTGTACCATGAGAAATAACCAGGTGCATAGTAAGATGAGACAGCTGTGTAACAGTTGCACATGTAAGTCCTGCAACAGTGTACATCTGAGTCATCTTCTCTATTTAAGACCGTGTACTTGGTAGAAAGAGCTTGTGTGGTTTAGACAAACCTGAATTTAATTCCCTCTTTACCATTCTCTAGTTATGCAACCTTGCCCAGCCATTCAACCTCTCTAGGCTCCTGTTTCTTTTTTTTTTTTTTTTAAAGATTTTATTTATTTATTTGACAGAGAGAGAGGGAACACAAGCAGGGGAAGTGGGAAAGGGAGAAGCAGGCTTCCCGCTGAGCAGGGAGCCCAATAGCGGGGCTCGATCTCAGGACCCTGGGATCATGACCTGAGCCAAAGGCAGACGCTTAACGACTGAGCCACCCAGGCGCCCTCTAGGCTCCTGTTTCTTGCAGTTCTCAAATTTTGGTCTCAGGACCACTTAACTCTTTAAAAATTATTGAGGACCCCAAAGAGCGTCTATAAATACTCTTTTACTATAGTAGGAATTAGATTTCTTAAATATGTATTAATTCATTTTAAAATAATGAACTCCTGACACGTTGACACAAATAGCATGTTTTTATTTTAAAAGTATTATTTTTCAAAACAAAAATTAATGGCGTTTTACATTTCTGCAAATCTTTTTGATGCCTGGCTTAATAGAAGACACTGGATTCTCATTATCTGCTTCTGCATTCAATCTGTTGTCATATGTTGTTTTGGTTGAAATATGTGAAGAAAACCTAGCCTCACGTAAGTGTGAAGTTGAAAAAGGAATATTTTAATAGCCTTCCTGATAATTATAGGTATTCTTCTTTGATACTATACAAGTTCCTTAAAAATTAGTTGCAATGTGGAGTCAGAAATCAGATTGGTAAACTTTTCTAAAGTCCATTGGTTGACCTTGTATTTTGAATACAACTTTTATGCATGCTTTTGTAACACTACACACTGATCATTTGGAAAATATTGGTACACTGAGTTATACAAATCTTCCAAATGTTGACACATTTTGGCCCATAATATCTAAAAAATCACACTGATACCACCATGACCTTTGTCACCAGTCTTTAAGTATGAAGAGGCTGCAAGGACACAGTGACAGATACAAGCTTTCCAAATTCTGTTTTTAATTAGCTTGAATTTCACCATTGCCAACGAAGACCATCAGTTTTTTCCCAAACTTAATCATATTTTGTTTTGGTTTCTTTTTTTTTTTTTTTTTTTAAGATTTATTTATTTTAGAGAGAGAGCATGAGCGGGAGGGGCAGAGGGAAAGAGACTCCCAGGCAGACTCCATGCTGAGCGCGGGGCCTGACAATGGAGCTCTGTCTCACTACCCCAAGATCCTGACCTGAGGCAGAAGTCGGACACTTAACCAACAATACCACCCAGGTGCCCCCAAACTTGATTCGTTTTTTAGAAAATATCTGGCAAATACCCAAATACGAATAATCTCAATTTGTCAGCCTTGTTTTCAAGTAAAAATGATGTTGTATGGAAAAAGCACATAATTCAGCTTGCAGGGGTGCCTGGCTGGCTCAGTCGGTGGAACATGTGACTCTTGATCTCAGGGTTGTAAGTTCGAGCCCCACGTTGGGTGTAGAGATTACTTTAAAAAATAAAAATAAAGGGTGCCTGGGTGGCTCAGTCGGTTAAGCACCTGCCTTCGGCTCAGGTCATGATCCCGGGGTCCTGGGATGGAGTCCTGCATTGGGCTCCCTGATCAGTGGGGAGCCTGCTTCTCCTTCTCCCCTTGGTCCTCCCCCCTGCTTATGCTTTCTCGCTCTCTCCCTGTCAAATAAATAAAATCTTTAAAAAAAAATAAAATAAAAACAAAGATTCAGATGTCTTTTTTTTTTTTTTAATTTTATTTATTTGACAGAGAGACACAGCGAGAGAGGGAACACAAGCAGGGGGAGTGGGAGAGGGAGAAGCAGGCTCCCCAAGGAGCAGGGAGCCCAATGCGGGGCTCAATCCCAGGACCCCGGGATCAGGACGCGAGCCGAAGGCAGACGCTTAATGACTGAGCCACCCAGGCGCCCCTCAGATGTCTTTAAAAAAGCACTGCACCTGATTTTTCTAGAAAAAAATCATACATTGTTATGTGGCAGAAGTGCACGTGTACTTGCTCTTTTGTCAAACAAAATATTTAAATGACATGCACTCAAGGTCAAGATTCAATAACTAAAGTTCCAAAATGATGAACAATATATAAAAATTTATAATCTTTATGCTTCTCAAAAAGTTTTCTGATTCAGGGCGCCTGGGTGGCTCAGTTGGTTAAGCGACTGCCTTCGGCTCAGGTCATGATCCTGGAGTCCCGGGATCGAGTCCCGCATCGGGCTCCCTGCTCGGCAGGGAGCCTGCTTTTCCCTCTGACCCTACCCCCTCTCATGTGCTCTCTCTCTCTCTCTCTCTCATTCTCTCTGGCTCAAATAAATAAAATCTTTAAAAAAATAAAAATTAAAAAATTAAAAAAATAAAAAGTTTTCTGATTCAGAAAATGGCACTTTTATATAAAAGAGGGAACAAAAATATATATAAAGAATATATAGAGATTTTATATATAAAGAGGTATATAAAAATTCAGAAAACTAGATTTTTTCGGGCAGTTTTTAGAATACTCACTATTTCGGGCAATGGGAGTTAAGTAAATGAATCTGTTTTGGCACACACAACTACTGTTCATATAATATCATTGAATATTTAAACAGTGTTAGCTTAGGACTTCACTTTAGCAATATGATAGAGTAACTATCCTAGAAAATCTTTCTTGTACAGAACACCTAAAATTCCTAAATAAAATTTCTTTGAATCTTTGTATTTTTTTTTTAAGATTTTCTTTAAAGAGAGAGGGAGAGTGTGAGCGGGGGGCGGGGCAGAGGGAGAGAGAGAATCTCAAGCAGACTCTGCACTGAGCGCAGAGCCGACATGGGGCTCGATCTAATGACCCTGAGGTCATGACCTGAGCTGAGATCAAGAGTTGGACACTTAACCCACTGAACCACCCAGGCGCCCCTCATTGACTCTCTTTAAATGCATAAATGAACTAGTAAGAAAGTAAGGGAGCTCCTTAGAGACCAGAAATGCCCCCGACACTGATGTAATTAGGTGCTTAAGCTGTTGATATCCTGGGGGTACTGCTGATCTGGTGTGACCTAGGACTTTGGTTTTTGCTGGATTATAAGGGGAAGCAGGCAAACAAAGCCTACTGCCTCCTGCATACATGGAGAAGTTAGATAAGAGATCCCCATGTAAAACAAGCTCCTGAAAGGAGACCCCCTTGGTAGAGGGTGATGATAAAGAAACTTGTCTGTGTTTGCATTGGCTCTGGGGATCGGCTCTGAGCATTAACAACCACAAACTGACACTTAACGGAGGTTTGAACACTTTACAAGCTGAGATTCATAGTATTCCTAGGTTGATAAAAGCAAATGCAAAATAAAACAAACCCGGTTCTCAAAGAATTGCTGAAGATAAAGTTCCAAGGCACATAATCTCATGATTTTTTTTTTAATGACAAAACACCCAAGGAAACAAGCTACTAATGAGACATTATCAGCAAACAGAATCAGATTTGCAAATATTTAATGTATTGGAACTATTGGAACCTAACAAAACATATTTATAGAAATAAAAGAGGGAATTAAATGTGTGCGCGGGGTAGAAGAAATGATAAAAAATAGCTAGGCAAATTTGGAAGGGGAATTGAGAGCATTATATATAGGGGCGCCTGGGTGGCTCAGTTGAGTGTCTGCCTTTGGCTTGGGTCATGATCCCAGGGTCCTGGGATCGAGCTCCACATCAGGCTCCTTGCTCAGTGGGGAGTCTGCTTCTCCCTCTGCCTGCCACTCCCCCTGCTTGTGCTCTTGCATGCACTCTGACAAAGAAAACCTTTAAAAAATAAAAAGTGCTTCATAGATTTCCTGACATATGTCCCTGATTGTTAAGTGCCACATAAAAGTAGCTTTATTATTACGTAACATTCTTTTTCCCAGACATTCCAGAGTCATCTTGTAAACACATGATAGTCCTCAGTTTTATGGTCAGAACAAGAACGTGAGTCTGGAGAAACTTGTCTCAAAGGTCTTGTCAGCTCTACCTTCAAAATATATCTAGCATCTGATACTTTTTCTTACCTCCAGCCACCACCCTGGTTCAGGTGACCATCTTCCACAGCAAAAGCTTCCTAACAATCTTGCTTGCATCCTTACCCCTCAGCAGTCTGTCAGGGTCAGGTCACTCCTGGAGTGGTATCGTCACTTCCTTTTATCATCTATCAACATTTCTAAGTGCTCAAAACCCTTCAGTGGTTTCCCATCTCAGAGAAAAGCTAGAGTCCTTACAGTGGCCTCCAAAGCTATTTGTTGGCCTTCTGGTAGGGTAGGGTCAACTAACGGGCTATTTCCATTTTGTTCAATGAAAATAATTTACATGGGCTCTTAGTAATGGGTATCAATTTTCCAGGGGGCCCAATCAAATATTGGAAGTATAAATGTGGGAATCAGTTATTCAAACTGGAGTTACCAATGACTCAACAGTACCCTACACACCCATCCCTCACCTCCCTGTAAGTGGTAGGCAACAAGTTAAAAGGATTACGTGTTCCAAGGATTGCAGGGTACCTTGTAACTTGAGTCCAAGCTCCCACCCAGTGCCAGAGGCTAAAGTCACATTAGGGTTTTCATTTTTTAAAATCAGCCCAGCCCTTTTGGATAACCCTTTGTCCCATAAAACCTCCCGAGTCTTCCCCAATCTAATGTCAAGCAAACTTTACTGATTCTAGGTATACACTGGGACTTTTCAGACCAGATGGCAAGACTTTTAATATTTCTGCCTGTAGTGTTTCGTCTAGTGGTTTTGGCCCTCCCTTTGAGCCCCCTAAGAGATGGGTCCTTCAGTGTACTAATTCTGCCCATTACAATGATACACTGTAGTATAGTCTGACACTGCCATCTGTGTTGTGTGGCCTCTGGCAACTTTATCCTGAGGTTGTGCATCTGTAAAATGGAGGAAATTCCTCACTTGCTGTCATAAGAACTAAAAACATTTAGCATATAGTAGACATTCAAAAACTGGTTCCCTCATTCAGGTTTTTTTTAAAATAAGACACGATTGGTGTTTCTAATATACTAGAGATGTCCCTTTTAATTTATTACCATTAGTCTTCACTTCATGAAGTTTTCAACCAGCCATGAACTCACCTTAATGGCCATCTTCCAAGCCATAGACCACCATGATTGCTGCCTAATTTCATTATTGACCTTTGGGCACCTAGCCACAATTTCTCAGAGACTGAGCTAATCCCATCTGCAATAAATTCGTACTTTACTTTCCTGTACAAGTGTGGTTGTCAGTGTGGCTGGGGTTAAGTTTTCTCATACTCTGAAAGCCATCAAAAGCTCACAATCAGACCCCAGTGTTTATTTCAAGTCACATTGTATCCAGATTTGCAGTATCTTTGGTCTTAAAACTCAAGTAGGTTAAGTCCGAAGATAAATTGCAACCCGAATGTGTCATGTCACCCCCACACTTCAAGTACTAAATGTGCAGATTTGGAATATCTAAGGCTTTTATGTTGCCAGAAGCCAAAGCGGTCTCTTTAGGAATTTAGGGAGTAATTGACTGGCAACCCACTAGTTTACAATTATTCAGTAATGACCAAAATCCCAATTGTCACTTACAAAATTAGCACTACTACTAAATATACCTATTTTCTAAAGGATTGGTATAACCACAGTACTGACTTCAGTCTTAAAATCTATTAGATTTTTAGGCTTGCTTTCAATTTGTATGGGGGGGGAAGATACCGAGTCACTTCTTTTTATCATCTATCAACACTTCTAAGAAACCATGCTTAACAGCAAATATTTTTCTGACAGGGATTTCATTCAGCCCTAGAAAATTTCTGCAAAATATACAGCTAATCCCAGATCATGTCACTAATCTAAGTCAATACAAATACAGTATTTTAAACAAAAGGGCTATAGTATATTCCTCTGCAAATTATTTTCAAGCCCAAGACATCCTATAAAATACACATGAAAAGGTCAACTAATGAAACTAAGGTCACAGGGTCTCAAACCACAAAGATGTCCTACTTCCCTTCCTTCATCTCATTAAACTGAAAGAAGCACTCTTGATCAGATGGTTTATAAAAATTTATTGAAATTGGAAATTTGATCTTCTATCCCATAAGCATCCATTCAGGTGCCTGCAAGGACAAAGAAGCTGTTTTTAGTCACATTTCTGTGTTTCAATTCTAATGGTATTGAGTACATAGAATATCAGATCTTTTATGATCATCAAGTGATCAGTGAGAGAGTTCAAGTTGGAGTGAGATCATCATGTATTCTGGAATAAGACAACAGTACTGATGTCTTTAAGCCTCACCTTTCAACTGGTAAGCTGCTCTCATAACTGGATTGCTGCTCTCATAAACACCCTAAAAGCAACAACTGCAAGTTAATCATGGTAAAAAAAAAAAAAAACCCTTACATGATGGTTGCTAATAAAGTAACCTCAGAATCAAATGGAACGGTTTTAAGAGTGATATCATTCTATTTCATTTGGCAGAATCACTACATCACTGGTTACATTCTAACTTATCATCTAGATCAGAGACCAACTTACCTCTAAATCTTCAGGTTGACAAGTCTGCCTGTTTGAATATGGGAGAAATAAAGCCCTTAAAATTTGTCCTTCATTTTCCCCATTTTTAACTTTCTGAGAAGTAACGTTTAGGGCAGCAAACCTATTCCACACATTATAACAGTTGTGTAGGTGTCATACACTATTATCCAAGCCCATACATCATGTAACACCATGAGTGAATCCTAATGTCAACTCTGGACTTCGGTGATAACGGTCTATTATAGATTCGTGACTGTAGCAAATCTCACTCCATTGTTGAATGTGGATAGTGAGGTGTGTGAAGACAGGATATATACCAAGTCTATGTTCAGTTTTGCTGGGGATACTGAAACTGCTCTGGAAATGGGAGTTTATTAATAAGTAAATACAACTAAATAACTCATTCTGGCATAATCTATTCAGATTTACATGCCATAATTTCCTGGCAAAAATGTATCAGCCTGTATTTCTCAAGTTATGAGTCCTTAGAACTGTCTGTGTATGAGCCACTATAGTATTCAAACCCTGAACATTTTCTGTGGTAGAATGGCTAATTTTCCTTTTCAAGGGTTATGGATAGGATTGCTGCAGCCAGATACATCAGATAGGAGCGAAAGACAATTTTGCTCATCACTGCTAGTCTGCTGAACTATGGTTTCATCATCGTACCGGCTTTAAACCACTTCATATAGAAATCAAACTTGAGATTTCTGTACCTTAGCTTATAACTCCTTGTTCCAGGCTTTGTAAGGTGCCCCCAACTCTTCACACCTGCAGAAATTTGGTCAAATTTAGTAGTAAGTAATAACAAGTAGGTTTCTCAAGTTTTCCTGATACTGTTTCAGTTTTTTAAAAATCTTCACTCTTTTTCAGAGAGATTCCCATCTGTTTTTAATTTCAAAAATCATCACTAACAGCATCTTGCTTAGTAACCAAGTAAAATTAATAGAATACATACCTTTATATGAAAACGTCTTCAAACTCAGTACCTAACAAAAAGATACCGCTTTAGACACACTTCACAACAAGCCAAATCCTCCCCGCAACACCAGAAAGCACTTAACACAGTGTATTTCAGAAACATAGACTTGACTTCAGAAAATGAACTGTTTTTGTCTTACCCCAAGCAAGCCTCCATGATAGTGGCCTATAAGCTAGAAAAGAAACAAGACATTTCATTAAAATGTTAATTATCATTGAATTAATTGGATAGACAATTATCACTGTCACAGGGTTCTTCAGTGTTAAATTTGTCTACATGCTCATTTCAGGTCAGACATTTGATCAACATCATTTCAAAAACCCCGTTCAGAGCATGCTCAACATGCGTTCACTAACCAGCCGTAGAAAACTAGTAACTTGGTAGTTAAGCGTTCTACTTACGCATTCACAGTAAGTTTTGGACCTACTAAAATGTTTAATACTTACCCCAAAAATGGTCCAGACATGTCTAAGACTCAAGTCCACCTAAGAAATAAAGATAGTTAGCAAGACACCAAAGATGAATTTTCTCCCCCACAAATTTAAAAAATGCCTGAAATCAGGTAGAGCTAATTAAGACCTTCATGTTCAGTCAGTATTTGCTTCTCATCATACAGGCTGGTTTTTTACAAATGACAGGGTCCTAACTAATGGTAACAGGACAAGGATCTGGCCGTTGATTTAATGCCTTCAGCAATGCACTCAAGCATTTCATGGGAGGAGTGGTTTCTGTGCATAAGGCAACTCTGAAAAGCCATTAGTGGCATTCTTTGTCATGTCTGCCCAGTTACCAATGTTTTAGTTCAATTAACTACTCACCCCTTCAACTTCCAGCTACTTCTGTTTAGTGCCTACAAAAAAGGAGCGAAATTAAGTTAGTGACATTTTCCTTATGCTATTAGTACCAAACCAGTTTTACTATCAATGCAGATACATCAGACAAATGGTGTCTCTCTTCATGATCCAATCTGCTGAACTATGCAACCATCACAGTATCTGTTTTTCAGGTTCCCCAAGCATTTAACAGAAGATACTGGAGTACAGAAGTTCACATTTGTGTTAAAAAAAAAAAAAAATACTGGGGCGCCTGGGTGGCTCAGTTGGTTAAGCGACTGCCTTCGGCTCATGTCATGATCCTGGAGTCCCGGGATTGAGTCCCGCATCGGGCTCCCTGCTCAGCGGGGGGGCCTGCTTCTCCCTCTGACCCTCTTCCCTCTTGTGCTGTCTCTCATTCTCTCTCAAATAAATAAATAAAATCTTAAAAAAAAAAAAAATACCGAGTAATATGGACTACATAATACAAGGTTTCTCACCTCTTTGCCCACGGCGAGGGTGTGAAACTTTAGGGCCTAGGAAGAAACAGCTTCATGTAAACTTGGTAGCAATCTCTAAATTTTTTACATCACCATTTTATGTGCCTCAGTTAGTGTAACGGTGGTAATAATTCTCGTCATTCTCACAGTCAAGAGTAGCAAATAAAATGTCATCATTGTAGCACTTTCAACCTAACCTCCCCTTTGTGAGAGAATTTCAGTAACTTACCTCGGCAGCCACTTCCACCCCTTTGACACAGAACTAGAAAACAGACAAGGAATATCCAGTGAAACACACCGAGTAGCCACGTAAATTATCAACACTCTTAACTACTTAAGCCTCAGAGTAGGATTTTTCAGAAATCCCTTCTGTCCACTACTCTTAAACCATCACAGGCTTAACACAAAGACCACCTCCAAGCAGATCTGACTCCTACCACTGCATTTACCCGTTTCTTACCTGTCCATCAGAAGCCATCAAAAGCCACACTGCATTCGTGCCCAGCATGATTCCTAAGAGAAAAGACGACGATTTTTAGGATACCGTTTTCCTCTAAATAAGTCTAAGCATGTCGTTTTCCTATCATCTATACCAGGTGGTCTACACCACCCGTGACTTCATGACTATAAAGGGTGCACTTCACAGGTTAGAGAAAGCGCAGTGCACAAAGGCTGGGCACCACTGACGTAAATAACGGTGCGATGCTGGATGCAGCCACTGAGAGAACCACGTGGACGAAGCACCCCAACCGCCGGCCTCCCTGAGCAAGAGGCCACAGGAGGCCCACTCGGGTCATCGGCACGCGCCGCCATCAGAGCCGTTGGCATTCATCAACAGTCTCAGATGTCCCTACCAACGCAAGCTTCATCACAGGCAGGGAACGCGAGCCCAGGGCTTTTTCGCAGTTCAGCCCCCACAACCCAAGTAGTTTAGGCCGCACCCGCACCCTACGCGTAATCATCTACCATCTTCATCTTGTGAACCCTGCAAAGGCTCACGACCAGCCTAGAAATACATGTATAAGGTGACTTTAATTGCCAAGAGTTGGCGGCCTCGAGCCAAGAGGCCACTAAGCAAAAAAATAAAACACTTACATACAGATCGGCGACTCCTAGCCTCAAAAGACCGAGATGGCGGCCAGCGCTAGTATATAAAGATGGGGATTTTATGACGTCATGACGCATCCTCCCCGCCAGCGCAGGCTTCAGCTCCTCCCCCTCTCCTCCCCTCATCTCTTCCTCCTCCTCTAGCCACACCTCCTTCCCTTTGGCCCCGCCCACCTCGTCGTTGTGGGCGGAGACACGACCGCCCGCGTGACTTCAGGGCTCCCGCCCTCCGACCGACTGAGAAGGAAGAGAGGGGAGGGGGCGCGAGGGACGGAAAGCGCTGGGGGAGGGGGAGGGGGGCGGTGTAAGGGTGAGTGATTTCCTTCCGGCACGTCGCCCGCTCCGGGGGAGGGGGTGGGGGGTTTCACTTCCGGGACGGTGTTCCGGCCCATTCCGGCCCATTTCCACCCCCGGAGGTAGGTGCTGCTCCTTGACTGGGCTCGGGCCCCGCACTCCGGTCCAGCTGCCCTGCACCGGGGCCGCCTTGTCCGGGCTCCGCCGCAGCCTGCTCCTGGGGCGCTCAGCCACTCCCCTTCACCCCACCCTCAAGGCACCGGAGACCTTCCACCCCCTTGGCCCCGGGCCGGGCTGAGCTGCCGGACCCGCCCCCTCGCCGGGCCCCTCCCTCAGGACCCCGGGATGGGCGGCCCCCTCCCCCACCGCAGCCCGGACACACCCAGAGACACACACCCACCTCTGGGCAGCTCCCCGCCCGCCTACGCTTACCGCCTGGACAGGGTCCCGGGGCGCCGCCCCCTTCCCGGTCTCTGCCCTCACCTGATGGCTAGCTCCCCAGCCTCACGCCTTGCACCCCTCTCCTCCCCCGCCCCTCGGTGACATTTCGCCCTGCCGCCAGTTCCCCGCTACCCACGCTTCCTAACGCAGACTAAAGCCCCTCAAATACCGAGGTGGCCAACCCCATGGCGTTCCCGATTCTCCCTCTTACAGCTCTCACCCTTCCAGTGCCGACGGTAAAGACCTTACTCCAGGGGCTTCCTCCTCACTGGGGAATTGCCGGAAAGAGCAAACAAAAAAGGCGCTGGTGTAGGCTCCAAAATAAACACATCTGAATTCATGATGGCATCGACAGAGGCTCTTATTGGATTAAAAGTTTCAAAACAGACCAAAACGCTTTGGAAAAAGGTCAGATTGGCTAAAGTTGGTTCTTGAAAGCAGTGTATACACTTCCCTATTTACTGATAAATGTGTCGTAAATGCGGGGCAATACTGTGAGTTTGTCAGGATAAGTTCCTGAAATTTTAGGTCTTAGATAACTATGTAATGTCTTATAAAGTTACAGATAAATGGAAACATTGGGCTCAAGTCAGTGTCTTCCTGTTGAGATTTATACAAATTATTCTCAACCATTGAAGGCTATTGAGTGCAATTACCGGCATAGTGTTTCAGCTATTTTTTTTTTTTAATCTTTTAATGTCAAAATTTTGACCATACTTGGTAAATGCTCTATTTTTTTTAACCAGTTTGGGGGAATGAAATGTCAGTATCAGTATCATCACCACCACCACCAGTCGTCAAATTCCCGACTTTGAATTTAGATAGAAGTAGGTTTACCTACTCTGTCCTAATTCTGAGAGTGAATTTCAAGTTTTCTGCATCTTCACTGAGTTCTGACACAGCTGTGGCACGTTTTCCTAACCTAGAGTTTATTTCAGAGTCCTAAACCCAAAGCCTTTTGGTGGGAGCTCTGACTCTTAAGCTTAGAAATAATGGCTTGCATTCATATGGGCTATTAGTCACCTTTTAAATAATAAACCTAACTCATGCATAATGTAGTAAAGTATTAACAGGAGGGATGGATGCCTAATCGACCCGTTGGTGTGTAATTACATTTATTCAAAGAGCTTATTACTTTCTCCTCCAAAGAAAAGTTGTCAGAGGATTTTTATATTCAGTGTGCAAATACTTTATGACTAAAGAACAACAACAAAAAAAGAACTGTCACAACTGCTTTGCCCCTTCTATTCTGTTGAACTTCTGTCTTGATGTTGCATAGCTTATTAGTAAGGGACGTATGGACATAGCTCGAGTGTAGAGAAGTCTAGCAATCACATTTCGGTTTTAAGGGTATCTTCTGGGAAATGTGAACTGAAAAACCTGTTGGTACTTCTTTTCCATATTTAAATGTGAGGAAAGTTATCTTTTTACTTGGAGATTTTGAAATTTTACCCAAAACTATTCGTCAGTAGAGTTGAATCAGAAAGCATGAGAGGAGTGACATTCTAACTATCGCTGAACATGGTTTCCTCTTTCCACAGGGTTGAATGCCTGCCTACAGCCTCAGGCACGACCATGGAGAAAGGTGGGAACATACAACTGGAGATCCCGGACTTCAGCAACTCTGTCCTGAGCCATCTAAACCAGCTGCGCATGCAGGGCCGTCTCTGTGATATTGTGGTCAATGTGCAAGGACAAGCTTTTCGGGCGCACAAAGTGGTACTGGCTGCCAGCTCACCCTATTTCCGGGATCACATGTCCTTAAACGAGATGAGTACTGTCTCCATTTCGGTCATCAAGAACCCTAGTGTTTTTGAACAGCTCCTCTCCTTCTGTTACACGGGGCGGATATGCCTGCAGCTGGCAGATATCATCAGCTACCTGACGGCCGCCAGTTTCCTGCAGATGCAGCATATCATCGACAAATGTACACAGATCCTGGAGGGCATTCATTTCAAAATCAATGTGGCAGAGGTTGAAGCCGAATTAAGTCAGACGAGGACAAAGCATCCAGAAAGACCTCCAGAATCTCACAGGGTTACACCAACTCTAAACCGTTCCCTTAGCCCGCGGCCCAATACCGCAAAGGGAAACCGGCGAGGTCAGGTTAGCGCTGTGTTGGATATCAGGGAGCTCAGTCCTCCGGAGGAGTCCACCAGCCCTCAGATAATTGAACCGAGTTCTGATGTAGAGAGCCGGGAGCCCATCCTTCGAATCAACCGAGCAGGACAGTGGTACGTGGAGACGGGAGTAGCAGACCGAGGGGCCCGCAGTGATGACGAAGTCAGGGTCCTTGGAGCAGTGCACATCAAAACTGAGAATCTGGAGGAGTGGCTCGGGCCTGAGAATCAGCCTTCTGGAGAAGATGGGAGTAGTGCCGAGGAAGTCACAGCTATGGTGATCGACACCACAGGCCATGGTTCTGTGGGACAGGAAAATTACCCTTTAGGATCTTCGGGAACCAAGGTGGCCCGGCCAACAAGCAGTGAAATTGACAGGTAAGGTTTGTTTTCCTTGGTCATCTGATGGCTGTTGAGCAGACATCCCTGAAGCAGGCCCTCTGTGTGGTACAGAGGGCATCTTCCTTACTTGCTGTTCTTAGCCAAGATAAGTTGGTGTTGGGGAAACTGGAAGTGTGCCAAAAGACTTGCATTCTTGTTTTTTTAAAGCAGGAAGCTCCTAGTCGTGAAGTATTCACAGTGTTGTGAGAACTATGGTAAAGTTAGACACTTCCATGAATCAGACTAGCAGCTGCAGCCACACTAGGATCAGTAATTGCCAGGGCCTTCTCGGATTTCCAGGCAGGGAGCTGATCATCAGCTGGGAGCCTGGCATCTTTGCCCTTCCTTGGTATGTTATCACACAGGTAGGTGGCCTCGGGGACTTTTACTTTCCTTTGTAGCACTGTTTACTTTTCCTTGCCCCCACCTACCAAATTAGAGGAAGGATGGTACCAGCAGGATTGTTCTTTTTAGTGTAATCACAGTAATTCCAAAGAAAAGCTTTTTGGATGTTTTTCCCTTTTTTTTTTTTTTTTAACTCATTTGCCATTTGATAATATCTTCCCTGTTTTCTCTCGTCGATGACTGCTGGCACCACAAGCCTGAGAGTCTCGTTTTTCCACCAGTGCTGCTAATGTCCTACCCCTCACTTTACTTTGTCTGATATATTGCAGAACTTTTTTTTTTTTTTTTTGGTGGAAGTAGCAATAATTCTAATCTAAGTAAATTGAAACAAAGTCTCAGGTGAAAGAAAGAAATATTACCAATGTAGATTGGTAACATTTGTTTTTTTCCACTCTTGAAAATAAATTAAAATTGACTGCATGAACAATGAAAACTAAAGAAGCTATTACTTTGGTTCACACCTGGTCTTGAAAGTGACATATATTTCACAGAGAGTATATCCTGTATTTACTATAGGTGGTCTTTTCTTGTGTCCTTCACAGTTAAAATCTCCTTGTGCACAATACTTACTGCCCCCTGTGTTAGCACTGTTGTCCAGTGTTAGAACTGTATCAGAAGTAATGGCTTTGGATGCAAAGATTTGTAATCTCCATGATCGGTATCAGCAGTCTGAAATATATAACAAGTTACCATGGGGACTGGAGGGAGGAACAACCCCAAACCTAATAGTTACATAGAAGAAACAAAATCATAGACCCAGTTTTAATTTATGCCTCTATGGTCTCCCAGAACTTAAGGGTAGAAGCTTCTATTTAGCCTTAGTTTCACCAGGCCATGTGGTCTGTCTGCTATGTCATTTTGTGTTTGTTAGATTTACTAAGGCAGACCTTTCTTATTTCAGATCAGATCCTATAGTGACTCCATGAAAGTATTCCTCAGTAATCTGTTTTTCCGTTTGTTCCCCCTTCCTCAGCCATGGGATAAAAAGGGTAGACATCACTATTTTTTAAGTTCCTTGACGCTATTTTCTATCAGTCCCCTTTTTGCTCCTCTTCCAACAGATTTAGCCCCTCCGGCAGTGTTGTTCCCTTGACGGAGAGACACAGAGCCAGAAGTGAGTCTCCTGGGAGAATGGATGAGCCTAAGCAGCCCAGCTCCCAGGTATGTAGTGGATTTAGGATTGCTGCAGTGGTTGGAGAAAGTGCCGCTGTGTGTGAACAGAATATAATGAATAAGAAAGAAAAGATGTAGGAAAGGTAACAGTGGCCCTGTTAAATAAGTACTCTATTTGGTTACTTTTTTTTCTTTATTCTGGCTTGTGAGCATGCAGGAAATACAGTTTTGTTGTCAGCAGAGTTTGGGAAGTAGAAAAAGATGAGATTGTGGAACTCTTCCCTGATTATAGGAACCAGTCTGTATTCCTGAGAATAACATAAATAACCCCTGAAAACTACATGCAGGTAATTTAGGACCTGGGATGGAGAGAGTTTGATTTTGTACTTGGGTGGGTATAACACTACATAATTACTGATTTATATAGTGTCATAGTGTCATATATTTGTAAATAAATTGCATATGCATTTTTGTGTGTGTGATTGCTTTTTTTGTATGCTGGTATCTTCATTTTTTTTCTTTTTCTTTTTTTTTTTTTAAAAGATTTTATTTATTTGAGGGAGAGAGAGAATGAGAGAGAGACAGCACATGAGAGTGGGGAGGGTCAGAGGGAGAAGCAGACTCCCTGCCGAGCAGGGAGCCCGATGCAGGACTCGATCCAGGGACTCCAGGATCATGACCTGAGCCGAAGGTAGTCACTTAACCAACTGAGCCACCCAGGTGCCCTTTTCATTTTTTTTTTCTTCTGGAATCTTTTGTTAGACCAAAATGTTCTAGAAAGGATAGGAATGATGTTTTCCATCTTTTTTGCAACTGTCCATAGCAAGTAGTGTAAGTAGTTGATAGTTTTGTTTGTTCTCATAAGTCTGTATCATGGAAGATTGATTTTTAAAAAGATTATGCACTCACCAAGTAGAACACAATGAATTGTAAATATTTTTGCCCTTTAAAAGGAAACACTGGTGGATTAAGATTGGATAGCTAATGTTTTTAGATTCTGCATTGTATGATAGTATCTTAGTTTTTATGTAAACCATTAGATGTTTATTGTGTCCATAGTATAGTATCAGCGGTGAGACATTGTTAGAAACTGTATTTACTTGTATGTTATCAGGCCAGGGTACAGGAAAAGGAAGGTAACTAGTAGAAGATAGATTTTGGGGGCGCCTGGGTGGCTCAGTCGTTAAGCGTCTGCCTTCGGCTCAGGTCGTGATCCCAGGGTCCTGGGATCGAGCCCCGCATCGGGCTCCCTGCTCCGCGGGAAGCCTGCTTCTCCCTCTGCCACTCCCCCTGTTTGTGTTCCCTCCCTCACTGTGTCTCTCTCTTCAAGTAAATAAATAAAATCTTTAAAAAAAAAAAAAAAGATAGATTTTGGTTTTAATAAGATGTTAGAGAAAATGTTAGGAGAGGAGCTTGGAGGAAAAGTAACTTTACTCATATAATTAGGGCCCAGATTTTCTCTTCGCCTCTCAGATAGGATGCAATGACCCTGTGAAGGTGACTATTAGGCAAATACATACTGCAGTGGGACAGACCTGACAACTGCCTGGGTGGGTAAGACAGACTAACAGATACATAAAACACGTATAGGAAAGACTGTAGCCATTTGAGGAGCAGTGCTGTGGGAGTGGGAGTAGCTAACAGGCAGTTCTGAGAATCACTGTACCCCTAGCAAAGTGTTCTTCAGGAGAGATGAAACGCATTTTTGCAAGAAGTGGTTACAAAGAGGTAACTTACGTCTGTAGATGGGATAGGGATAAAAATGGGAATTCTGCAAGGGTGTTTACCTGACCAAAGCAGAAGGTACAGGCTATAAAGCAATAGCAGGTAAGTAGTATTATCTGAAGATAATATTAAGAGCTGAATTATTACAGACCTTAGTATGTGTGAAAGCTTATTATGGTGCGTCTCCACCACAGTTCCTTTTTCCCTCCTGCAGAGGACCAAAACAAGACATGAACTTACATTACAGTAAGAACAAATTTTGATAGACTTGAAGAGCTTCCTGATTATAGGGGTGATTAAACTGCTAAGGTCACTTCTTTATTCAAAACAATTCTGTGGCTTTTTCTTTTTTCTGCCACATGAAGGTGAAAATACTTGGCCTAATTTTCCAAGTAATTATAATCTTTCTAACCTAGCTTTTCCCACCACTCATCAGCATTTATTATCCCAAACAAACAGACTTTCTCTGTGTGTCAGAACCACATCAAACTTATTCCTGTCTCTGTACCTTGAGTCTGGGATGCCCTCTTCTTCCCAGGTGTCTGGGTTCACCTAAGACCCCACTCCTCATTCCATGTGCCCTAACTAGTCCAGTCCTCTTTGATCCCTCCTTAAACCACCATAGCATTTACAGATGGTACGATATAATTTTTCCTAACTCTACTGACTCATATAAATTATTATTTTTTTATTTGCATGAATTTTAAGTCTCCTCTACTTTGAAATTTCCCTGAGGACAGAGTCCTCATTTTCTAATCTTCATATCTGACTGCCTTTTCGGGTACCCAATAAATAGAAGTTGTTTTACCACTAATTTTGAGTAACTAAGGTTACTTAGTAGGTGCTCAGTAAAGAGGCACCTACCAAATGGGGGATTATTTGGTTGTCTGTGAATTTCCAGTTTTAGAGATCTTCAAATAAAATTAATGAGCCAAATTGATGAGGTTTTTTATTTTTAATTTTATTTTTATTTATTTGACAGAGAAAACAAGCAGTGAGAGGGGCAGAGGGAGAGGGAAAAGCAGGCTACCCACTGAGCAGGGAGCTGGACACGGGACTTGATCCCAGGACGCTGGGGTCATTACCCAAGCCAAAGGCAGATGCTTAACCGACTGAGCCACCCAGGCACCCCACAAATTGATTAGTTTTTAAAGTTACTTCAGTTGAGTCTGATTAGTAATTAGAAGATTAGGATGGTGAACATATTTTTTCTGGGTTTTTTTTAAGATTTTATTTTTTTAAGTAATCTCTACATCCAACATGGGGCTCAAACCCACAACCCCGAGACCAAGAGTCAGGTGTTCTACCAACTGAGCCAGCCAGGCACCCTAATGGTGAACATATTTGAAGGCCACGTCAAGAATCTAGACTGGTATTGTAGAAAATATGGAAACCATTTATATGAAATTTATTCATTATATGGAATAATTCGCTTAAAAGGATAACTTAAAAGACTTAAAAATTAAATAAATATATTTTAAAAGATAATTTAAAAAGATAGCATGGATAACTAAAATGCATTTACTTTCTGCTTGTGGATAATACTGGTATGACATTACTTTCCTTAAAGTTAGGGGTTTTTTTTTTTAAGAGAATCAGTACCCTCAAGATTATGAATAATATTGTGAGTTGATAATGTTTAATAATAGTTAACATTTACTTAGCTACATTAAGCACTTTAGTATATTAACTCATTCAGTGCTCATTGCAACCTATCAGGTAGATGCTATTATCGTATTCATTTTACAGAGGAAGGAACTGACACAGAGGGTAGTTAAATAACTTGCTCATGGGGGCGCCTGGGTGGCTCAGTCGTTAAGCGCCTGCCTTCGGCTCGAGTCATGATTCCAGGGTCCTGGGATCGAGCCCCGCATTGGGCTCCCTGCTTGGCGGGAAGCCTGCTTCTCCCTCTCCCACTCCCCCTGCTTGTGTTCCCCTCTCTCGCTGTGTCTCTCTCTGTCAAATAAATAAAATCTTAAAAAAAAAAAAAAAAAAAAACTTGCTCATGGTCACACATTAAGTAGGATGCAGATCTGAGCCCACATTTCAGCACCCTTAATTGCTATACAGGGTAATAACGTGCATTCGGAATGTTTCAAGGTACCTTTATTGTGTTTGATTCTCCTGAGAATCCTCTTGAGAGAATTCATTGAGCTGGCAGAGCATGTACTAACCTTTTAATTTTGTGGATGAGAAAACTAAGCCTCAGAGAAGTTATTCTGTGCTTTGTCCAGGAACTTTTAGTGGGCTAATCCCTCGTTCTTTATGGGAGTTCAGTGTTGATTATCCAGGGAAATGGAGCAGAAACAAATGTTATATAAAACAAATCAGAAATCATCTAAAACCTCAGTCTTAACTATTCAACGCTTGACTTCACATACTGCTTCCCAAGCCTGCTGAGAACTGCTTCTGTTCTGTTGGAAATGCTGGAGAGCACTGTCAGTTTACACATGTGAAAGGAGACAAAACTCATTTTTAGAAATTCAAGAGAAGAGGGGAGCCTGGGTGGCTCAGTCGCTCTTAAGCAGCTGCCTTTGGCTCGGGTCATGATCTCAGGGTCCTGGGATCGATCCCCGCATTGGGTTCCCTGCTCAGCGGAGAGCCTGCTTCTCCCTCTCCCTCTTCCTGCTGCTCTACCTACATGTGCTCTCTCTGTCAAATAAATAAATAAAATCTTAAAAAAAAGAAATTTAAGAAGAGGGCACAAAATTAATTACAAATTAGATGAGTCTTTCTCCAGTTAATCCAGAGTCAGCTTTTGCATTTTCTCCTTTTTGCAGTTGTACTTTAGCCTCTACCAAACATCTGTAATTGCCTCATACATCTTTGTACACATATAAGCTTTTTTTTTATTTTTTCAAATATTTTATCTATTTATCTGTCAGAGAGAGAGAGCACAAGCAGGGGGAATGGCAGGCAGAGGGAGAAGCAGGCTACCCATCGAGCAGGGAGCCTGATGCGGGACTCGATCCTAGGACCCTGGGATCATGACCGGAGCCGAAGGCAGACGCCCAGCAGACTGAGCCACCCAGGTGTCCCACATAAAAGCTTTTTATTCGGGCGCCTGGGTGGCTCAGTTGGTTAAGTGTCTGCCTTCAGCTCGGGTCCTGATCTCAGGGTCCTGGGATCGAGTCCTGCATCGGGCTCCCTGCTGAGCTGGGAAGCCTGCTTCTCCCTCTCCTCCCTGCTTGTGCTCTCACTGTCTCTCTCAAATAAATAAAATATTTTTTTAAAAAAAGCTTTTTATTCAAAACATTATGTTATATGTATGTTATTTATATTTCAGAAGTCCGCAGACTGAAAATATCAGTAATTTCTGAATGGGGAGATTTTAATAAAGAATTTTGAATGAAAAGCATTTATAAATCCAAAATGTTTAGGGGTACCTGGCTGGGTCAGTTAGAAGAGCATGCTACTCTTGATCTTGGAGTCATGGGTTCAAGCCCCATGTTGGGTGTAGAGATTACTAAAAATAGTAATAAACTTTCAAAAAATTGTTATAAAAATATTTCAGGATTTTTAAATTCTTCATTAAAAGAAATATATTGTTCCCACTTCCAGCTTTCTGATAGGAGGAACCCTTGTTTATTTCATATGTTAAAAACTTTATTTACATTGTTAATGTTCATATTAGGTAAAACAAAATTAAGGTCTTTAACTGATATTGATGAATTACTGGGTTTTTTAGGTGTGGTAGTGGTAGTTTGATTGTATTAAGAAAAATAATCTTTCTCTTTTTTTTTTAAGATTTTATTTATTTATTTGACAGAGAGAGAGACAGCGAGAGAGGGGACACAAGCAGGGGGAGTGGGAGAGGGAGAAGCAGGCTTCCCGCGGAGCAGGGAGCCCGATGTAGGGCTCGATCCCAGGACCCTGGCTGGGATCATGACCTGAGCCAAAGGCAGACACTTAACCGACTGAGCCGTCCAGGCATCCCAGATTATTCTATTTTAATAATCTGTTTAAATCAATTCAAAACCACTACAAATAGGTGTATAAAGCCAGATGATAATATGTCTGTGCACTGTATTTCAAGGGTAACCTTTAGTATAAGCAGTTTGAAAAGTGAATGAGCAATATCATTAGGAATGTGTATTGATCCTGTTTCTCTTTGTCTGGTTTTTGTTCAGAAATTTTATCTTTTGTTCGGAGGGCAAAATCAGAAACCAAGTCTCACACTTCTTTCTCTGTGGTTATCTGTTATTGTATTTGGTGGACAATAGTCAGTAAATATTTATTGAGTATCAATTTGTGAAAAGGGTACAGGAAGGAATAACCAAGTTAGTAAATCCATATCTCAGTCTGGTTTCCTTTCCCACCTCTTCTGCCAATTTGCTCTGAGGTCAGTTACAATTTGAGTAGTCTTTAGAATGAAGATCATATATATTGATATGGCACCAAAATATTTTTGAGTAAATGAATACTGTTACTAACAAATTGTATTATCTATTATAAAGGTAGTAACTGCAGGATTACCTTTTGGTATTAATGATAATGCCATAAATAGAATTTATGATGTGTTTGCCATACATAATGTATTCTATACCATCAGGTATTGTTATCGTTGGCCATGTCACATGTGGCTATTTAAGTTTAAATTTTAATTAATTGAAAGCAATTAAAATTAAAAATTCAGTTCCTCAGTTGCACTAGCCATATTACAAATGCTGAAGAGCCACATATGGGTAGGAGCTACTATATGAGATGAAACAGGTTACAGAACATTCCCATCATCACAGAAGGTTCTATTGGCCCAGCACTGCCTAAGTACCTACGTGATTGTTTAGAGTTCAAGAGGATGGTATGAATGGCCTCAGGTTCTCCTATCATGTAAAATAGAACATTCAGTGGGGGCTTTATGAGCATGCTGTTTGTCAGCCCAAGTAACTCTACTGTCTTGCTCTTCTAAAGAAATGGAATAGAGTGTCCTCAGATTGTTCTTTTAATTCCTATGTTAACATCTTTACTTTTTTGTAGTCATTAATTTCCTGTTCGGATCTCTCCTAAAAATAAGCATATGGCTAGTATGAGAGGTAAAAAGAGATTTGATCTCTTTTAATACGTATACTTAAGCGTAGGTGTTCTTGCCTGCTTTCCTCACCTGGCACAGGTCGAAGAGTCTGCAGTGATGGGAGTAAGTGGCTATGTGGAGTATCTCCGAGAGCAAGAAGTATCTGAGCGGTGGTTCCGGTACAACCCCCGTCTCACCTGCATCTACTGCGCCAAATCTTTCAACCAGAAGGGGAGCCTGGACCGCCACATGCGCCTGCACATGGGGATCACGCCGTTCGTCTGCCGCATGTGTGGCAAGAAGTACACCCGGAAAGATCAGCTGGAGTATCACATCCGCAAGCACACAGGCAACAAACCCTTCCACTGTCATGTTTGTGGCAAAAGTTTCCCCTTCCAGGCCATCTTGAATCAGCACTTTCGCAAAAATCACCCTGGCTGCATACCCCTGGAGGGGCCTCACAGCATCTCCCCGGAAACAACTGTCACATCTCGAGGACAAGCTGAGGAAGAGTCACCTTCCCAAGAAGAGACAGTTGCTCCTGGGGAAACTGCCCAGGGCTCTGTGTCCACCACTGGGCCAGATTGAAACATCGAGGGGGAGGGGGCAGACCCTCTTCCCCTTTGGGCCGTCAGCAGCCAGCATCAGGGCCGTGGGCTGGTACTTAGATTTACAAAATGCCACATCGCTAGGTCGGAAGATGCTCCCAAGATGTTGCCAAACTAGAGGATCAGCAACATACACAGAAGCACTAGAGGCTCTTCCCCTCCTCCTTCCCACCTCATACTTTGGAAAATAATCAAGCAAATCAACTTTCTAATTCAGGGATCAACAGCCTTGGTTTGTTAACTTTATAAGAAAAAATTTTTTAACAAAACAATGATAAATGGTCATTTATCTACCAGTCATGTTTGAACACTGTACTTTGGTCCATATCATCCTGGTGGCTGTAATTGCCCGGATCTAAAAAAACAGCAGGAGCCTTGGTCATCTGAACCAGCCAGCCACCAGAGAGAAGGAAGTAGTTGTGATGGTGACAGGGAGGAGGTATTTCTCCTCTTCCTTCCCTGCCAGAACATGCAGTTTCACATTTGAGGAAAAAAAAAAGTATCCTGGTGGTTCTTACGGTTTTGAAAGGTCAGACCTTATCTTTGCTCTGATTAGGCATCTGATGATACTTTGCCTGATTGTTTCATGTAAACCGCTGTCTTGGAGCGGTGTTCTCGTGGGCAGCATCACCTGAAGCACTTTAGGCAACTGGAAGTGAAATGAGCAGCAGAGTGTTCGCAGTAGGTTCTGCTACATTTGGGGGCTTGAGTGTCCTATTGAGGAAGAGGGGAGCAGGGAAGGAAGTGGGATTTTTGTGCAAATTTCAAATGGCGCAGAGTACTGCAACTTCCTGGTCGGTGTTTTTACACCACAGTGCTTAATTATCTTTGGGTGTTAGGAAATGGCTCTAGTCCAGATGAATTAATGTGTTAGGCTGAGTACCAAAGTTTCATCCAGTCTCTCTGGCTCCTCCTTTCACGTAACAGCAATATTATACATCAAAAATGTCACTTTCCAGTGAAATGAGCCTGGACTGTATTTTTAAATCTACAGGTCTCCATATTTGATAACTTTTATATGAAGTTTTAAACACATTTTTTCTGCAATATTGTGGTTGAAGAAATTCAACACTACGGTTCTTATCGCAACCACAATTCCATTTCCTTCTACATATGTGATAGTTTATAATATTTTCAAGCCAATAGAAGAACCTCACTAAATCCATGTCTCGCGTCTGCAAACCTAGTAATTCATAAACCCACCATCAGCAAATTGCTGGTGACTCCAAGAGCTTTGCTTTTTAATAATACACTACAGGGCATTCACCAGAAAACATCATGCACAATCATGTTGCAATAAATTGATCAAGGGATCAGTTTTGATCAGGTTTGGTTACTTAATCATTCCTAAGATTTTTAAAACTTCAAGGGACCTTTTTGGTAATTCTGGGAATTTCTGAGATTCTTAATCCAGCACTGAGAGTCAGAAAAAATTTACCAAACATGTAGAGTTTAGATGCCCTGTCTCGAATTCAGAGAATGAAGGAGGATTAGTAAGGGGTGCGGGCAAGGAGATGCTTACAGTACAAATAGAAAAGAGAAAAATCCATAGCTTCTCCTAATTGATCATTAATGTTTTAAGAGTTTTTAAATATGCAGTGGTTTAAGCAGTTGTTCTGGTGCAGAGGCGTAGATGATTGTAAAAGAGATGTGGGGCGGGGGCGGGGCTGGTCGTGCCTGCATGGGTGAGCCATTTGTGAGAATGTTAGTAGCATGCTCCCTTCCTGAGAATGCTTTGTGGTATGTGGAAAGGTGGGTAGGAAAGAATGGCATTTCTTTGATGATAGGAAGTTAGAGTGCAAAGAGTAACTCGTAAGCAATCTGCGAATTGTACCTACACATAAAGCTGTACCGTGTCACTGGAGAGTGGTTATTTTCTCTTCTGGAAAAATGTAGAAATGCGTCTTTCAATAGGAATGTAATGATGCTACCATTTGATAAGAGCCTACCCTTACACGATCTGCCGAAGCAGTCTTGTCTTTCAGAGACATAGACTGGGGCACTCTCCTCTTTAGTTGGGCAACAGCACAATAGGGCCATCTTAGGGACCAGCTATGCTCTGTGGCCTAGAAGTGGATTTGAAATGAGACTCAAATCTTTAGGGAAACCTTTTTGCAGGTCATCCAGGCTGTCTGTGGACAGATTCATTACTGAATAGGCAGGAAGATGAGAAGTACAGAATATGCTGCTGTCGATGGAGCTTTTAAGCCTACCAAAAAAATGTTAAGTCCACCCTACTTGTGAGAAGTAGTATGCTGGAAAGTTCTTTATGCTTTGTTAGTTTCTTAGATTTTCTGTGAGGAAACAGAGCTTTTTTAAACTATTACCAAATTGTAAAGGTGAAGTGCAGTAATCTTTGTCAAGAGAAACTCTGCAGCATTTGTCAGTCCTCTGGCCAGGATTAGCAACAAACCTCTTAAACAAGTAGGGACTGTTGAGCAGATGAGGAAATGCTGTGAGTGTTTGGTGGGTCCCTCTCCCTTGTCATTCACTTGTCCTAGGTTTTCGCTGTATTGATACTGTGAATAGAGTGCTACCCGGTCTTCTGGGACCACAGCAGCATGTTTGCTGGTTCTCGCCTCTTAATTGGCCTAGCCCAGAGCCATGAAATCCATGAACATACAAGCCAGACTAGCTTTTAAACAAATTCAAGTTTCTGAAAGCAATTTCCATTTTAGCCACAAAGGCTTTTATTATTCTAAATAACTATCCAAGATTCTTATCCAGGTTCACTGTGACATTGTCCTAGTTCTTAGCTAACATCACTGTAGGGTCATAGGAGTTCGTAGTGTTCTGTCTACATTAATGAATAGCTGTATTGGTGTATGCACAGAGGATACCTCTCTTAAGGATGTACTAAATGGACTTTAGCTAATGCTGAAAACTCATTACCAAATCTTAACTTGCACATGTCACCTTGTGAAGGGAACTGCATTAGCAATGAGAGCTAAATCATCATTAAGTACTTTAATGCCATGAAATAGCAAACACTGGGACCGTTTTCATTCATTGAGTGGCACTTAATAGCAAAGGAGCTACCCAATATTCTCAGCAAAAGAAGAGAGACGGCAGTATATTAATCTGTTTTCATTCTAAGAGGTACCTTTTATTCTCTCTGAACTCCGATACCAGTATATAAATATAGCATTGGCATGAATAGGAACACTGTACTTAGGCAGAAGGGCTCTTTCTAATGACTTGTTCTCTCTTTACTCAGAACCATATTTACCTCTGAACCGAGTTGAGTTTTATTTTATGTAATTTGCCAACTACCCCCAAGCCATCATTATGCCAGACAGTTAAATCTAATCTTGAATAAGTAAAAATAAGTTAGTTCCTAAAGGATAAGGATTGGAAAAGAAGGGAGGCAGCAGTTGAGGAAAGTTTTCTTGTTATTTTGTTTTTGGTATTTTTAAATGTTTCCAGTTCCCTCTATATCAGTGAAACAGAGTTTCCAAAGATGTTGTGACAATAGAGATAAACCATTCTCCTCCCACCTTCATAGTTGAAATCTGGCCTTGGTTGGAAGTGGTCTGAAGGAAGAGTATTGAAATAGTGAACTTCATCCTTAGCTGAGTAGTCTCTGGTCAAGAAATAACTTTAAAAAATTTTAGCTGTTACTTGACACAAATTTCGTTTCTTTTAACTAGTAAAAATTATATTTTGTTTGACTAGAAGATCTAATTTAAAGAAATAAAAACAACAGGTAATGGAAAGGAAATTCAACTGAACAAAGACTGCAGTCTTCTTAATCCTAGTGGAAGGCATTTAATCAGGAAGGGGTTGGAATCCTGGAAGTTTTTCTCTCTTCAGATCCAACAGACAGGTGTTTGTTTGTTTTCTCTTCCTCAGATGCTCTCCTCTTACTGGTTTAAGGCATAATAAAGAGGCCTTTATTGAACTTGTCTTTGAAAACGGGGGCTCTTTACCTTTGCCATTGGGAAGGGTGCACAATATTGAAGTATTTTAGTTGCTGAGATTTAGAAAAGGGACACCAACCTATTAAGTCAGGTAAACTCCTGGGTTTGAGAGGATGCCCCTTAGCAAAGTGTATCCCTAGAATTTATGAATTAGATAAGGGTTCAGCAGACTGCGGCCCCCAGGGCCCAATCCTGAGGCCATCTGTTTGTCTAAAGAAAGTGATGGTGGAATGGGGCCACACCTGTTCTTCAGGTGTTATTTCTACTGTGATGGCAAGGTGGAGTGCTTGTGACTCAGACCACATGGCCAGCAAAGCCTGAAAATGTACTGTTTGTCACCTAACAGAAAAGTTTGCTAACTCCAGAATTAGATTTGAAAGAATGACCTCCAAATTTGTCACTCCGGCCATTTTGTCTTTATAATAGTTTGGTTGAGGTTTTAAATTCATGTTGCCATGTATGCATCAGTTTCTTGAAAGAGCTTGCCATCTTTTTCTAGATCTTTGTCTCATAACCCTCTTTGTGTTCCTTCTTAATGATTCCTATTGCTTTAAAAGCATTTAGAATAGCCTTACAATCTGTCCTTGCCTTAAAGGTGCAGGTAGATTAAAGTTTAGGATAGTAGTTACGGATGTAAGAAAATAATTTAAAAAATAATTCCCGTGATAATAATGTAGGATTAAATGAGTACCATGTTTACATAAACTACTGTAAAAAATTAATGTTTTTGTAAGTTTTGCCATTCCTCTGAGAACACTTGAACTGATTTGCATAATGATGGCAAGAATGAATTTTTTCCCATTAGTATAAAAATTAACTTCTGTTATGAATAAGTGGTTTGATTCTTACCCAAAATACTGCTTTCTAGATTAGAAATCTCTACCCTTTCCCTGTACTACAAATCTTCATTTTCATTTCCTCAAACTCACTCTGTTCCATGTGGAGTAGTAAAAAGCCAAATCTTCTTTCCTTCCTTTATCTTTTTTTTTCCAATGAATGTTTTAAAACATAATGAAATCTCTGAGGACTTCAAATTCCTCTTAGACCCATCTTACAAATTCTGTTACTATCATTTTTCTAAATATATACTGGGCCATTATTTATTTGCTCTCTGAATGTTCATTCTTACTGTTCAAATAGCTTATTTATGCCAGATGTGCAAAAAATGGAAAATGTTAGGATGATTATTAACAGAATTCCTTGCAAGAGGAGAATATAATTGTTCCGCATCTGGAAACCATGCATAGACTTCTGAGTTAAATTTATCAGGACAAAATGTTCTAGGCCATGCTGACACAATGCAATGAATTTGATTCATACTTTGTTGTCAGCTCAACCAACACAAACCAAGTTCGGATGAGTGACCTAACCTCCAGTAACGCACCTCTCTACTAGGCATTTTATTCTTAAAGTTCCTTTTTTCTAAGTTGGATATTAGTAAGTTTTATATGATATGCCCTATGAGTAATAGATGACCTTACCTGTAAAGTTCCAGAATATTTGCCTAGGTTAGAACTGCCTTGTCATGGCACACTTAGAGTAATACAGGGTTCTTGAGATTTTGGAGTGTTGCTTTTCTGAAAAATTTGGGATTCTGATTAATCTGAGATATAGAACTTGTGAAAGCGATTGAATTTAGAGAGCCAGGTGAACCGTCTGCCATTTCTATGCAAATGCGTTGAAAACAGTGTTGTTTGCCCAGCATTATAATTTCTTTGATAATTACCAGTCTTATGTTGTGCCGCCTTTGCTTTCTAGAGTCTGTTTCTCTGTTTTCAGTCTTCTCATTTTTAGGTAGGCTTTTCCCAAGACCAGTCTTTTTACTTTGCAGTAAGTAGGTGTTTCTTGCTCAGGACAAGCCAAAGTTGGATATTATGAGTCCCTTCAAACACCTGACTTAGTTACATTCCAAAGGATGTAATTACTGACAGCCAACAGTGGTATTAAAACCCGGAGGATATCGGCACAGACTCTCCAGTTTTCTCATATAGGCAGACTACCTTTTCCCTCAACTGTGAGGAACAGCAATGACTTAAAAGGCAGTTATTACTTGAAATGTATAGTGTCTTCACAGAGTACGTGCGTGAATAAATTTCTTCTCTCACATCTTCCCCATTATCTATATAATAAATACTTCCCATCTTTTTTTTTTTCTAGATTTTATTTATTTATTTGAGAGAGAGAATGAGAGAGAGAGACTTCCCATCTTAACATAGTTAAGAGGGGCTGGCTCACTCAGATAGTGGAAGCTTTAAGCAACAGAGCTAGGTTATAAAGGCAGAGCAGTTCATGACAAATAAAACTCTTCTAATGCTTGCTTCTTTCTTGTCCACTCAGTAAGTCCTGTTGAGGAGGCTAGAATTCACCATCCAGTTAAGGGAGATATATGTGCAGCATCTTATATGGACAACAGCACAATTTAATATACTGTGAATCTTAGAATTTGCATTAATGCATGATGCCAAAAGTCAGAGTTTCTCCTGGGAAAATGTTTCCTATTCTGTGAAATCACTTATCTTAAGTGATAAGTAGCATACAGGAGAATCTGTCCCATAAAGTAAATATTAAGTACTTTTTGGTACCTGACCGTATGCTTGGAATTTATATAACAAAATTGATTTTAGACATAGTTTAGATGTGGCTTCCTATACTTGAGAGTCCTGAATCCACTCGGTTGGAGTCTGGATGTACGCTTTTTAAAAGCCTGCACTTTTCACCACAGAGATCAAAGAGAAGGGAACAGAATTAACTGTCCTAAATGCTTTAGTGGCATAATTGCAGTTAATCCTCAGAATAATCCTGTGAGTTAATAACAGTAGAACTAAAAATGGTTGAGAGTTTTTTTGAATGCTTACTATGTGCCAGGCATGGATCCATGTGTTTCACATTGGTTAACTCACCTAATCCTTACAGCAGTCCCATGTGGGTAGACACTGTTACTCTCCTCACTTTAGAGAGGGAGAAATAGAAATTGAGGCACAGAGAGGTTGACCCAGGCCATCTGACACTAGAGTTGACACTGTACTAGACTATGTTGCCTTTAAGAAGTGTAATTATACCACATTTTATAGACGAAGAGAGCCCAGGGTTACACAGTGAATAAATTGCAGACCCAGTATTTTCCAGTCTGATTCCAAAGCCCAGACTCTCTCCACTACATCATATTGACTCTGTTTACTTATAAAGAGTTGGGGTGACTTGGAATAAAGAATAGTCAGTAACAGTACTGCTTTCAGTGAATTTTTAACTCAAGAAAGCATGATTGGAAGATTTCTTCAAAAGATAGTGTCTCTGAGCAGATGTTGAATGGTGAATATTTTCTGGAGGTATTGCCCATTGATTCAGGAGTCGCCCATTTGATAGATCTAATTGTGACTCAGTTCAGGTTACCACCAAGGCAAAAATTGAAAGATAGCATTCTTGTATATCTAGCTTTGTAACAAACTGCCCTAAACTATAGTGACCTAAAACAACAATTTTATATATCTTGTGATGTTGTGAATCAGAAATAAAGGCTCCTCTAGGCAATTCTCTTGTTCCCTGTGGTGATGACTGAGGTCACCTGGTCGTATTCAGCAGGTTGTTGGACTGGTCTGGAGTGTCCGTGCTGATCTCACATGCCTGACACCTTGCGGGAGGGCTAGAAGACTTGGGGCTCAGCAGGCTTCCTCTCCCTCTCTGGAGTCTCAGGGACTTTCCATGTGGTCTCTGCGTCGGGGCAGTCAGACTTATTAAATGGCAGCTCAGGCCTCTAAGAAGCTGGGCAGATGGTGCCAGGCCTCCAAGGCCAGGCTCAGAACTATCATAGAGTCACCCCCATACGCTGTTGGTCAGAGAAGTCACTGGTCAGCCCAGACTCAAGGGGAGAGGAAATACCACTTGATGGCATGTATGTCAAGGATTTGGGACTACTTTAATCTGTCGTAGGTAGCATTAGGTTATTGATTTCTCTGGGCTTTTCTGTGTTCATTCATTTGGGTTAGTTTGTGCCATAGAAACCACTTATGATGTCTACCGTGGGTCAGTCAAGGAGCTAGAAAGAGAATGAGACACATACCCCATAAAGGTTTCATTAGCTATCCACCCACTGAGTTTCACTTATCTTATAGCAAAATTTCCATTTCATTTTTCTTTTGTTCCAAGTTCCAAGTGGTGAGCATTTGCTGGTTTTGTTTTTTTTTTTTTTTCTGTGAAGCTACAGCAACTGTACATACTGAGCCAGAAATACCCCAGAGGGAGTAAAAAGCTTGCTGTTATAGAAGTTTATCTTTTAGAGATGTCAACTGTATTTAAGTTTACAAAAAGGCAAAAACTCCTGTGGTATGGAAAATTCATATGGCTACTAAATCTCTTTCAACAGGAGTTTCTATCGCGTGACTACATGGATCATATTCTTTAGATAATTGAAAACTTTGCCTGCATATCCTAGTCCCACCTTAACTGACACCACACCACCTCAGGCACAGTTCATCCCATTTTTTATCACCTTTCATATGGGAAAATTCATTGCTCAATTTAATATGTTGTTAATCCTTTAAAATCAGCAGTTGAGGGGGCGCCTGGGTGGCTCAGTCGTTAAGCATCTGCCTTCGGCTCAGGTCATGATCCCAGGTCCTGGGATCGAGCCCCTCATTGGGCTCCCTGCTCGGCAGGAAGCCTGCTTCTCCCTCTTTCACTCCCCCTTGTTTGTGTTCTCTCTCTCGCTGTCTCTCTCTCTCTGTCAAATAAATAAAAATCTTTTTTAAAAAAATAAATAAAATTAGCAGTTGCTGTCAACCTGTCATCTAAAGTAACAGATCACTGAACTGTGAGGATTTTTGTCAGATTTAGGGTGCTTTATTTAAACTCCTGGTGGCTGATACTAGTTAGACTATTGCTGTGACAGAAGAATTATGGGCAGAGAATAAATTCTGCTCTAAAAATGATCACCCCCAGACCAATATGCTTTGTAAGAGAAGAAAGATTTGGGATTATCTATTCATGCCGTGGGCAGTGGGTTCCTGGAGAATTAGCTGTGAAGGCTTCTTGCTGGTCATCCCTAGGTATCAGAGAGTGAGGAGGTCTCTGTTCCTTAGGTCAGGCCTCAGGAATTGCAGACACAGGAAAGGGAGGGTACTCAGTGCTGAAGGCTTAATATAGGGCTCTACAAAATGCTGGGAAGGGAAAAGGACTTTGGCATTTGTAGTTGGATAGCCAGGGATGAAATGTTTGAGGCATTTAGGCATCAAGATTAGATTTTATCATATAAGGATTGGGGCAAATTTCAATGAATAAAAACAAGTGAGCCTTAACATTTTCTTTTTGATCCACATTTCCACTCTAATGTACCTCAAAGTCTGCTTTTTGTGACAGAGAAGCCTTTGAAAATATATTCCCAGGGAATGAAAAATCTCATGGTCATCTATGGAGAAGTCTCATGTTCTGTATGGGATAGCTCTTTGGGCCCTCCTCTAGATTCTCCGTGGCGCTTAGGTTTGATATCCTCTGCTGGTGGCATGAGAATGAAGTACTGTGGTCTTGATTTGCAGAAGAGAACAGAGTCGGAAGAAAGGGAACCTGTAGATTGAGAACATAGTGAGTCTTTCCAGCATCTCAGGCCGGTCACAGCGCCCTGCGGGAATAGAAATTCTTAGGGTTCAGATTTCTGCTCTTAGCTATGTCTTAAAGCAGATGTTCGTGACATATTTGAAGATGATCTCCTGAGTTTCCTATAAAGTAATAGAGTCCTCACTGTAGTGGTTGTTTAAGAACCACTGCAAAAACAGAATTACAACACAGGGAACAAAGCTTAAAATGTGTTTCCTCTGGAAGCCGAGATGCTCAAGCGGGTGTCACTGAGAGTGTGGCTGAATTCTATGTCTAGAACCGCTATCAGATAGCAGAGATATTTAGGATTTATATGGTATTTCTAATATTTTTACAAAAATGATTTTAAATCATGTAACTTGAAGTTTTAAAAAATTAGCCTGTTTTCTTTTTGGAAAACTGGCCCAATAAAAATAACACTAATATAACTCAATTGTATATGCATGTGCATTGAACACAGAGTGGTATACTAAAGATAGTTCATGCAAATAGCTTTTGTGGGAAGTTTGGCTATTTTCGTAATATCTTTTTTCATAAATGTTTATAAATATATTTACTCATCCACTATGACCTTGGTAGCATTAGAAGCATTTGTTAGCTGTATCATTGATTCTAAAAAATCAAATTCTTGGCATAGTAGGCTGTGAGAGCTTTTTGTTGCTTTGTATTTTGGCTAAGAAAATTATTTCTTGCACTTTCTATTTATAAAGATGTTATAACACATTACACCCACTTAGTGTAGCTGTTGTTTAGAGACAAAAAAAAAAAAAAAAGTAGGTGTTAAAGTGAAATGTATGTTTAAAAAGCCTGGCATAAGGAGGGACCTCAAAATAACAAACTTGGCTTGCATCTACCTGAGAAGGGCTGGGGTTTCATATCAAATTTAGAGTGAAAGGAGCTGTTGGGGTAGGCGTGCTGTTGCTGCAAGTTGCAATTTTATCACGAGTTGCCAGCGATGTGTGTGATTTTATGTGTGTGTGTGAGAAAAAGGTGTCTGATGAAGGCAAATAAGTCAATGTAGAATAGTCTACCTCCCATTAAAGACTGAGCATATTCCAAGATTGCCCTGTAGCCCTTTGGGCAGGAAGCCGCGTTCCTCAGCCACTGTCCACCTCGTCCTCTTTTGCACTCGCTTCAGCTCCTCTACCTCTGAGCACTTGGCTGAAGAAAGAGCGTGCTTTTTGTAGCAAGTGAAGGAAAGCCAGACGCACAGTCTAGAGGTCGCGGTATCTCCTGGTCACGTGCAGATGTTGGTCCTTAGCTCTGGTGTCGAAATCCAACAGTGTCAGAATGCTTCGGTTTAGTGCTTTTATCTGCAGGCTTCTGTTTGGCAAGAGTAGCCAGTGCATGTGGAATCTTCCTGGTTTTTTTTAAAAACGCACCAAACTCCTTTTAATGAAATATGAAAATTTTGTTTGAGTCCTGAGCTGTTTTTTTGGTCATTGCCATTTGCAGTCCATTACTGGGGGACCAGATGACTAACCGTATTTGCCCGACGGTGAGCCTTCTGCCAGTATCTTGACACAGAGGAATGCGTGACATGGGTTTTTAGATGACTTGTTTTGCTTTTAGTCACTCCAAAGAGACACTCCTGTTTTAATGCCTCTGCTGTAGTCAGGATGGCCTCACTTGAATGTGCAGGTGTCAGGAATCTGAGTGTCAGTAATAAACTCCCACGAGGCACACCACCTAATCTTTACATTCGGTGTGATGCTCGGCTGACTTACTGTTTGGGGCGCTTGCACACCGAGCCATATCAGGTTACCTACGTTTTGAACATGTGTTCTGGCTTAAGAAGAACTCTCGGCCCTGTCATAGATCTCCTATGGCGCTTTCCACCTTTTCATTCTAAGGCACTGGCTGCTGGTAACGTCCAAACGGGGATTCTCGGGTTAGGAGTGAGAGTGAAAAAGTGATCTAGTCCCCAGTGTTTACAGGTTGACCTCTGTGTTCAGGTCCTAGCTGATCAGTATTTGCTGTCCTGGTGATTGGGAAGGGCAAGCGACGATACGGTGTGAAATTCCAGTTAATGAGACAGGCATTACTCCTAGGAGGCCACTGATCTAAGTCACCTCTGCCTGAGTACAGCGTGAGTCCTGGAGGGAGCTGAGGCAGGAAATCATGTGAGTCTACTCACCACACTGTTGGTTCCCTTCCTTTCTTTTCTGTGTGTGTGTGTGTGTGTGTGTTTATTAAAGCACGGGGGAAAGAGCTGCCCAGCTGTTGTTATTCTAACTGTAGAATAATTGCCATTTTATAAGCCATGCTAATATCCTAGACTCAGGAATTAACTCCTGCTTAGGAAACTTCTTCCCTCTGGCTTATCTTTTTGTGCCAAGTCTGTTCTAGGCCTGTCCCCAGGTGTTTTGCTATAACACATATTTAAATGCAGACTTACCTAAATCCGAAATTTACTGTTGGCAGTGTGACCTGTTACAGCCAAAGTGATTTATTTAAAAACAAAACAAAAAAGTGAGAAATGCCTAGCCATGTCTTTGGGGTGCATATTAAATCTGTGAATCTGAGAGGAAGCATGGAGTCTTACCTTTCTTCCCCCTGGCTTCAGTGAACACTGGCCTGAATGCTTTTTATTACAGAGCCAGTTAACCCTAAGCCAGTAGTTTTCCATCTTGGCTGCGCATTAGAATCACGTGGGACATGTAAAAAATGACTGTTGCCTGGGGCCCCTGCCGGACCCTCATGTTGAATTGGTCTGCTGTGCAGCTTGGGCTTTAAAAGCTCCCCAGCTGATCCTAGTGGGCAGCCAAGGTTGAGAATCACTGGCCAGGTATTCTTGAGTGGTCTCCAGCAGGATAACCTCAATCTGGTTCTTTTTGTGTCATAAGATACCTTTATTGCTATCCCAGCATGGCTCTGAGTTTAAAGTGGTCCAAGGCTCAGGTGGTAAAATGGATCATCCATTTGTCCTCAAAGTAATTCTGGAGAGAGATGTTACCATCCATCCAGTTTCGTCTCTATACCAAATACAAGGTGTGCATAAGTAAGCAAAACAGATTTTCAGAGTCTGGTCTCTAGAATCCTCTTTTCTTTGCGTTATGTGATTTGAGTGGAGATTTCTCAACTCTGCTAGCTAAAATAGAGCACTTGAACTTATTAAAAGGCCAAGCCCAACCCACCTAGGATGATTTCTATTTGTAAAATAAACAAGAAGCATTATTAAAGTTAATGGAAAAAGAGAAGGATCCTTCCTGGGGGTGATGGTGATACATTTGATTATTTGTCTCTTAGCCTATCTTCTAAGTGGGATTTCAATGTAAAGTGACTTTCACTTTTCCTTGGGGTTTTTTTGTTTGTTTTTTGGGGGGTTTTGTGTTTGTATTTTTTGTGAATGAAATGCACTAGCTAAGGCTTAAATATTTCTGAATTTTACATGAAATGTGAAATGAGTCATTTTAGTATCTTTATTCTGGGATGTCAGAGACCTAACCTGGTAATTCCTAAGTGAGGTTCCATATCTTTCTTTCTCCCCACCCAGGTAGTAAAAATGCCTGCCCTGCCCGTGGCAACTTCGCACACGGTAATGGGAATGTGGAGAACAGTTTGATTACCTTACAAGTGAGACACCACCCTCCCCCCAGCCCCATTCAAACTGATTAGCTACCAAGTGATTTCTCGTTCATGATAGAAATTTTTGTTTAAGAGCAAGTTCAGTTATAGCAGTCTCTTTTCTGAGAGAATTCTGGGCACCATAGAAATTTTCATTCATATATTGCCTACAATAATTGATACTTTAAATTTCAAATAGGTCACGGTGTTTTCAAGAAGAAAAATCAGTTAGATGGAAAGATTGGCTAGTGCAGAGGACTGAATTACCATCAGGCCTTGACATTTCATTAAAATAAATGGAGGCCTGGCTGTTTACATTGCATGTAAATGCTGCAATGTCTTTTAGAGAAAATGCCTCCTATGCCTTAGAAAATTTATGAAGGCTTCTCGATATGGGGTGGAATAGAAAAACAGTAGCCTTTGGGACTTGCATGCATCCAGAGAGTAGTGCGTTAGGGTGTCATACTGAGGAGGATTGTGGAGTACTGTGAACCATTGTTGAACTTTATGCAAATCACACTGCACTGGATTTTATGATTCCTGGGGGGAGAGGGAGAGTAGACGAGGAGGGTGGGGCAGTAATGATATAAAATATATAAACTTGTTCTATATTTTAAGCAAGGAATGAAACAAATCCCCTACAGGAATTCTCTGTCAGAACTGTGAAGTTCAGTCAAGTTGTCTGCCCTACTGGATTGGCTTGCTGATTCCTCTTCAACTTCTAAGGAGTCCTTTCGGAAACAGCTACGCAAATGCTAGTCTGATTACAGTTTCACCACCCTCCCCCTACTCAACAAAAGAAAAACATTCCCAAACTAGAGAAATGTGTTCTCTCTCAGTTCATTACCTTTTTATCTGCTCTGGTCTGTGTTCATAGTTTTAGCCCGTTGCGTTATTTTGTGATCTAATGGCAGAACTTGAAGAGATCTGCCAATTCAGTAAGGAACCAATGGCCTCTCCTTTAAGGAATCTTAAAACCAGAACTCTCCATCTTTGGCATGTTAGCCTAAGTGAGTAAAGGGAGAAGTACATTTGGAAGAGCACTTAGATTTCCTGGCTCCTCATCATTCAGGGTTGGGACTCACTCACGCTCTGCCCCTGGGAGGAGAAGAGAAGGCTGAGGGTTTAAAGACAGAAAAATCAAGGTAGCTGAAATGTGGTTTCCTTCAGATGGACATGGTCTGGAAGAAATCTGTCCACCTGTTCTCTATGGTGCTTATATGGTGGGTGACAACTGTCCCCCATCTACCTGTCCCTGGCACTGTGCCTTCCCACTGGTCACTGTGAAAAGCAGATCACACTGGACTCAGAGGCCAGAACCCAGGACCATTTCCTCCCTTCTCATCTTGAGCCCATCACTTCTTCATACAGCTAATAATGTAGCATTTACTTCTCTTTGGAAAACTCTTGGGTTTGTCCCCCAAGAAGTAGTAAAGCATTTCAAGGAAAATAGTCAGAAAATAAGGTCCTGGTGGTAGCTATCAAATAAAGAGATTATAGGACAATTTCTCTTCCCCTCATAATACGGATAGCAAGGATCAACATGCCCCCCCTTCCTGTGTTTTTAAAGGCTACCGTAGTATTTGTAAGTGACAAACTTAGGTACCATTTTTTTCACAACTTGCTAATCAAAGATTCATATTAAAACAGACAATCAATTTCTAAAATGTTGTTATCCCTGAAAGGGAATGAGGTAGAGTTTTAAACTATAAGAACCTACCAGTCCGTTTTTTCCCTTTGAAAAAACAAACATTTGAGGTTTGTGTCTTTCATCTGAAGCTATTACACCATTAATAAAGATGCCTCAGAAAAGTCAGTGAGCCAGGCGAGCGCTCTTCCACCTCTGAGGGTGCTGGCCTGGGTTCGTGCATCTTATTTCCTTAGAGAATATCTGTTTTTATTATGACCTTAATTATAAATACCTATATATAGGAATAGGATTTTCTCTCACCCCACCCTCTTTAATCATTATCACTTAAGTGTAAACCGCACCTCCCCTCACCCCCCTTGTACTGAACAAATGCACTTTAATTCCTAAGGAGAGTGGCTGTTCCTGGCCCTGAAGCCAGATTACTTCAGGAGGAGAGTTGAGGAGGGAGAACTCCTGCCAGACCCTGTGAAATTAACCAAATTCCTTAATGTCAACACACAAATCCTACCCATTTTTAAGCTGTCCCCCCCGCCCCCGCCCCGCCCGCCAAAGGGAAAAAAAGAAACAACCAAAATGAAGTTTAAAATGCCTACCCTGATTGGAGAAGTTTCCCTGGGGACAATACCCAATATTAAGTTATTTGCTCAGCTACCAAATTGTCAGAAACTTCTAGATTGTTTTGTGGGAGGCTGAGATTTCTTTAAAGGAAAAAGGTGAAAACATAAAGGCTGTAAGATATGATTCTGATATGTGTCATTTCTAAATATTAGATTTGTTCTCTCCCTTAATTTGACAGGTGTTCTCAGTCTCTCCTCCTGTAGATTTCTGTCCTTCCCCTGATGACAAGCCAATAGTCCTTGGTGGGGTTGCATGTCTCCTAGAGCCCCAGAAGCCCTGTCGTGTCGGGGGAGGGGGGAGGGCAGGAGGGCGGGCCAAGACTGGGGTTGGGGGGAGGGAGAGTCAGAAAAAGAGTGAAGATATGGGTTTATATAAACATATTTAAAGCAGTTTAGCAAAAGCTTTCTCGTTGAACAGCTTTAAGAACAATGTGAATGAAATCTTAGCAACTTGGTTAGTAATTTGAAAAGTCTATTAATGTATACTTGAAATTCTGTTTGTATAAAAATACATTTTCCTCTTTATTTTAACACTGTGTAAAAGAACATTATGCATGTGAGTGGTTTGAGAATTAAATGGTTTAATACTCAGATTTGACTATCTGGTTTTTCTGTTTATAGAGATTAATTCTTTTACAATTTTTGGATTTTTTTTTTTTTTTTTTTTTTTTTAGTATGATGGGAATACGGACATTTCAGGCTCTCGCTGCCCTTTCGGCATGCCTACCATCCTACCATCTTTCAAGATGCAGCAGTAACGTATTTCCCTCCATCACTTTTTTTTTTTTTAAGATTTTATTTATTTCTTTATTTTAAGAGAGAGAGCATGTGCACAGCGAGCGTGGAGGTGGGGGAGCGGAGGGAGAGAGAGAAGCAGACTCTGCCAGGTGCAGAGCCCTGTGTGGGCCTCGGGGCTCGATCTCACGACCCTGAGATCATGAGCTGAGCTGAAAGCGAGACTGGGAGGCTTAGCTGACTGAACCCAGCCAGGCGCCCCCCTCCTTCACTTTCCTGACCCAGGTGTGCTCACTGGTAGAGAACAACTGAAAGTGCTCGCTTGACCAAATGCCCACCAGCATCTCTATCCATCTCTCCTCCCCTTGTCTTCACTTCATGTGGCAAAATCCATTCATAACTGGGAGTAGTTGTGTTTATTTTTACTTCTGTCACAAACCAAAATAGGAAGAGGTACAAAAAATAAAGAACACTTCAGTGATCACAAGCGTTGGCCACTCTGCCCATGAAGATGATAGTGTTCAGAGCAACCTCCCTTATGAGAACGAGGAAGGGCCTGTTGGCCTTGAAGGTCACCCTGCTGGAGTTCAGCGAACGGCCGGCGATGCTGACGACAGTACTTGCTGCAGCTTCGCTGCCCTCCTCGTTGACCTGCAGACCACAGAGGAGACACAACGGCTGCGTTACCTGCCCTGCGGTTCCTCGGAGGCGGGAGGTCACGCACAGACACAGCCCTTCCTCAGAATGCTGTCTTCCGGGGGCCGGGGGCGGGGGGGGGGGGGAGGTACCCTCGGGTCAGGTGGCGTTCCCGCCAGAATGCGACTTTTACTCATTGTTTCAGCCAATGAATACTGAGGTGAGCACCTGTGTTCCTCCAAGCCTCGTGCCGCGTAAGAGCAAGGGTTCCATTCAGGTAACTCCTGAGCCGGGAATGCGCACGTTCAACAGGCTGCCGTGTTTCCGGCCGGCCCCATCGTGCGGGGTATGGCAGGAGGGTTACCTTGTACCAGATGCTAGACGGGACTTTGACTCAAGATCAGAACTCTGTAGTTGAGAGAGTTTCACTCTTGGGGCATCAAGATCCCAGACAGAACTACCCCAAGCAGCCACTCAGGACGTTGCCTATGAAAAGACAAGGGTCCTCTGGCTGAATGAGGTGAGTATTTTTTGGAGTAATGGTCTGACACATTGGTATTTTAAATTGCTGATAAGTTGACCTGCCAGAGAGACACCTTCAGAAAATTTTGCTTGGGGACCCAGAATATCACCAAAACTCTGTCCCTGCCTCTTAATGAAAGCACTTCAGATCCCTGAGCTTTATGGAGCTGGTTGAAGATATTCTCTCCCTGTCACTCTTCTTCCCTGCTTCCTTACCATCCTATGCCCCCATCTCCCCGTGCTGTTTCATGGTCGTTCTAGGACTGGATTTGTGAGCGGCCTGGAGCTGTTGCAAGACCAGGATCACCTTATTCAAATCAGACACTGGCTTCTAATGGCTTCCCAGGAGATCTACAATCAGTTGGGGTCCTGTATATTGGGTTCCCAAGGTTTCCAAGGGGAACAACTTTGTTCCAAGAGCTTTGGAGGAACCTTGCACCATCGTTTAGTGGGCTAAGGGGGATAAAATGAATCCAAACCTCTGCTTCTTCCTAATGGGAACTCAAAGCCCTCAAGGGTGTCTGAGTTGACTTCTTCTATTTAGGGTCCTTAGAGGAGGATTTTTCAATCAGAGTTAAAACACTGAGGACATAGCTTCCCTTGCCCTCTTCCTAAGTGTACTAACCTTCATAATCCATGTGGAAGAGCGGGGTCAGTAGTGACTTTTGTACAACTTCCAAAACCACTAATTCAGTACTCCTGTCAAACCCCTAGGTCTGATCTCGATACCTTAAAGATACAGGCCTCTGCTCTTGCTGTTGTCCTGCAGGTCACGACATCTGTGGGCCTATGGATTATATCCCCACGTTGAGGATTTGTGCACCTCACCCATAGCCTTCCTGTCCACCCTAACTCCTGCTATCATTGGATGCAGACAATTACCTATCTTGGTAGGAGGCCCAGTCAACACACTAACTCCCCTTCCTTTCATCTCATCAACCCCAATGAGCATTACCTTCACTCTACTTAAGCAAACCAGTCCCATGGCCATGCCTTGAACTTGCCATCTCTCAGACTTGTTCTACCTTTGAAATTATAATAAGGACACTATGTTCTCAGACTGTAACCTTTTTTTTCAAGCTATTGCATCTCCTCACTCTCGTGACAATTATTCTGCTTTCCTTCTGCTCTTTGATCCCTCCACTTCCCTCCTGATGACATTTTCTCACTGAGCTTGGACTCTGCCACTGTATTTACCAGCACCATGTTCTGAAACCTTTCTCCTTTGACCGTAACCTTCTTTCTTTGTGGTTTCCTCAATCCCGTGACCGTCTCTAACAGCGGCCATCCCCTTTTCCTCATAGCCCAGTTCCCCCAGAGGACAGTGCTTCCCAAACCTGGTTGTGGATTTAAATCTCCTGAGGAGCTTTGTAAATATGCTGATTCTCAGGCCCCATCCTGGATTCCCCAAGAGTCAAGCTCCTCACTGAACTAGTGCTACTGGTCCATAGTTCAGTATTTGAGAACCAGAATTCTGACAGGCTTTACATAGCTATTACTCCAGTAAAGGGTTCCACAGGCACCTGAGTTGGGGAAACACTAGGTTAAGCAATATATTTTTTTAAGCTTTTATTTTAATTCCAATCAGTTAACGTACGGTTATATTAGTTTCAGGTGCACAATATAGTGATTCAACAATTGCATGCATTACCTGGTGCTCATCATGGCAAGTGCCCTCCTTCATCCCCAACACCTATTTCACTCATCACCCTCCCCTACCTTCCCTCCAGCAGGTTAAGCAATATTGAACCAGTTTTTCCACTGTGGGGCTTCTTAGTGTGCATTGTTAATTTCCCAAGAAGAGGATACACATTTACTTGGCCACCAAACTTTGTTCTTTGCAGCGTAGAGTTCTAGTGCTTTAGAACACACTTTAGGACATGATCCACTCTCCTCAGCTCCTCTTCTTTACCCTCCATTTGCTCTTCAGCTGTCACAATCAGGCCTGTGCCCCCACTGTTCTAAATTCCTCAGGGAATGGTAACCTATGGCGATTTTCAATCTTGTTACCAGATGCTTTCTGTTTCCTTAAAACTCCTCCCTGGGTTTCCATGAGTGTCCACTCTCCTGGTTCTCCTCCTTTGTTGGAATTATAATGACACTGTGTTCTCAGACTATAACCCTTTTTTTCAAGCTATTGCATCTCCTCACTCTCGTGACAATTATTCTGCCTTCCTTCTGAAGCCTTTGTAGCCTTTGTTGACTTCTTTTCCTGTGTCACCCTCCCCCTACATATTTGACCTGCTTCAGGAGAAGTAGTGGGAGGGAGGGTGGAACAATGGGACCATGAGGGCTTCAGGGGAGGGCTGTCTTGGGGAGGCCTCATGGAGGAGGGGGCTATACACATCTGGGGTTTGAGGGACACTGGAAACATGCCTTTTTCCCCAGTTGTGTTCTGCTGTTCACATACCTGCTGGAAGACCATAGACCCAGCGGAGCAAGAAGTCCCTAGTTACAAATCACATGAGATATTGATATACTGGAAAAGGAAGTGACAGCAAAGGAAGGTGTACCCACCTCAAGAAAGGCCTTATGGAATGCCTGTGAGACATAGAGGTCGCTCCGGCCCTCTGCGATAATACCTAGAAGGAAGACCAGAGAAGTTTCTGTGAAATGGGAGAAAGTCAGCTTCAACCCACAAAAAGGAATTCAGTTTGAATTAAGAGGTCCTTTGGGGCTTTTTTTTTTAAATAAAAACCCTGAACCCTCACCTAGTGATACTCCCTAAATAAATAAATGCATGTTTAAAAGAATAAAGTCCTTTAGGCTTTTTCAGCCTAACTCCTGTGAATGTAATCTCACGCTTCAGCTCTTGGAAGGGGGCAGGGGACTCTGTTCTTAAAGAAAAACTCACCCCACCTAGTAGGAATGTCTTTCTTTCCAGTCTGGCAACGTTTTCAAGAGAGAAGTTGGTTAGACCTAGTTTAATTTTTTTTTCAACTTTTATTTAATCTCTACACCCAATGTGGGGCTCAAACTCACGGCCCTGAGATCAAGAGCCACATGCTCTTCCATCTGAGCCAGCCAGGGGCCCCTGGTTAGATCTAGTTCATAGGCAGCCCATTAAAGGTAAATTCAATTACCTGACATTGTAAACTTCTTTTGTAAAAAGATATTTTAATGCATATTTTTAAAGAATGGTAGACTGTAGGAACCAAGACCACAGAACACTTGCTGAAGTCTCACAGCTGGGGAAGGTTGGCCACATCTGTTGTCCAAGTGACTTGAGGGAAAACTCATGAGCCCTTTGGAATATCAGGCTGTTCAACATCAGCTATGCCTATTGTGTGGGACCAAGATGTCCCCAGCTCTGAATCATATCTTTGCTTTGAATTCTGATGTCTTTTCAAGGTCTTCTCTACTTGGTCCCATCCCCCACACCAGTTACGGTCTCCAAGCATTCCAGTGCTAGCTGGGTTCCTGGACATCCAGGTGCAAAGTCCCTAGGATACAGAAGAGGAACCAGACCTTGGGAAGGAAGGGTCTCCCTGAGTTAGCAGTAGAACCCTTGCTCTACTCCTGACCCGTTGCTCCTTTCTACTCTTTCCCCAATTCTTTCACCTTTGCTCGGACCACCTTGGGAGGCCGAGGGAAGAGAAACGCCCTTCCTAGGCTAACCTGGGAGCCTGGACTTCTCAGGGTTGAACAGGTCCACAAGGCCCATGTCTTGCAGCTGCTCCTTCACACTGAAGCTGTCCTCGATGCGGAAGCGGGGCATGTGGACCACCAGCAGGGTCTCTGCCATCTCATCCAGCCATTCCTGCAGCATCTCTGGGGTGAGCTCCTGCTCCACCTTGGCCAGGCTTTTCTCAGGCTTGGGCAGGATGAGCACCATGGTGATGTCATCACCCTTGAAGGGCAGCTCGAGCACCTGGGTGCCTTCGGCCACTCGCCGATAGCGGAACTTGCCTTCCTGGTACATCATGGACGCCAAACACGACTCCCCATCAGCCTTGTAGAACAGTTCCTTCCTTGTGTTCTCAAGACTGAACTTTGACTTCCACAGGCCCTGGGGGTTGGCGGGGGTTGGGGGCGGGGGGAGACAGCAAGTGGGAGAATCACAGCGAGAAGACCAAAACCCTCCATAGGAGAATGCTGACGTGGGAAATAGTCACATTATTTTATCACCCTAATATGCAGGCAGAATTACTAGGAGAAAAGATTAGAGGCTATGCATGAAAAGGCTTACAGTGACTGTGGCAGAGTGATGGAATTATGAGTGGTTTTTTTCTGTGAACTTTTCTGTATTTCCCGGATTTTCAGCAGTGGCTGTTTATTTGCTTTATAACCAGAAAAATAAAAAACTAAAACCCAGAACAAATTACTGGCCTCTTCACAAGCATCTTTTTGAGTTTAAATCTAATTGTCTTTTGGCTTTCTGCCTCCCACCCGCCTCTTTCTCAAGGGATGGCCATCCTCCAAAGGGCTGGGCTCTGCCCCTGATAAATGAAGGCCAGACACAGATAATAACCCAGGGGGTTGTCCCGGAGCCCTGCCCGGCAGAGGGTGAGTCCTGGCTAACTTCCTGCTCAAAAACAGAGGGACCCTGGGATACAAGACATCCCTTTGAAATTTCTGAGTTGTAACTACCATTCCTTGTCCTATTCTGGCTGGTTGATTTGGGGACAAGTCATTTAACTCTTGGAGTGGTGGGTCCTGGCCTGTAAAATGAGGAGAGATGGCTAGTATTGGCGGGATGCTTACGGTGTGCCAGGCACTGCTCTAAGCATTTCAGCTGCACTCACTTCTTCGGGGGTCAAGGGGCAGGAAACCCGTGAGGGAGGTGCATCATTATTCCCATTTTAGAGATGCACAGAAAGGTCTCCGGTAACTCACCTGAGTTCACACAGCAGAAATGGAAGAGGCAGGACTTAAGCTAAGTAATCTGTCTGAGAGGCCCAAGGTCTCGTTGACGATCTTATGAGAATAAAGAGGGCTAATAAACAGCAAGGTGTTCTGTAAACCTTAAAGGGCAATACATATTGGGTAACTACAACCTTCTCCACGCTGGGGGAGAGGGAAACCCCAAGAGACAGAGTGGCTGGCAACAGCAGGGGCTGGCTGAACTCCTGGGCTCCGTGCGGGGTGAGAGGGCACGTGGAACACGACCCACGATGGGCAAATGTGCCCCAGGTCCCCCCGTCTTAACCTGTGGCCCTCCTGAGGATCAATGGTCTGTTTATTCCCAGGACGCTCCCCCTCAGTCTCCTTCCCACGTCTCAATTTGGAACAGCCTTTAGAACTCTCGACTCTGAGAAAGACAAAGCCATCCGCACAGATCACAGGACTCTGCAAAATTTGGGGTGAGCCTGGCACCAGGGGTTCAAAAGCCTCGGGCAAGGGGAACTTTGAATCACTATTGAAGCTGCTCCAGATGACGGAGAAAATCTCATCACCGAGGACTGTCAGTAGAGTCTATCATGTTGTTCCAGATTTCAAAATGGAGTTAACTGGATAGCAAAAATGGTCACACATGTAGGAGAGTTCATCCCCACACATACTTTGCTAAATTTGTGAGTGCGTACACTCTTCCTTGGGCCCAGAGGCACGGCCAGGCCCCCCTGGACTTCAGGCCAGCAGCCGTGGCCCTAGACATGGTTCTAGACTCTCAATAAATTTGTATTTCTGCCCAGGCCATGCATGGACCGTTTCTCAGAGAGGACCTATCTAATGCCTAATGGTGTGAAAGCAGGTGAGCTGGAGGACAAGAGGAAGTCCTCTGGGTCTCTCCAGGGCCATTTTGAGTACCTTGAAGTAAATGGTGTTGACCAGCACCAGGACCGTGAGCTCGTCGATGGCATCCTGTGGCACGACATCAGTGATACGCCCTTCGGTCTTATTGGATACCCATTTGTTGATGAACATTCTGGACTGCTCTGCATTTTCCTGAGGAGAATAGGAAACAAACGTATCCACCTGTGTTTCAGTGGGCTTCTCCACTTCCCCACACAACATTTCATTTTATTCATCAGCCCTTTGCCCTTTCACACCATATCCCACTCTAACCCAGATTGGGGAGAACTTACATATCTAGTATAATGCCATGAATCTTCCAGATGGTTAGTAAATATTAATAGAAGAAAGAGAAACAGAAATAAAGGAACAGAAAAGAGGAAAATAGGGAAAAAGAAAACAAAATGTTATTTTTTCTGACATATCCAGAAGCTAGTGAGTTATGCAGGGGTGAGGGGCAGGAAGGATGCCTATGTGGCCAAAAAAAATAAAAATAAAAAAGGAGAAATGCTGATTGAATAAAGCCAATAGACTTCTCAGAAAACTTACTAGGCTCGGGTGTTTCATGAATCTCCAAGAGGAGAATATGACACACACCATACACCAATTTTATTTGATCCTGGTAATTTTTAAAAAATTAAATAAGGTGTCTTGTAGGATTGGCATCTTGGTGGATACCATGAAGAATTTATTATTTATGCAACTTTTCAGAGAAGCCACCACAATCTAAGCCATAGATATTATTGATTTCTCAGGTTTCAAGCAAGTCCAGGGGTACTGACTTCTAGTCACTCCCCACCCCCAACCTGCCTTCAACTAGCATAGCTCATAGCCCATAGTTCATTTGGATCCTGGATCCTGCTTCTCTACCTTCTCAACCTCCGAGGGGAAACGAAGAACTCTGAGGTCGGGGACGACATCTGCAACTCACCTTGAAGTCCAGGGGCTGGAGCTTGGCTCCGTACACCACCTCACTGATGTCCTGATAGGTCTCATTGAAGGTAAGGGATTTGTCTCCAAAAAGGCGGTTGGCTGATACCAACTCAGAGGACTTGTTGGCTTTTCGATAGAGTCGGCAGTTCAGTTTGGCAAAGAAAAAGTGCACCTGATCAGACGTCTTCTCGGAGATGGTATTAAACTTAAAAACCTGTGGAAGCCAAAAGAAAATGGTGGAGGAGCTTGGCTAACGCGGTGGGGTCAGTCCCTGACCAGCAGCCACCCCACCTATGAGCTCCTTCAAGAGCAGCACCCAGCACAGCATAAATACTCAGCTCATGTCTTCTAAATGAATACATGGGTAAAAGGAGAATAAAGGGTAGGAAGGAGAAAGGGGAAAAGCACAAAGAGACTGGGATACCACCTAACGTCTCTACTGGGCTCTAGACCACACGTTTCCTTGGGGTCCAGTAAGGAGGCTAGGCAGGAAGGCTCCGGACTGTACCTCCATCAGCTGCTTGAGGGTGTTGTCACAGGCCCCCAGCTTGGTCATAGCAAAAGCTGTGGAGATACTCAGGGGCGATAGGAAAATATTATCGTTGTCATTCTTGGAGTCCGCCAGGTGCTGATAGAAGGCGGTGGCGAAGCGCGTATTGGCTCTGGACAGTTCCCAGACTCGCCGGTTGGTGGCCTCGGGGATCTTCTGCTCCTCGCCCTCATCCTCGACTGCCTTCTTCTCTGCAGACCGGTAAATGCACATGGGATTCACCGGAATGTCCCGAGGCTTGGCTGTGCAGATGTCCTCCACGGGGTTCCAGCGACAGGTCACACAGCCCCAGAGGCCAATGAGCAGCAAGGACAGAAGACATGCCCTCCTATAGGGGGACAGAAAGCTGAGTTAAGTTTGGCTGGGAGAACCCCGATCCCCGCTGCCCATCACAGACTTGCCCCAGTAAAACACCGGATTCCAGCCCAGCTGGTGTGGCCGGGAGGCGGGCCCAAACCCTCGCAAAGTACGAGGGCCCAGGACAAGTCCCGTCGTGGATCTCTCCGCTTGCCTGGACACAGGTTGAAATTAAAGTCAACCATTGCAGCAGCTGATGGTTATAAAGCATCGCGGGCCCAAGGCTGGAAGAAATAAAGAACGCACAGCTTCCGGCTGGCGAGATGAGACACCCACGCATGATATACAGGCAGGGAACCCGAGCGCCCAGCGCAGACCTGGGGCACTAGTAGGAGCCCTTTACAGAAGCTGTTTAGGAACGGCCTCCTGGATGTGAAAGGGTTGGAGATTTGGGTTGATGCAGCAGAGATTTCAGTAATACAACAGGGGTAAGAAGGGGTGAACGGGATGATGCCTGGGTGGCTCAGATGGTTAAGCATCTGCCTTCGGCTCGGGTCATGATCCCAGGGTCCTGGGATCGAGTCCCGCATCGGGCTCCCTGCTCAGCGGGGAGCCTGCTTTTCCCTCTGCCTGCCGCTCTCCCTGCTTGTGCTCTGTCTCTCTCTGACAAATAAATAAGTAAAATCTTAAAAAAAAAAAAAAAAAAAAGGGGGGGTGAACAGGGCGAAGCCTCTGCAGGTCTCCAGCTCCAGCCCAGCCCCGCCCTCCGAGCGGGGCCAGATAATTCCACCTGGACGGCCTGAAGCTTCCTTAGGGAAATACGACCAGATTGTCCTTATAAGTCTCCCCCACCCACTGCTTCTCCTCCTCCATCCTCCAGCTCAGCAAATGGGAGCCTCCTGCCAGCTGACATCCAAGCCAGAAACCGGGAGTCCCCCCCCATTCCTCCCTTTCACCCTGTCTTCAGACCCTGGATTCAAAGAGCTCTGTGTCCTGCTCTCTCACAGCCTTAGGCCTTCATCATTTCTCTGCCTGCAAATTTTAATGCTTCCAACACGGGTTCACTAAAAGCCAATGAAATTAATCTTACTTTTTAAAAAAATGAGATCATGCTACTGGCAAATTAGGAGAACTGGAACAGTCAGGCCCACCAGGAGAAAAGCTTGTAATATTTTTGTACAAAGACAGGGTGGCCCGGGAGCTTCCTTTGGCTGACTTGGGAGTCCATGTGGGTACGGAGTCTTCTCAGTCGTCCCCTGGCAGAAAAAGATACGCACACAGGGTGGAAAGGACTCGCGGAGGTGGTCTGCAGCCGAGTGTTGGGCTGGCTGGAAGCTGGGGCAGCTGAGGGGTATTTGGCTCCTCGTGTGAGGGAAGGCCGGCTCTGCAGCCCTTTAAGAACAGAGGCACAGAGTGGGGAGAAGCAGAGACCCTCAGGGAGATATAGAAGGCAGGGTGAAGAAGCGGAGAGAGAACCTTGCCGTTCATCTCCCCGTCTTGCTTGCCTTTGGTTTCCCTTTTTGTCCCTCAGCTACGCTGGGAAATCCGAGTGGACGCTGAGGGGGATCCGGGAGCGTTGTTCGTGGGGGGAAGGAAAACCAAGGTGGAGGTGCCACAGCCTTGCCTGTAGCCTCCCAAAACGACCCAGGTCAAGAAGGGAATGTGTGTGGTGTCGAGGGAGGAGGGGGCCTGACTGTGAGGAAAGGGAACAGGGTTGCTGTCCTTCAGTCAAAGGTCACTGAGCTCTTGGAGTGGGGGCAACTGAGTGGAGAGAGAAGCAAAAAGGGAGTTAGGAGATCCTCACAGTTAAATTTTCCCTCTTTTCAGCTGTCTGGCAGGCCTGGGAACCTGCGCTGGGTCTCCTGGGCTGCTGTGAGGGCTGGCGCTTGCACAGCACCTCTGGGGAGGAGAAGATATCCCCTTTGTTTCTTGGGCTAAGAACCCAAGGTGTGGCTTACCCCAAGAGGGGGTGGGAGGGAGGGCACTTGGAGTGACGTCTTCCAAACACATTTTTACTGTTACTCCCAGGGAGAGGGCCTGGTTTTTCCCAAGGTTTTGAAGCTGTCCTCAGGAGAACTTCGAAGGCCAAAAAACCCAATGAGGGCATGCAAAAGAGAAAACTTGCCTCTCTTACCTTTTCCCAGCAGCTACAGTTCCTATCCCACTGGAAAACATGGTTGCTAATCTTCCACAGGGCCGGGCAGAGAGTGGAGATACTGTGTTCTGAGGCAGTCGCTCTGAAAACTGGTTCTTTCCTCTGAATCTGACTAAGGTTCCAAAAGCTAAAGTGGGGGAGGGAGCTGGTGACGAGGGGAAGACTGAGGTCAAAGGCTGATGACCAGCTTCCAGGGTTAAGCAAAGTGTAGAGCCCAGTGTTGTTTAATTAGTAGAGAAGTTTTAAAGTTCAGTCAGGTCGGGGGAAGGCAAGGCCCACCTCTCTTAGCCATATTCCCTCACTCTCTATCTTTATAGAAGAGGAAAAGGAGGACATGTTCTCAAAATCAAACTTGGTCAGAAAATGCCTGAGAACTTTGTCTTAAGGATTTTTTTTTTCTTGGTTAACCAAGCCAGGAGGTAGAAAATAGGTGAATATAACTAGCCAAGTTGAATGTCCAGAAATTTCTAGCTTTCTTGCTGCTCAGTGCAATATGCTCTTTCACAGCTTTCTTTCGGGAGAGAGAGTCCATAATATCTAGTCAGAGGGGAGAGTATTCCTAAACAAGTACTGCCTTCAGGCTTCTAAGGGCCAACGTGTCCACGACCCAGACAAGGACACACAAGGGAGAAATTGATCCACTGGGGAAGCAGGAAACAAAGTATGGGGTAGGTAAAAAACATACATGCTAATTCTGAAATATTTATTTTCATTTTTTTAAAGACTTTATTTATTTGACAGAGAGAGCACAAGCAGGGGGAGAGGCAGAGGGAGAGGGAGAAGCAGGCTCCCCGCTGAGCAGGGAGCCCGATGCGGGGCTCGATCCCAGGAACCTGAGGTCATGACCTGAGCTGAAGGCAGACACTTAACGACTGAGCCACCCAGGCGCCCCTGAAATATATTTTTTTAAGATTTTATTTATTTATTTGACAGAGAAAGAGGCAGTGAGAGAGGAACAGAAGCAGGGGGGGTGGGAGAGGGAGAACCAGGCTTCCTGCCAAGCAGGGAGCCCAATGCGGGGCTGGAACCCAGGACCCTGGGATCATAACCTGAGCCACAGGCAGACGCTTAACTGACTGAGCCACCCAGGCACCCCAAGACTTTATTTTTAAGTAATCTCAACATTCAACCCCAAACTCACAACCCTGAGATCAAGACTCACGGTCTACTGACTGAGCCAGCCAGGTTTACTTGAGATACTTCTTTAAAAGCAAAGAAACCAAATCCTGTCTCTTGGTGTATATTGTTATTTTTACTTCTAGTTATTGGGGAGATTAAATGACTTCAAACTAAAGGAGATAAAGGGTAGGTTTATTTATATTTTCCTCTTCCTAAATAGCCAAAGACAGTATCATAAGGATTGCTGCAACAGTATTCACAGGACAAGTATGCCTTCTTCTGTGTGACTGAAGATTCTTTGAAAGTGGTACACTCACAGGTATAATGCATATATTATATATATATATACATATATATAATTTTCTGTACTCTTTGGGAGTAAGTTGCAGATATAATATCCCTTTATCCCTAAATAGTGTGAAGTTCCTAAAAACAAGGACATGACTTTACATGTCCACGATACAGTGATCAAAGTAAGGAAAACCGACAACGATACAGGACTATATTCAAATCTAGAAACTGGGGGCGCCTGGGTGGCTCAGATGGTTAAGCGTCTGCCTTCAGCTCAGGTCATGATCTCAGGGTCCTGGGATCGAGCCCCGCATCGGGCTCTCTGCTTGGCAGGGAGCCTGCTTCTCCCTCTCCCTCTACTGTTCCCCCTGCTTGTTCTTGCTCTCTCTGTAAAATAAATAAAACCTTAAAAAAAAAAAAAATCTAGAAACTGTATTCTAAGTTTGCCAATTGTCCCACTAATGTTCTTTTTTTTTTTTTTAAAGATTTTATTTATTTATTTGAGAGCGAGAATGAGAGAGAGAGAGAGAGCATGAGAGGGGGAGGGTCAGAGGGAGAAGCAGACTCCCTGCCGAGCAGGGAGCCCGATGTGGGACTCGATCCTGGGACTCCAGGATCATGACCTGAGCCGAAGGCAGTCGCTTAACCAACTGAGCCACCCAGGCGCCCCCCACTAATGTTCTTTATAGCAGCGGTTCTCAAATTTTTTGCTCTCAGGATCCCTTTGTAATCTTGCTTAATAATATCTAAGTATTATTAAAAATGGTATATTAAAAGTTTGACTTCATGCATACATGAAGGAGTCCCGGGGACTTCCTGGGGCTCCTGGACCACACTTTGGGAAACATTGATTTAGTGCCCCCTCCTGCTTTTTTTTGTCCTTTTCTAGGATCACACATTGCATTTAATTGTCATGTCTCCCTCTCTCTCTCTCTTTTTGTTTACAGTCCAGAGGTCTTTTATATTTCCTACACCTATCATGCCATGAGTTCATAGGGAATGGGTTTCATCAGCGCAGGCTCCTTTCAGTTGGTTCTCACATGTGCTTCTTTGGATGAGGCAGGCTGGTGCTTCAGTTGAACCCAAGTATCTCTCTCTGGCTTCTTTTTCTGATGATTTTCCTTCACACGCCTTACGAAGCTATCTTGGCTCTTTAGAATGCTTAATATGCTCAACATGCACATTAATTCTCTTGACAAGAATCTTGCCCTTAACTTGTCTACAGTAATGCCAACAGCATCCTGGGTAACACTGTTGACTTTTCCAGTTTTGTCATGTTAATACTCATGGGGGCATTCCTTTTAGGACAGTGCCCATCTCCTTGATGTCTACAATATCATCTTTCTTGTGGATTTGTATGTATGTGGCCAAAGGAACAACCCCATGTTTCCTTAGGCCTACAGAACCTACAGCGGGTGACTCTCCTCTTTCCCTTTGCGTTGGTCCTTTTGGCAAATTACTGGAAGATGGTGGATCTAGCCGAAAGGGTGTCATGTCTCTAGTGTCTTCTGGTTTGAAAAAGTTGCTCTCTTTTGTCATCTTTTTATGAGTATAAGGCAGTTATTTTTTTTCCTTTTTTTTTTTTTCCAAGTAAGCTCCATGCCCAATACAGGGCTTGAACTCACGATCCTGAGATCAAGAGTCACATGCTCCATTGACTAAGCCAGCCAGCACCCCCAAGCCAGTTATTTTTGAAGAATGCCTCTCAATTTGAGTATGTCTAAGTCTTCCTCAGGATTAGATTCAAGTTATACTTCTTAGGGGGCAAGCATACTACAGAAGTAATATCGTGTCCTTTCCAGTGCATCATATCAGGAGACACATGATGTCAATTTGTTCCATTACTGGTGTGATGTTAATAACTTTGATAACTTGATTAAGATGGTGTCTGCCAAGTTTTTTTTTCTCTGCTGTAAAATGTGCAATTTTCTTTTTTATTAAATAAATATCTTGTGGGCAGATACCTTTAGAGTATGTAAATACATTGTTTTTCATCAAACTTTCACCTACTAATTTTTCCATCCCTCAGTGATTCCTTTGCAAGACTTTTTTTTTTTAAAGATTTTATTTATTTGACAGAGAGAGAGAAGAGCAGGGGGAGAGGGAGAAACAGGCCCTCCGCAGAGCAGAGAGCCTGATACGGGACTCGATCCCAGGACCCTGAGATCATGACCTGAGCCGAAGGCAGACGCTTAACCGACTGAGCCACCCAGGCATCCCTTTGCAAGACTTTTTTTTTTTTTTTTTTTAAAGATTTATTTATTTGAGAGAGCGAGAATGAGAGAGAGTACATGAGAGGGGGGAGGGTCAGAGGGAGAAGCAGGCTCCTCGCTGAGCAGGGAGCCCGATGCGGGACTCGATCCCGGGACTCCAGGATCATGACCTGAGCCGAAGGCAGTTGCTTAACCAACTGAGCCACCCAGGCGCCCTGCAAGACTTTTTAAGCGCTGTACTTTCCCAGTTATTTCTCAGCTGAGTCCTTAAAAAGGATTATCACTAAAAATTATTGGAATTAAAAGAGATTAACTAAGATAGCACACTCTCTTGCTGGGCTGTGAGGAAATAGGCCCTTTTACCCATTGTTAATGGGAGGGCAGAATGCTGTAACCGTTTGAAGGGAAATTTGACAATACCAAACATTGCAAATAAATTTAGCCTTTGAGCTGGAAATTCCGCTTCAAGAAATCTGTATGGGTGTCAATGAGATTACTAATTGTAACCTGATTTGTAGTAATAGCAAAAGATTGCAAACAATTTCCATCTATAAGGGATTAGTTAAATAAATCAAGGTACATTTCCACTGGAAGACTATGCCACTGTCAAAAAGAATGAGGATCATTTCTCTGAACTGATATGGAAAATCTCCAGGATAACTAAATAGGGAAAAAAGTAAGCTGCAGATCAGTGTTTAGTATGTTACCTTTTGTATCACAAAGTGGAGATGATAGGGGTGAGGAGTGGACAGACAAGAGAGGAAGCAAGACTTGTTAATATGTACCTTCTTATTTAGTGTTCTTTTTTTTTTTTTCTTTTTTAGAGAGAGAGCATACACATAAACAGGGGTGTGGGGAGGGGCACAGGGAGAGGGAGAGAGCGAATCTTAAGCAGGTTCCACACCCAGCACAGAGCCTACATGGGCCTCTATCTCACAACCTTGAGATCATGATCTGAGTGGAAATCAAGGGTCAGATGCTTAACTGACTGAGCTACCCAGGTGCCCCTAATGTTCTACTTTTTAACATGCCCAAGTATCACTTATTCAAACAGGTCTTGACTTTGTGAGCAATAAAGGTGTCAGTGTTGTATTCCACTAAGGCTTGGGGAGAGAGAAGTACCAGGGCATGATAAAGGTGGCACCAATGAGGATCTGAAGCAGGCTGAGCCCCTGGCTAGCAACGAAGGAGAAAGGGAGAGGGAGACAAGCCCAGTTCGGTGTCTGCAGGTGGAACAGAGATGTTTAGGCGTGCTCTGCCTGGCAAAATAATTTCTAATGGCTGTAGAATATTTCATGGTCTACAATTTAACCATTACTTTACATTAGCTTAGGTCAAATTGTTTACATCTTTGAATACGATCACTATAATAGGTGCCACTTTAGAACACTTCCTATATGTTAGGATCTATGCTAAGGGCTTCACAGGCATTAGCTTATGTAATTCTTCTGTCAGCTCTACAGGTTAGATATTCTTATGCCCAGTTTACAGATGAGAAAACTGCTATTCACAAGTTAGGAATGTGCCCCAAATTACAAAGCTAGCAAAGCTGAGATTCAGACCCTTTGTGCCTGTCTCACAGGTTTTGTGCTACTATAAGATAGCTATGAAGAAAATGTTCTCCCCAAGTTAAAATTCCGTGTCCAGTTGTTTTTCTTGCTTTTCTATGTCATCACCTGGTGGTTCTCCTCTGAATATACTCTATCAAGTTTGTCCACGATTCCCTCCAAATCCAGGGCCCCGGGGCCCAGAAATGAACCCAAGGACTGCCACCTTTTTTGGTTACACATATTTTATTAGAAAGCATTCGTCTCTGATGCACACTCCAAATGAGATTTTCAGTTGGTTTTTGGGATTCTTTAATACCAGCCTAGTCTCTGGGTCTCATACACCCCCCCTTGCCTTTGCACTGTCTAGCTTTTCATGATCCCAAATCCCTTTCCTCTTAGTTCATCTCAGACTGGTTTGATGAGGAAAGGGAAAAGGAGCTTATATGCTGGGCAAGCTAAGCTGGGTCTCCCCTCCCACCTCCAACCCACTCATCCACAATATTCTATAGTGTTTTAACAATGGTCTGTATTTAAATATATAAAAGTATATTTAAATTGAATTTTCCATGGTAATGTCTGACCATTTCTGGAACTGGGGGGAGACTATTTTTCTCTGAGTGGAAACAAGGTTGGAAGGAAACAGGGGTCCTCTGTGCTCTGCTGTTAGGGGTAGGTTTGGGGGGCCACAGAGAGGAAAGAATATAGCATTCAGTCACCTCTTTTTTTTAAATTATTTATTGGTTTAAAATTTGAGAGAGAGAGAGCATGTGTACGCAAATTGGGGGGGGGTGGAGGGAGAGGGAGAGAAGCAGACGCCCCGCAGGGTGTGGAGTCTGATGCGGGGCTCGATCCCAGGAACTCGAGATCAAGAGCTGAGCTGAAATCAAGTCAGATGCTTAACCCAACTGAGCCACCCAGGCGCCCCACCCTCTCTTTTAAAAAATATTTCCTTCAAGTTGAGTAATAAAGTTAAAAAATTCCTCTTTCCCTACTCGGCCTCTAGTCTCAGTAGCAGCTCCTGAGCAGGTAATTCAGCTGATCCTTACTCTTCATTCCATCATGTCCTGGCCTGTTCCATTCTTTTCTTTGGCACCAAGAAGAAGACCTTGGCGGAGTACAAACAGTAGAGCTGAGCTCCTGCTGCTGGTTACTGAGTAACTCAAAGCTTAACTCTTCATGGAAATTTGGCAAAATATCTGGCACAAAAACCAGAGCCATCTCCAGCTCTCCTGGGTTTCTAGTTTACTAGGTAGTTATGCTATTTTAATTGAGGTGAAATAAAGTTTATCAAAATAATCCTGCATTATTACTTGGCAGCTTTTAGGTAAGATTCTCAAAGCATCTCACTGGAATTTGTTCAAATTCTCACACAGGTTAGAAAGTCCAGCTTTAGTTTCAGGGACACCAAATCAAAGCCACAAATATTTATTGAACATGCCCAGTGCACATGGCTTTCCATGTACCAGGTACTCAATAAATATTTGTGTTTGAAGAAACCCAGGTTTGGAGTAGTTTTGCCGACTTATTAACAGAAAAATACTTTAAATTCCTCCTGAATGGAAAGTTGAGATTATTAAAAATGCTTACTTGTGCAGAGGGACTGACACCTTGTATGAACAGAAGTACTGGGCGAGGGTATTCTCGGGAGGTTGAGCAGGAGAACGTTGCATGGAGTCCAAGCTTGCTGTCCTACTTTAGTCCAGGAAGTTGTAGGTGGTTAAAGAGACATCGAGAAGGGGAGAAGACAGAGAGCAGAGGCAGAGGCACGGGGGGAGAGTTATCTGGAGAAAGAGGGGATGGCTTGGACAAACCCAGAAGCAACAGGAAACTAGTGAAGCCAAGGCGGAGGGTGTGTGTTTGGTGAATATGGGTCAACCACGTGACTGGTGTCTCTCACCCACCGCCCTGAGGGAGGGCTGCTTTAGCAAATCTGTCCAAATCCATTTGAGGGGGGAGGTGGAAAGGAGGATCTAGGAATGAATGTGGCCTGGTAGCTTTTATCCCCTCAGGACACAGGGTTGGTTTCGGGCCCTTTCCAGATGGCCAGTGCTGAAAACCAACAGACGCTGCTTGGGAATAGGTTGTTCCAACTTTGAACAGAAACGAGCTTCAGGTATCACATTTTGTTCGCTTACCGAAGGTCAGCTAAGCAGGGAATGGTGCTGAAGGCAAAACCCTCAAGCTGCTCAGTGAGAGAAATGGGCCGGCCCACTCTGCAGAGGCAGCCTGGGTCTTGCCCAAGGTCCAGGATTCCTAGGTCGGGTCAGTTTCCCTAGCTTGTCAGGATAACAAAAGGCCCAATCAGTTAGATGAGAAGGACAGGCTTAGGGACTGAGGAAAATCAGAGGGCCCCGTAGTTTTTAGATCGTAATAGCCTGAACTTTTTAGACTTGAGGAAGATGATAAGCTGAGGTGACTGTAGGTTTTCCTTGAAACTGAGTATTTTCAAAAGAGCTTCGATATTGCAAAGGTCATTTTTTCCCTTTAACCTGATGATTTAGTAATAGACCGACTGCTTGGTGAAGGGGACCATGGGAAGCAGCTGACTTTGGTGGCACCTGTTTGGGTGGTTAGTAATGCCAATCATGCTTGTACCATCTGTTGTCAAGTTGTGGCCCCGTTACACACGGTCTTGGACATTCTTCCCTCCTCTTCACTCCCACTCTTCCGCTGGCCAGCCCTCATTATTGCTTGGACGTCTATTGCAACAGATTCATAACTGGGTTTTCCGCCTCAGACCCTATTCCACTTCAAGTTACGATAATCACATCTCACTCTGGCTTAAAATCTTTACTGATTTTAACTGCTAAAAGATAAAAGTCGAACGACTCAGACCTGTACACAAAGCTTTCCAAGGCCTGGCCTCCAAACTTTTCTAGCTGTCCTCAACTCCTTGAAGTTCATTACAAAGCGACATTCTTTCATGATTGTGTATGCGCTCCCAGGCTTGGAGTGTCTACTCTCCACCTTGATCATCTTATAAACCCTTTCATACCTTTATGAATCAACTCTTCAGAAGTAAAAACCTCCCTGAATCACCTTGCTTCGCCAGCTCTATGCATTTTCCTTGAAGTAGTCTCCAGGTAATGCTGCGTCTTGCATCTCATTCAATTCACAAAAGTCTGATGATGGCAGAAACTGGATCTTTCTGCTTCTCCAATTGCTTTACTACTCACAAGGGTGGCCTTCGGCCAAACAGGACGGGCATCAGCTGGGAGCATGTTAGATAATCCCAGCGCCCCCCCACCCCAGGCCTGCTGCAACAGTAAACGCACTTTAACAAGAGCACCAGGTGAGCACCAGAAGCTCTCCAGTAAATGTGAATAGAGAGGCACCAATCAGATCCCTTCACTGCCAGCTTGCAACCTTCCCTTGTATTCCCTTTACTTCCAGAATAAAATCCAAATCCTTTAGCATCACCTGCAGGCCTCTGTGATCCAGCTCTGCCTCATCTCTTGCCACAGTCTCATTCCCTCTACTCTTGCCTCAACCGCTGTTTCTGTAACACAGATTCTTCTTTCCCAAGAATCATATTCCATAGAAACATATTCTATTTTCTCTAACAGTCTCGTCTCCAACGTTACCTGCCATCCTGTCCATTCTTCAAGTGCCACCTTCGCTGCAACTTCCTCGGGAAAGCCATTGCTGCTCAGCCAAGCAAGGTGTAGTCTTCTTTGTGTACATTCTCACGGCTCCTGGCCGTTCTCTTTTGAAGACAATTGTGGCTGCATAATTTTTTGGTAATTCTATTGTGTTTTGTTGATGATTGTTACCTATTTTTTTAACTTTTTTTTTTAAGATTTTGAGAGAGACAGAGAGAGCGAGACAGCACGAGTGGGGTGGGAGAGGGAGAAGCAGGCTCCCTACAGGGAGCCCGATGAGGGGCTCGATCCCAGGACCCCACGACCACGACCTGAGCCGAGGGCAGACACCCAACTGACTGAGCCACCCAGGTGCCCGTTACCTATTTTAAAACTGTATTCATGTCAATTTCCCTAACTGGAGCCTAAGCTCCTTGAAGATAAAGACTGTATTCTCTTTATCTTCTACAGTGTGGTACATATGATTAAGGACTCAATAATCCAGTAAATACCAAAGTGGGTGTTCAGTGAGTAGTTGAAAGCTCACTTTTGATTTGCAAGGTGTCCCAAATAAGGGTGGCAACCATTAACTAAACAGGCCACCAATGTTGGAAAGTGGAGGGGATTTATTAGTTGATCATTGCAGATTAGCTGGTTACTGGGAATGAAATGCTAATATACACAAAAAACAAACTCACATTAATCTATGTGAGTCTGAGTGTAAAGGTCAGAAACTACCCTACTGCTTGTGAGCAGGGTAGGCCTAGGATGGTGGTAAAGATGGCACGCTGGTTTTGGAATCCTCACTCTAGACTAACATTCAAGGGTGGTTGCAGTAGTTACCATCCTTCAGACCCTCTGACCTTTTTTTACTCTGGTTCCTTCCCTTGAGGTCAGGTAAGGATACCAAACAAAGACACCTAATTGCTAATTGTTGGTAGGAGGTAAAATAACCTTCACTGTTTATGTGCATTACTTTTCTGTAAAAATAAAGGAAATGCTAGCCATTGTCAGCTCTATGTCTCTTAAAAATATAGACATTTACTTATGTAAACATGTTGCTATTATTACATTGAACAGAAAGGTCATTCCTTGGTCTTACCTAGTACCCAATTTCCCTAATTATTTCAAAAATGTCTTTGCACATTTGATTCATTGGAATCAGGATCCAAATAAACTCCACATGTTACATTTGTTTTTTTCTAACTTTCTTCTGAATCTAGAGCAGTGCCTTCCTCTCCCCTTTTTTCTTCTTCATGCCATTGAACTGCTGACTAAGGCATATTTTATACCAGTCTCTAAGAGAAAATCAACCTACACTTATTCTCTAACTACAAGGAATGACTAATGGGTGGAGATTTCAGGACAATTAGAAGTCAGTAAGAATGGAAAGACAAAAATATCTGCATCAGGAAGATACCCACAGGTGGTCCATGTTGCTTAAACATAAAGAAGGTCCTGATTTTTTTTTTTTTTTAAGATTTTATTTATTTATTTGAGAGAGAGAGAATGAGAGACAGAGAGCAGGAGAGGGAGGAGGGTCAGAGGGAGGAGAAGCAGACTCCCCGCCGAGCAGGGAGCCCGATGCGGGACTTGATCCCGGGACTCCAGGATCATGACCTGAGCCGAAGGCAGTCGCTTAACCATCTGAGCCACCCAGGCGCCCAAGAAGGTCCTGATTTAAGAGAAGTCATAAGAATCAGAACTCTGGATGTCTGCCATGGAGTTTCACTGAACAGACCCTAGGATCTCAGAACCACTACCTTTACTGTGCAAGGTAGAACTTGCTGTAGAACATATGAAGGAATTTGGACTGTAGTGTATTTAAGGTTGGAGTAATTCCTATGATATCTCTACAAAATTGGCTACTTCAAGCATGTGTTTACTTGTGCATAAGTATCTAATTCTCTATTTTTCACATAAAAAAAGGAAAGGTGTAATAATCCCAAGGTTAGAGTAAAATGGCACAGACTCATTTATAGAAAAAGACTACACGTTTCTCCTCATTAATTTATCATTTAATATAAATGCTGACAGAAAGCAGATAAAGACCAGATATTTACAAACCGAAAGGTGAATCACCTCCTTCTACTTGTTAAAATAACCCTTTTATCTGCAACTCTTGGGAGCTTTAAACACTAGTTAGGAGCAACATGAGGCTGAGTCAGTTTCCAAGGTAATAAAGAAAGGAAATAGGATTTTAACAAAATGTGGAATCTTTGATATAAACAACATGCACACAAATAATACAAAATTGAAAAGGATGGGGTTAATCCTTTTAAAAACCTGACAAGTATAACATGTACTTATTCAGACCCAGAATTCTGCTGCCCTAAACATCTTCCTATTACTCTTTATTTCCACCTCGCTTGTTTTGAAGGCTGTTTAAAAATTGGATATATAAACACATTAAAAAGAGAAGAAAATGGTCCATTTCAAACAGGGTTCTTTTTCCTATTCCAAAAGAACTTTCAAGAGATAAAGTCTTCAAATAAGATTTCACAGTTGGCCAGAATCTAAAGAATTATTCACAGCTTGTGAAATTTCAACCATTTGTCTTCATTTAAAAAAAAAAAGTTGAAAACACTTGGAAAAAGTATAATTTCACAAACTTTAGCAATTTAAAAATCAGCTGTCACTTTAAGACTCAATATTTTTATTTCTGAACAGGTGGGTGGAGACAGGCTTAAGAAAAAACAGGGAGCTGAGGCAAGGAAAAAAATAGGAATGCAAGAGAACTTCTTAAAAATGGTATTTTGCCTAGCACTGATTTATAAGAATAGGAGATATAAATTCTCACTATCCAAAACTAAGTGATTTCATGAATTTATAACCTGACTCAAATCTCATAGGCTCCTTTATTAACCTAAATTATTTTTGTCTTGTTAAATATACCTCTGCAGGGCACAATCACATACAATCAATACGATTGGTAAATTACACAAGCTCTATCCCAAGCAAATATGCATCAATGTTAAAAAGTTTTTTTTTTTAAAAAAAACAAAAAACAAAAAAACCCAAAATAAAACAAAATAAAATCCACCCAAAAAGGTGATAATGACTGCAGAATGTCTCGGGGAGACTGGTATGAGCCTAAAGACCAAATTGACCAAGGTCAGGGGAAAAGGGTAGCAGGGGTAATAAGGGAAGAGACCACACACAAAGAGGAATCTCACAACTGGAAAATGCTTCAGTGGGTAAAAGATTTTGTTCATCATCTTAATTCACTTTTTCCATTGCTCTTGTTCCAAAAAGTTGTAGTATCATCATAAAGTAAGACAACAAGGCCTCTGGATCAGTGAATAAAATGGAAAAAAAAAAATTCCCCCCAAGTTCCTTTCATTTCCAGAAGGTGAGAAGAGAAAGGATGAAGGGGGTTGGAATGTGGGGTGTGGTTAATGAAAATGTGGGCAACAATACACCTGGAAAAAGTAGCTCTCAGGACAGTGCCTTCGTTGAACAGAGGATGTAAAAATGATAAACAAAAGCTTAAAATACCTTTAAATCAGAGGAATATTTTACAGGGTTGTTTAGATATTATTTTAAGAATGGCAGCCAATCAATGATTACACTATAAATGGTGATTTAAAAAAAAACAACCAGGCAACCCCCCCCCCACACACACACCCCCAAACCAAAACCCAACAACAACCAGGCAACCAATTATCCAGTAGTTTCTTTCCATCCTTTTCTTGACCCTTTTAAAGCACTGGCTGGGGTGGGGGGTAAGGGCTGTCTGACAGTTTCCAGTTATAAGATGACTCTGAGTGTACAACCTAAAATGGATGCCAAAGACTTGTGAGCTCTGTCTACTCAAGAGTTAAAAACAACAAAACAAAACAAAACAAAACAAAAACAACCAGAAACAGAGAGACCTCAGTACAAGAAAATAAGTCACCTTATCTAGTATATAATATACTAATTCCACAGGATTTAACTTTCCTAAATACACACTTTTGGACACAATATTATCTTGAGGTTTAACTTCTCTCTCTTGGGTTATTGTGCCTTATTTTCTTGTGAAAATAAAGGTTATTACTCTAGGGATGTTTTGTTCAGGAATAAAATTTAAAGTAAATTCAGTGTTTGGCTGAAAATTCAGAGGCTCTGAAAACAAGGATTCCAGTGGTGAGGTTAAGTCCCTTTATCACAATAGGATTTCAAAGGACTCTTCCCACTTTGTTCAGTGCAGTATTGAAAACCCACCTATTGGGAACACATTTACTATTAAAAGGTGTTACTTTTTCCTGGTGGTGGCAGTGTCCTATTATTTATTAACATCATAGCTAGTATTACTTTTCAATTAGAATCTGTTATATATGAAAACATCTTTAGCAGTCAAAGCAATCAAACCTTAAAAACCTAATCTTAAGTTGGTATTTACTGTAATTAACAGTACCTTTTGACAAAAACAGCTTTCTTTTTCAAATGGCTCAGAAAAGTTAAATTAAGAATTTAATAAAATATTAACTGCAATCCACCTACAACTCCCAATAAGTCCTTTCAGCAGGAAAATTTCATAAAGCTGAGCTGAAGCAACAAATAAATACAAAAGTCATAGCTGTCCAAGGTAGAAAGGTATGAATGAGGACCAGCAAAATGAGTAAAATGATGACAGCAGTAAACTGTTTGCTTGTTCAGTCCCTAATGTTGAAAGTGAAATCTGCTTTAGTTTAGTTGCTCTATTTTTTTTCTAAAAGGACAGGCTGATTTTTCAGGGAAGAGATCATCTTGCAACACTATCACCAGGTATCACCAACTAAAAAATAAATACAATCAGGCTCCTATAGGGGACAAATCTAAGTAAATGCTGCAGTTAATTTCCAGGCAGGTTATTAATTTTTCCTAAAAAGTAACTGGGTCTTTCCTTTTAATAAAATAACTATCATTACAGGTGCTTTTTACAGGTAGATTTTATATTACGAAACCTTTACTCAGTTCTTTAAAATGAGCAAAAACGAAGTGGAAAAAAGATGGTAAGACCTCCACCCATCACCATGTGTATTTAAAAGCAATCAAATACTTTTTAGTGAAAAGAATCTGTTTTTCTCCAAATCTGAATATAATCTTACATGCAGTGACTATAGTTTATTTCTCACCAGTCACATGGTAATGAATTCTTTTACCCGGTCTCATAGCTTGACCATAGTGATATAGATTGTCCTTCAGCACAAGTTAAAAACCAAAACACACAAGATGCTATCATTGACAAGATAATCTCAAAAAACGGGGGTACTGCTTACACACAATATTGTAAAAGATGACATTCACTGGTTTAGAGAAACTGGTGAATTTTCATTACTTTTACATTTTATAAGGCCAGCTACTGTTAACAGTTAACTTCAGATAAATCTACTTACACAATACAATCAACTCACAAATACTAAAAGGTTTCACAATCAAAATGGCTATTTCCCCCAAAACCAAAACAGAGTAAAGCACAAGTCTTTGGCTCTCCTTTAAAGAAAACAGCAGGTTACCATTCTTAACCAGACCTTTGTTTGCCTACCAGTAGGGCAAATACCACATTTGTGCATCACTGAGTAATAACACCATTAGAAAAGGCAACTTCACAGAAGTTATTGGCTAAGCGAATTCATTTGAATGCTCTGTTTTGAGGCAGCAAACTGTCACTGTTGCAGATTGGGGAGGGCAGTGGGTAAGTCAAGGGGAATTTGCAAGATAGAAAAGGGCCAGGAAAAAAAACTTTGAGTTCTAACCCTGAAGACCTATGGAAAGTATGATGGAGTTACATATTCATGGTAGCAAATAAGAATCATACCAACTTTATGTCTTTTAGGCAAAAGAATACACGGGAAAGTCTAGGAGAAGGGAAGGGAAATAAGCTGAGAGAAGGGAATCAGCCACATTAATGCCAAATAATTTTTTATGCATTCTGAGTATTTGGGTATCTGTAGCTGGCATTAGAAATAAGTGTCTTATCATGTGAATACTATTACTAGAAACCTATGTTATAACTAACTGTTCTTTTGATTACAAAAGTAAAAAGGAATGGATCTTTGGTCACTTTAGCTTCTGTAAATCACCCAAGACAGGACAGCTATTGGACTTATCTTGTGACAGTATCTATAAGGCAAAAGAACTATGTATGTTAGGAAACTGCGTGTAGATATCTTATTTTCAGTTCTTCTACTCTTTTCCAGAGATACCTTGGAAAAAAATAAGTCAAAGTACTTTTATATTCCTAACTATAATAAGATTCTGGTTTTGTTATCTAAACAAGAGTGAACACAATGCTTATTATACTCCTACCTTAACCCTCTCAGAATTGCTCATGTTCATCTGTGATGTCAGTCTTGCTTCTGAATTCAGTGAAAAGCAAATAAAGTCATCTCCAGAAGAAATTAATATTTTACTTACTAAGTAGAAAGCATAAAAACTGTATTTCCTATCTGAATGATTTAATCTCTTAACTGTCTCTAAAGGCATACATTTTAAAAGCCAAAAAAAAAAATCAATGCCTTTCACAGGTTTTGACAAAAAAAAAAAGCAGCTGAATAGTCAAGCAGTTAAAAAAAAAAGGAGTCAAGCAGTTTTGCCCAAAAAGGCCACTTACCCTTATAGGTTCATCATTTCACAAAGTGTATCAGAGAAAAGGGGGGAAAAAAAATCCAAACTTTGGAGTTTTTATTTAATTCCTAAAACTGCTTCTGACTACTAGGAAAGTTGTAAGAATTTCCATGAGATAAGGCAGAATGACTAATTTAAAATAGGTAAGTTATAGGCACAATGGGATAGGATATCATTCTTCTGCCTTTCTACCCAACCAGATTTCCTTTAGAGTATGTGGGGCCTCACTGAAGTACAGCTAGAATTAAGGCTACAATTTAAGAGATCTGTCCCTACCCCCACCCCCAATGAAATTAACTTAAAAAGTGAAAAGGATTATTTTAAGTCAATTCAAAACAGTGGCTTTTCTGGTTTTATTCAGAATAGGAATACTATATAAGTTAACATCTATTCCTGCCTAGCTTACAAAATCAAAATGGTGAAAGCAAGGAGTGTATTTGGAGGATATATAAACAAGAATAACAGAAGTTGACTTATTAGATGTTTCAATGGATATCCAAAATAGAATTTTACTTTTATTCTGAACTTCAACAAAATTAATACCCATAAATTCCCTTCTAATACCAGAATCATTCTGAGTTCCAAATTGAACCAACTGCTTCTAAAATTTAGGAGTTATCTAGTATGTCCAAAGGAGAAATAAGATCTGCCCAAATCTGCCTACAGAAAGTTGGAGGCCAAGAATGTTGCCTTTTATAGTTATACAAAAAAATAAAAAATCTTGGGACTCTGTCAGACATACAAAGTTTCTCTCCTTCTCCCAAAAAACAATAAGCACTTACATATAAGAGGGTTTTAAGCAAAAAAGAAAACAAACAAAAAAGCAAAAAAAGCAAGTGTGTATTTTTAGGAAAGGAAAATATGGTATCAACTGAAAAAATGCCTCATCTTCCATTCAGTGCTTCTACCTCCCAATCAGTCATTTTATCGCAACAGCTGCGCTCATGCGAAAAAATCCTTAAAACATACCCAATATATATACAGATATAGCTATGTATATATGTATATATATATAATATATATAAATTTTTATTTAAATAAAAAAGAAAGCTCGAATCCCAAGCCAATATGTGTATATCAAATCCTTGACCAGCCAGGTCTGTAGGGCATAATCAAATTCAATGTGAAATAGTATATAAACACGGTGCCTTGACTGGGCAAATTAAATAATCGCTACTCAAAAGAGTGTTCTGTTTGGACTCTCCTACTGGTAGGCAATGGCAGGACTGTATTTCCCTCCCCCCTCCCCCCATTTGTTTCAGTTAACAGTATGATGGACACAGAGCTTACACTGAGGTTGTTATGACCTCAGCAGGAGTTAAGGGTTAAGAAAATAAGAAACAAGAAAAATACAAACTCTTGCTTTTACCCAACCAAAGCAATGCAGTAACTTATTACATAACCAGTGCTTTCTGTTTTAGTAGTATAATCCAGAAAGGGAAATTTCTTAAAAATCAGGCAAACAGAGGGATGGGAAGGTGACTATATCAAATAATCCCCACTAAAAACGTTTTATAAGGTCTTAGTTCAGTATAGACACATGGCATCAGAATATGTGCAGCAGAACTAAATTAAAAAAAATTCTTCCTTATTCTTTTCAACATTTTCATGAAGAATCTCTTCACTATTGTAAAGTCAAGTCTATGAAAACTGACTTTTAGGTACTTACTACCTACTGGTGCCAATGATTCTGAACAACTAGTCAATTCATAAACTACAATTCATAAACTATCCTTAAGATCTGGGCAGTCTGTATTTGCCAAATCTATTTGAAAGCCAGGGGCTTTCATTTTATTTTATACTTTTGGGTTTTGACAGTAAAACAAAACAAAACATCCACTGAAATAATATGACTGTTCATTTTCACTTCAAGTCAAGTGTTGCAGTTTTAAAACATGGTTGATTTTCCTGGGTTTTTTTTAATACATTTTATGATTTTAGCCAAAGTTTAATTTGAAAAAGCACAGCTCCAAATTTCCAACCATCAGCTCAGTACAGGTAATATACCAACCATGTATTTTCAGTACTAATAAATCACAGTTCATTCTTAAAATAATCGCCATTAAATCTAATCAAACAGCCTACAGTATTGGTCTGGCTTTCTGATTACATTAAGAGAATGAAATAGATCCGTAATACGGAAATGAGGACTTCAAAAAATTAACTGGTAATTATCTCTCTGAAATAGCTGAAATAAAAACAAAAACAAGAAACAAATCCCTCCTGAACAATAAGAAGTTTTAGTGCCATATGAAAAACATACACATGAAGCCAGTTACCAGAAAGGGAAAGAAAATTATGACTTTTAAGTAATAGCTCTTAGAAAAGTTGGTGTGCTGCACATTTTCTAATAACTAGTCTAGTACTGTCTTTGTTTCTCAAGCACCACAGAATTCTCAAGACAGTCCGGTGCTTTCTGTCTGTTTTAATTTATGGGGTTTGCGAAAGTTGGCAAGGATTGGGGGAAAGGAATTATACACTGGGTATGTAATAATACCAAAATACAAGAAAAACCTACTTCATTAAGATCATACAATTAATCAAACAGAGTGTATATATAATATCTTCTTTTTTTTTTAAAGCCCTGGATCCAAGGCGTCCAAAGTTATTAAAATAAAGTTCATTCACAGAACAAAAACAAATTTAATCTGAATTGCTTGCAGATACTGCTAATTTTCTTTTTCTTTTTCCTTTTTTTTAAATTAAAAAATGCATTAATGTGAACTATGTGCAGGGTTTGTTTTTAGTAGTGGTGTTTGTGCACATTGCCTCCGGTACTTTTCCTGGATTTCTCTGACCACTCTCAGAGAAAAAGTTTAGAAGTTATCTGTTCTCCTACCCCTATGCCCCACAAATTGATCAGGAGCAAAAGATAAAAGTTGGACTCTTCATAATTTAGGGAGCAGAAGTGGGTGTGACTCCCGCTCTCTGGGAGTCATTGTTGTCACCTCCTCCCTCGGGGTCCTCTGACAGGTTCAGAGAGCTGGTCTTGTTTGACAGGAGGCTGATATTCTCTTGTGTCAACGCTGAGCCATTTGGTACATCACTGTTAACATTTAAAAAAAAGTTGGAATTTTAAATAAGGAGAGAGAGAAAAATGATTAGTAGAATAAAATCAATAGGGCTTCTTTTACGAGTATGGAAAAATATGCAAGTAGCTTTTACAGTTTAGTTTACAGCTCGATGTCCATGCTTTAAGCACAGGGGTCGGCAAACTAAGGCTAAGCAGTGCCTGTTTTTATTAGTTTTACCGAAACACAGCTTGCCCATTTGTTTATGTATTATCTATGGCTACTTTCACACTACAAGGGCAGAACTGAGAGTTTCCACAGAGACTATAAGACCCATAATTTTAAATACTTACTATCTGGACTTTAAGAAGTTCTGACCCCTGCTTTAGCAGGCTTACTAGTACAAGAAATTATTTTGAACCCACGACAGTGTATGGATTTAAATAGCTAAAACCTAAGTCTGAAAGCAACAGGGCATTAGAAATTATTGTTATACAATCATCAGGAAGGTAACTCAGGACTTTGCAGCAAATGACTTCAAAATACCATAAGCAAATAATTACAGCTGTGCAAATAAAGAATTATTACAAATCTGTTTATTGCATGGTTGTTCAATGATAGCTGACATGTATCCTTCCACCTCTAGATGATACGGGATAGACCAAATTAAAAACCAAGGGGATGGGGTGGAAGGTGGATTTGAAAGAGGCTAAATATCCACACACTTTAAAGGACTGGAAAGGTCTACACCAAAATGTTAACACTGGTTTAAATAAACTAAAAAACGGGAAAGAAGAAATGGAGCCAGAAAAATTCATTTGTTAGGTATTAACAGATAATTCATTCTTGAATCTGTTCTAAAATTAAGTTTTATTAACTAAATTTATGTGAAAATATTCTTTTCTCAATGTATACAGAATGATATTTTTAAAAGCAAATCATATTTATGAGGGCACTTCTGTCAGGACTGGATAATATAAGACTATGACAACGTCCCTTCCTTTACCTAAATGTCAATGTAAGGTCCTCAGCTGGAACCTTATTTTGTGGTTCTGGTTGTCCGTTTTCGGCTTGCTTGCTTGTATTCAATTTGCTTTTCATGTCCAGAGAACACTGGTTCTCCTTTGAAAGAGAAGGAAGTAAATTCAATTGTCTTCTATTTAATGGTGCTAATGAAAGAGAGACCAAATACAGATAATACAAATCGATAATTCATATATCATATATAGTTTTATAAAATGACCAAAGAAATGGCCAGCCTAAAAGAGAGGCATACACGATGATAACAACAGAGTACACTTGCTCACTATCCAAGCTAGAAAACAAGGGGGAGAATGCCCCAAGTTAGAAAAACTGATGACTTAGAAAAGGTAAGCCAAAATATAATAACTACCTATAATACACTTATTGAAAGCAGAAAAATGAAATACCCCATTTATTTGCTTAGAAAGAACGTGAAAACTATTCAACAAAAGAGTCAATTACCATGCAACCTGGGGGAATGGTTCAATCCCCCAAAATCCACAATTTACTAAAACCAGTATTCATGTACTATGAAGCAAACCCTAAGCATACCCATGGATACAATTCCTCAAGAAGGAATGTGTAGATTGCATTTCACTCATAACAAAAAACAGGTCTTCAATAACTAAAGGGCTATAAAAACTAGAATGCTATTTGTGAACACATTTGCAAAATCATAAACACCATCCCCTCAGCTTCCCTAATCAGTATATTAAACAGTAATTTAATAATGTCCAATTAACTGCCTTGTTTTCCCTGAAGTTTTTCATAATGCAGAATCCTAAGACAGAGAACACACTCAAACCAAAAAGGAATGAGAGGAGGCATGAATAAAATAGGGAGATGGCCCATTTTCATGAGACTTATTCTAAGTACTAACCACTCACTGGAGTGCCTTGGGGTGAAGATTGTAGAGCTCTAAAACCATGAGTTCTGGGACATCACTGCACAGCTTTCCTTTCACCTCTCCCAGCTCCCACCCTTTCCCACCAGAACACTCACCATACTCAGTTCCCGGGTTCTCTTCCCGATTTCCCTTTCCACCTGGTGCAGTTCCAAGCTCAACTGCTCACTTGAAATCATTCCAGGCCATTTTGGAGGTGGTGGTGGGGGCTGTGACTGGCCTGCCAGGGTGTTCACCTCCCTCTGCAACACCAGCCTGTTACTAACAGCCTAGTGCATAAAGCCAAGCACATATACAACTCAACACATTTCACACCATGCACAGAATGACCAGGCCCAATTTCAGACCACCGCCTCAAGTAGTTTATCATGAAGATATTTGCAATAAAAATGACACTATTAGGCACTGTCTCTTTGAATGTCATTTGAATTAAAAAAGAAAAACTAGGGGATTTAAACTTAGTAAACAGTAATTTAATCTTACGGATAAATTGCTCTTACTTTATTTGAAAGAGAAGTATAAATGCACATCTTTTCCCCTCTTTTTTAAATTGAATTTTCTGAAGTAAATCCTCCAATTTATTTCAATGAAACCTCAGTAATGGCAAGAACTTTTAACCATACTGAGTTAAATATGTGGCAAACTTCCAAATGATGCTGATTATTCTTTTGGAACAGAAAATGGGTCTACAAATTTCAACTAAGATAAAAAGCCATGAATTAGTAGGTTAAGGAATAATACTTGGAATTAATGGTCTGAATCCTGAAAAAGTTAATCAACTAAAGAAGGACATAATCAGACACAGCATTTTTTTTTTTTACAATAGGAATCAGCAAGAAGTTCTAGACCAATGTAAATAAAATAATGGCACAAGAAGACAAAATATGAATATTACATAGTTAAAAAAAATTCTAAGCCTTATTGCTTACATAAGAGCATAAGTCAGACATGTGTTCCAAAAAAACAATCTCCTATTGGCCTTTGTAATACGGGAATGTAAGATAGAATTAGTTAAAAATTTATTTCCAAAGGGAAGCCTTCCTTATCAAAGATCTTGGTAGAAAGATAATGACTAATGTTCTGACAGTTATCTTTTTCTCCAGGAGGGAGCCATGTATTAATCAGTAGAATGTCTTCAGATTTCTAAATTCAAAGAATATGCTCCCATGTAAAGGGTAATGTAAACAAAACCTAGTCTTCTTTATATGGCACTTCGAAGGTTTTTAAAAATTCTTTGTTTTCAGGGGCACCTGGGTGACTCGGTTGGGTGTCTGCCTTCAACAGGGTTCCTGGATCAAGCCCTGCACTGGGCTCCCTGCTCAGCAGGGAGTCTGCTTCTCCCTCTGCCCCTTCCCCCACTTGTGCGTGCTCTCTCTCTCTCTCAAATAAATAAATAAAATCTTTTAAAAAAAATTCTTTGATTTTAGATATTTTTTCTCTTTAAGTGTCAGGCAGCATGGTGGAAAGAACACTGAATTTGGAGTAGGAAGACTTGGATTTGTATTTCAACTTCTGTGAAACAGAGGGACTATACCACTTGTCTAACCTACCTGATAGGGTCATTGTAAGGGTCAATCAGGACCTGTGATGGTCACTTATAAACAGAAAGAACTATATTAACGAAAGGTACAACTGCTATACAGAGGCTATTCTCTTTGGAAGTCTATTCTTTTTTGAAGTCTAGAGTTAGTTGATTAACTTTTTAAAGATTCAGACCATTAACTCCAAGTATTATTCCTTATCCTACTCTTTTTTAAGTTCTATCTTTTAAAGATATATAAATAAATGCTAAGAATTAAAGGAAATAGAATTTTTTTTTAAATTAAGAAAGGCAGTATGAAAAATGAAAAACAAATGTTAAGCTAAAAGCATTTGTTAATAAAAACTGTATACCTTAAATGTGCCATCAGGGAAAATTTTAGATAGTCTGTTTTCCATAGAATAGAAATTCTGAATTTCCTATTGTCCCACACTGAACTTTTAAGTACTTAAATTCTTTGAAGAACAGACACCGATACTAACTCTTTAAGGAACAGACCTTAAGTTTTTATGTTCATAGTACCTTAGAAGTTCTTCCTTTTAAAACTCCTTTGAGAACCCTCCAAAAATTGGAATGAAAAACTATCTGTAGGCGGTACCTCTAGTCCACGGAGCTGAGTCTGTTGGCTGATTTGATGGTTTAGTTGTTGCAATTCCAGTCGTAGCTGTTCCCTCTCAGCAGACGGAAGGGGTTTTCCATGACTGGCCACTTCTGACATGGACAGTCTCTCCCTTTGGTGGGAAAGAAAGGATGGAATAAATTTTAAGTTTTATTAAAAAAAAAAATTATTGATCTAATATAACATTTTGTGTCAACTATACTTCAATTGAAAAAAAAAATTGAAAGAAAACAAAAAACCCCCCTAGGTTTGATCTACTACTGTTCTGACATAAAAATCTGTTATTTCACTATGAAAATAATAAAAATTATTGACAAGAAAAATAAGAAAAGCTGAATAATTTTAAAGGTTTATAAAAGTAAAAAGAATGACTCATACCTCTCACTGAAGTGTCCCTGAGAAGGTATGTTTTGATGAGGTGAATATGGAGATCCTCCCCAGCCACCGTGGGTTCCATATGGACTATAATCTATAAGAGAATAATTTACTGTGGGATGATGCAATTCAGAGATTTCATTCTTCATGTAAGGTAGCCATAATCTGGGGTGCCTGTGTGGTTCAGTTGGTTGAGAGTCTGCCTTCGGCTCAGGTCATGATCTCAGGGTCCTGGGATCGAGCCCCACATCAGTCTCTCTGCTTGGCAGGGAACCTGCTTCTCTCTCTTTTCCCCCACTTTCTCTCACCATCTGTCTCAGTCTCTCTCTCAAATAAATAAATAAAATTTTAAAAAATAAGGTAGCTATAATCTAAAAGGCACAGGCCTATTTTATACACAGCTATCTGGAAAGATGTCCACTAATTAAAGAGGATACTGATGTTTGTTTTTTCCCCACTGAAAGATAACAGTCTTTGGATTGTATCTTTCTTTTCTTTTCTTTTTTTTTTTTTGGTAGGGCTTGAACTCATAACCCTGAGATCTAGACCAGAACTGAGATCAAGAGTTGGACACAACCGACTGAGCCACCCAGGTGCCCATTTCAATTATTTAAAATGAGAATGTATTATTTTAATAAAAGCAACAAAGCTATTAACACAAAACCAACATAGGCAATCTTCACACAGAGACATTTTAGTTTGTACCCTTAGAATTCCCTGGGTTATAATTACCTTTCTACAGGGATAATTCCATGGAAGAGTTTAAAAGATTACTGCCTTGTAAGATTATGGAAAGCACTCATACTAAATGGGGAGTAGGGATGGGGGCTGAAAGTCTTGAATATGAACCCACTAGATGAGCTTACCTTCAATTCTTACCTGAAATATTAATAGGTTTTGTGGGAGCTCCCTGAGGTGCCATAGCCTGCATTGGACCACCACCCTGATATATTGTTTTGGAGGTTCGAGAGATGGCACCAAACCGCGATACAGTTGGTCGGTCTCCAAATGGGATAAGGTCATCATCACTGGTTTCTGCAGCTCTTCTCTGAAGATCCAGTCGTTGATCTCTCATTCCTTTACTCTCCACATTCTGGTAAAAAGTAAAATGAGAAATCCACCCCACACTTAGATCTCTAACATTTCCACAGCTCTGTGATAAGGTTTAAAAAAAAAAAAAAAAGAGTATAACGTTCTTATTGGTAGGACTAAAATAATTTGCTTGTCATCATAAACACTGCTTTTTAAACCTCTGATTACTCCCCGCAATAAGAAATATATTTTACATCATGACCCAGTACATATATATACACTCTAATATACAGATATAATTTCATGACAAGTATTTACCTCTACTATACGTGCTCTTGTATTTATATTGTTATTCTAAATTATTCCTTAAAAAAAGACCCATCACAACCCACTCAATTTCAAAACTCAATAGTTAGAAAACCACTGCCTAAAAATATTAAGTAGCTGACACAGATGTTTCAAAGGGATTCCAATTAGAAAGACGTAAGTACCAAGAGAAATGGAAACGGAAATCTAACTGGTACACCCTTGCTATTCAAAATATAGTTTGAGGAATAGCAGCAGCAGCATCAGGTGGGAACTCATCAGACATGCAGAATCTCAGGTCCCACGCTAGTCTTACTGAATTAGGAACTACACTTTAACAGGTTCTAATTAGACTCCAACATAATTTATATGCACACTAATATCTGAAAAACACTAACAGTCTTTCACCCGTTTGGGAGATTTTCAATTATATCTAGGTTAGGTTGACAAATATTTTTATTCTTTAGTGATTTAAGGAAATGAGTCTTTTTTTTTTTTTTTTTTTTTGAGAGAGAGAATGAGAGACAGAGAGCACGAGAGGGAAGAGGGCAGAGGGAGAAGCAGACCCCCCGCTGAGCAGGGAGCCCGACGCGGGACTCGATCCCGGGACTCCAGGATCATGACCTGAGCCGAAGGCAGTTGCTTAACCAACTGAGCCACCCAGGCGCCCGGAAATGAGTCTTATTTTGCTAATTTCTGTTACTTTAATAACCCTCCCCCACTTTTAAAAAGATTTATTTATTTGAGAGAGAGAGAAAGAGAGAACATGAGCAGGGAAGGGGGCAGAGGGAGAAGGAGGAGCAAACTCCTTGTTGAGCGGGGAGCCAGAAAAATAAACAAATAATAACTTGTGTGTGTGTATGTGTATGTATGTATGTGTGTGTGTGTGTGTGTGTATAAAATACCAGTTATCATACAATGGTATTTGATAAAGTAGTTAAAATGAAAGAACCTGACCTATAAATTTGGATACATCTCAAAAACAAAGTTGAATGAAAATGCAAGCTGAAGTATATAATATATATAAGGTCTATAAACATACAAAACAAAATTGTTTAGGAATAGTAAAAAAGTATCCATGAAATGATAAACTTTCAATTCAGGATAAAGGTTACCTCCAGGGAAGAAGGGAGGAAGAAAAATGAGATTAGGGAAGTATATACAAGAAGATTTAACTATTTCTATAAAGTTTTATTTCTTCAGAAAATAAAGAAGCAATCAAGATAGTTACATATATATATAAAGCTTGGATATTAGACATATAAAAATAAAGTATAATACATTTCAATATACCACAGTTGACTTGAAGCTTCCTAGCTACAATTCTGACAAATACTACTACTGTTTCATTAGATTCAACGTCATTGTTTAAACTTCAGAGTTGTAAGAGTTATAATTTACTTGAACAAGAAATCCAAGATCCTGATTAATTATGCAAAATAAACTAATTTTGGTTCTAAACAGTTGTTGGCTTAATCGTTGGCTGCTCAGAAATACAACAAATGCTCTTCTTTGTCTATCTAGACATGTATTAGAAGATTTATGTTTATACCTGAAAGAAACAAATAAAAAACCCATATAAACATAATTCAATTCACATCATATAGAATATGGCCTGAAAAAAAATTTTTTTTTTTAAAGATTTTATTTATTTATTTGACAGAGAGAGACATAGCGAGAGAGGGAACACAAGCAAGGGGAATCGGAGAAGGAGATGCAGGCTTCCCGCTGACCAGAGAGCCCGATGCGGGGCTTGATCCCAGGACCCTGGGATCATGACCTGAGCCGAAGGCAGACGCTTAACGACTGAGCCACCCAGGCGCCCCTGGCCTGAAATTCTTAAGGAAAGCTCAATTATTTGTGTCTTCACTATTAACAGGGTCTGACTTATTTGGTTTCTCTTCATTTGTATTCATTGTGGCTTAGTTATCACACATACCATCATTTCCACACTCCCTGCTGCCACCACATCTTTGGGTTTTGCATCTTTGGTTCCAATGTAGGAGCCGATGGTGTCGCATGACCAGGGAGAATACTGGCTATAATCATTTCCTTTGTATTTCCCAGCTACCTTCAAGTCTTCATCCAGAAACTACAGATGGAAAAAAAAAAAGAAATATATATATGTCTTATAAGTAACAACACAGAGAAAACAGAAATTTCTTAGAACACCATGCTAAAGCAATATAATGATGGTTACTTTATCTGTTACAACAGAAGATTTCTGTAGACTATGAAAAATATAAAACACGTGAAGAAAGATGTTTAGTTTATACCCTTTGTTAGCAGAGGGTCAAAAACAAGTATCTCAGTATCTTTCAAGGAATCAAGCCAGGACTTTTGAGGAGGTTTGCTCATCCTCTTCTTCATTGGAGGATCAACCCTTGAGCTAATATGCACCAGGCCCTAGTTTTGCTGGACACTCCTCATTGTTTCTTTCAATAACATTTTAGGTAAACAAGAGCACTAACAACTACTTAAAATGGAACTTAGAATGTTCTATAAAGTGCATCATGATGCAGTGACTTTTTTACTGAAATCTCTTTAACAGCATTAATTCGTATTTTAAATAAATTCTGGTCCTTAGGTTGATTCTGTGAAGTGAAAAGGGTAAAGATATTGAATCTTCTCAAGATGAGTTCTGAAATTATATAATAACTGAATAGCTATTCTAGGTCTAACGTATTTTTTTTTAAATCACAATATTCACATTTGTGTAAAGTTTTACAGTTTTCAAAGTGCTTTTATGTATACTACCTCAAATGTTCCTCAGGTCCATGTGAGAACACAGCTGATCTAAGGCTATACCATTAAAGGGCAGAACTAGAACTAGAACTTTATCATATATATATATTGAGATACTGATAAGATAGGGGATATTGATATATCTAAGTGGCTCTATGCCTCCCCCCTATCTAAAAAAAATAAAAAACTTTTCTGAGTCATCATTACTGGTTTTCTATAGTGACAAAGGGTTTTGCTGTTCATAAATATTACTCATTTTCAACCATAACTCCCATTTCTACTGTTTATAAACTTTTTTTGTCCTATCTCAATTTAAAAATTTTATCTCCTTTATTTCTCTTTCACATGCAAACTTCATGTAGAACAGCTAGCTTTTTAAAGATATGACCTACTAACAAGAGTGCTTACCCTGCTGCACCCTAATATATTATGTGGCTGGTAAAAAGAATTAGATAAATTTATATACTGACAAAGAAAGACAACCAGGATAACTGGTTAAGTAAAAACAATAAAAAAAAGTAAATATAAACAAAACCTCAGGATATATTACTAAATGATCCTATTAAAAAGTAATAGGTTAGTTCATGTACACAAAAGTTGAAATATATTTAGAAAGTTGAAATTTATAATAAACTTACAATGATACAGAAAATGGGATGTTGGAAAATTTTCTCTATGTTATGTATTTTTATAATGTATGAATTTATTTTTATTTATTTATTTGAGAGAGAGAGTGTCAGAGGGGTGGGGAGGAGCAGAGGGAGAGGAAGGAGCAGGCTCAATCCCAGAACCCCAGGATCATGAACTGAACCAAAGGCAGATGCTTAACCAACTGAACCACCCAGGTGCCCCAAAATGTATGAATTTAATACAATTATATGTAGGTTGTTTATAATCAGAACTTAAGTTAAAAATATAGCCTTGTATGTCAGTAACTAAAATAATTCTAGATAAAATTCCTTAATAACAAGGCATTATTATTATATTTATTAGAAGTAAAAAGAAAAAAGCAAATTTAAACAGTTATTATTTACTGAATGCCTGACATGTGCCAGATGCCTTGTGTCTCAGTAAATCTTTACCACACCACTATGAAGTAGGCTTTATTATGCTGGATTTACAAATGGAGAAACCTGAGCTTCAGAGTTTAGGGAGGCTAAATAACTTATAAAACATCACACAGAATGACACAGCTGAACTTCAAAAATAAGTATGTTTGATTCCAAAATTAGCTTACATCTTTGCAGTGTCATATCACTAAAAATATTAGTATGGCATAACAAGGCTCTAGGAGGACTCTAACATAGAATGTTTGAAAAGTAATGTTTATACTTACAAGTAAAATTACATTAATAGAAGATGTTATGACTTTACTAATTAACCTACATTGTGGAAAATTCATCTAAAGTGTTTAGATAGAAAAGCTAGATAACTGTGAACAACTTTTATTTAGTAGACCACTTTCATAGGCCCCCAAAAATTACTGTTTTATTATATGCAATGTGATGCACCTCACTTTTCACTGTTTATTATTCATAATGTCGGACAGCAATGTTGTTTAGAATCATAACTCTATCCATAAAGGATGTGAGACATTTTCCTTACATAATATCAACTGCAACCTTGCTGAGAAAACCTAATGGATTTTTAAGAAACTTATACACACTATGGTTGAGGCAGTACATACAATCAACACACCAAAATAAGTAAGATCAATAAAGCAAAAGCTGGCTTTTTGAAAAGACAAAACTGATAAATTCCTAGCAAGACTGGCCAAGGAAAAAAGTTATTACCAATATCATAAGTGGAAAACTGAACACCACTATAGACCATGTAGACATTAAAAAGATAAGACAACATTCATTCGTGATAACAATCAGCACTGTCCTGTAGAAACACAAAGTAATCCCCAAGATCATGGTTTATACCCTGCAGTACATTTAACCAGTTTATTCTAGCAACTTTATATTAGTGGTTTTTCCTCTGCCTTTCACACTATATTAGCCTGTCTCTCTTCTTCTTTGAATCAACTTTACCATTCTGCTATTTTCCTCATTATTGAGTTAAATAAATCCTTGATGTCTCAATTATAAAAAGTCTAAAACTAAAAGTAGAAGGGGATTATTAATTTGATGAAGATCATCTAACACAAAACCTACAGCAAATATCATAATGGTAAATTATTAAAAGCTCTATTTGCTCAAAGACTAGAAATAAGTCAAGAATACCTGCTGTCATCCCTTTTATTCAACATTATACTGGAGGATCTTAGCTAGCACAAGGTAAGAAAAAGAAGAGACATAAGAATTGAAAAGGAGAAGGTCAAATGGTCATTATTCACAGAGGATCTGATTGTGTGTATAGAAAATTCAAAAGACTGCACTAACAAATACTAGACCCAATAAGGAAATTCAGCAACACTGCTGAATACAAGGGTCAATACACAAAAATCTACTTAATTTCTCTGCATTAATAACAAAATGACATTTCAAAAAGGATTCCATTAGTTTCAAAAAACATTAGTTATCTAGAAATAAGTTTAATTAAAGATATGCAAGACACTAAAAACTATGATTTATGACATTATTGGGAGAAATTTAGTTAAGATCCAAGTAAATGAAGGAAATACAATGTTCTTGGAGACTCAATATTGTAAAGATGTCACTTCTCCCTAAATGGATCTAAAACAATGCCCAATGGAAATATAATGAGACCTATATATATAATTTTTAAAATTTCTAGCAGCCACATGAAAAAAAGAAACAGGTAAAATTAATTTTAATAATACATTCTATTTAATCTAATACATCCAAAGTATTATCTTTTTTTTTTTTTAAAGTAGGCTCCATGCCCAGTGTGGAGCCCAACATGGGGCTTGAACTCATAATCCTGAGATCAAGACCTGAGCTGAGATCAAGAATCAGATGTTTCGGGGCGCCTGGGTGGGTCAGTTGGTTAAGCGGTTGCCTTCGGCTCAGGTCATGATCCTGGGGTCCTGGGATAGAGCTCCGCGTTCGGCTCCCTACTCAGCGGAGAGCCTGCTTCCTCTCCCTCTGCCTGCCACTCTGCCTACTTGTGCTCTCTATCTCTCTGTCAAATAAATAAATAAAATCGTAAAAAAAAAAAAAAAAAAGAATCGGACGTTTAACCAACTGACCCATCCAGGGCGCCCCTTAAGTATTATCATTTTAATATATAATTAAGAAATTTATTAATAAAAAAGGAAAATATATTAATGAAATGTACTCCTGGGGTGTGCTAAATCTTCAGATCCCGTGTATATTTTAAAAAGCTTACAGTAAACTGAATTTGGACTAGACACATTATTTTAAGTACTCATTAGCAATACGTGGCTAGTGGTTACCATACTGGACAGTACAGATCCAGAAATTCAATATAACCCCAATAAAAACTGCAGCAGATATTTATGTGAACATCAACATGTTAATTTTAAAATGTCTGGAAATTGCAAGGACTAAGAACAGCAAAGGTAATACTGAAAAATATACATCAGAACATACTAAGACATATTATAAAACTACACTAAGACAATGTGGTGTTGGTGCAAAGACAGAGAAATAGATCAATGAAACAGAATAGAGTCCAGAAACATTCATAGTCACCTGACTATGACAAAGGTGACCTGATTATGACTACGGTGACTTCAGGGCACTAGGGAAAAGATGGTCTTTTCACTAAATGGTGCTAGGTCAATGAGGTATCTTTTGGGGGAAAAATGGATCTTTACTCCTAACATAGTAACAAGAATCAATTCTAGATGGACTGTAGATCTAAATGTAAAATAAAATACACCTTTTAGAAGAAAACACAGGAAAATAACTTCATAATCTTAGAAATAGTCAAAATACTTAAACAAGACTACACAACAAACAACTGATGAAGGAAAAATTGATAAATGAGACTAAAAATGATGTGCTTACTTCCTCTTGATGAAAGGTAGGAGGCAATGTTGGTGAAGGTGCAAAAGGAGGTGGAGAGATAACCTTCCTTTCCTCCAGCTGGGCCATTATTTCCTTTCGTCTGCGATGTAGCTCATCTAGACTAGGATGGGGCTGAGGAGGAGGAGGAAGCCGGCTATACGGAGGGTCCTAGAAATGCAAAGATTAGTAAAAACTGAAAAAGAATTTCAGAACACATTAACTCATTTAGCACATATTTTAAATAGGTAGCAGCTTGTATATTCATCTCAGTATTTGAACATACTAAGATTTAATAAAACAAAGCTCCCTAAAACTCTGAGGTTTTCCCAAAGAGCTAAATTTCTTTTCCTTGGCCAGAGACCATAATTTCAAATACAGTTGACCCCTAAACAATACAAGCTTGAACTGCACAGGCCCACTTACACATGGATTTTTTTCAATTAAAACAGTTCTGTAAATATATTATCTCTAACAATTTTAATAAGTTTCTTTTCTTTACCATATTGTAAGAATACAGTATATAATACATAAACATACAAAATATGTGTTAATTGACTGTTTATGTTAGGCTTCTGGTCAACAATAGGCTATTCGTAGCTAAGTTTTTGGGGAGTCAAGTTATACACGGGTTTTCAATTGCATGGGGAGCATTGAGCCCCTTAATGCCTGCATTGCTCAAGGGTCAAATGTAGATCTAGAAATGTTAATAAAACTATCTAAAGTTCAGAAACTAAGAAGGGTTAGTGGGAGTGGGGTGGGATTTTTTTTTCCCTTTAATAGTTAAAAAAAATAAAATAAAATAAACCCAAAACAAAAAAGAACAACCCTACCCAAACTGTGAAAAGATGAAAAAAAAAGGAAGGGGGAAGCTTTCTCATAGAAAAGAATTGATCAAAGGGTTACTACCATGGCAAAAAGGTAAATCACTGCAACCAATAATCAAATTAAATCTATATAATAATAAAAAAAACCCCAGCATACTCTCATGTACGAAGGTCTGATCTGAGTTGGATGAGGAGCCACTGGATAGTAACCCTCCATCTGTTGGTATCTTTCTCTGGATTCTGGTACATAGGATGGTACTGCTGCAGGTGGAATCTCAATGGGTATAGGACTTTCTCGGAAAATCTCCTCTCTTGTGTAAGACTGAGCAGGGTATACTCGGCGGCCATCATAGTGTGGTGGGTACATAGGTGGGTATTGTTGTGGCTGTGTGCCATACTGAGAGTTTACTACACGATCTTGGAGATAGGGTGGATAATGATCCAAGTAGGGAGGACCAGGTTCAGGAGCAGACGGTGGAGGTCTGACAAAGCGAGATACACACTGTGGTGGTGTAGTATAGTACATACCTGTACAATACAAAAAAGGAACCAAAAGCAACAATAAGCTGATCTATTTTTCTATATTTTTCCTTTTAATATACTTCAACACTAAAGAATTAATAATCCACTCATTTCTTTACATGTTTTCCCCTCTGCTTATGTAGTCAGGTTAGCTTTATGAAAAATAAGCAAAAGTTAACCTTAATCCTTAAAAGTCATTGAAAAAACGAATCTATTGATAATCTACAATAGTAGATTGGCTCTCTCAGTTGTTCCACCACCTTTCTGGTGTGCCTTAATGCAGTGCAAACACTGGAAAGCAAGACTACATTTCCCTGAAAATCACTCGCATGAAATCTGAATGTGAAATGGAGCTAACTGGAAAAGAATGTGGCACACACAGATCTATTCTGCTGCTGCATAGCTCTGGAGTTCTGGAGACAACAGTTGTAGCAAGGAGCTTCCCAATTTTCAGACTTTGGCCTCAAGTGATGTGATCCTGGTGCATAGATAGGAACCATGTTTCCTATTTCTACTGCTTCCTCACTATTCTTTTTTTTTTAAGATTTCATTTATTTGAGAGTGAGTGCACAAGAGAGAGAAAGCGTGTGCATGCACAAGCTGGAGAGGCAGGGGGAGAGAGAGAGAAGCAAGCTCCCCGCTGAGCAGGGAGCCCGATGCGGGGCTTGATCCCAGGACCCCAGGATCACGACCTGAACCAAAGGCAGACGCTTAACCGACTGAGCCACCCAGGTGCCCCACTTCCTCACTATTAACAGGCTTTTTCAGTAGCTATTTCTGGGACTCATTCCTGGAGGCCTAGCTTAAGCCTACTTTTCCAGTACTTCCACTGATTCTGTAGGCACCTAAACTCCCTGCATTAAACCTTTTTCTGCCTAATACAGCAAGAATGATTTCTGATCTCTGCCACTGGACCTTGACTGATACAGTGTGTTTAAGGTCACCTTCACAAAAGTAGCTGAATTTTTCCTGTGATGGATTGCCCAAAGGAAGATACAAAAAACTTTCATCACATTTTTACATGTGTTAATAATGCCATACCAATTTAAAGCTATTCTTCTGAAAGTAGAGAAGACATTTCTAATTCAAAATTAAGACAGCCTTGGGAAAAGGAAATGGAGAACACCTTTAATCTACTCCAGTTTAAAAAAATAATAGCACCACATGGTCTCTGACAGAGATCCAACACTTTAAAAATCAGTGTTCCTATTTTTCACAGGAATTGTGTATGTGAAGCCTCGGTCATCTCCACTCCTTCACTATCCATACCTGGTATTGTCATTAAAGCTGGCTAATTTTTCAAATTTGACTATTTTTTCAAATCCCTCCTTCTTCTTTCCCACCACACTAATCCAGGCCTCAATACTCACACCTGGTTTAACAAAAGTCCCCTTATTCCTCCTCAACTCTAGACTGTCATCCTTGCAATCCATTCATAAATTTATATTTTTATTCCCATACTTCTATTTAGGGCATTCTTTCATTAAGTCTTTTTGATTCCTCAAGTTCTCAATGATCCCCCTTGAGCCTTGCAGTTAATCTCTACCACATTATTATTATCCACAACTGATGCTTAATTTTTAACACACATATATGCACACACACACTACGTATGTATACTCCTACTATTTCTTTACTAATATTGATTCTACACTATTAACTCTCTACAGTACGTATGCTGCATTTTTTTCATATATACTACAGGGCCCAGAAAAAATATTAGGTGATAACTGAAAGCAAGAAAAACATACTGTATGTTTAATTTATACCCACTGTAATATTAAATTCTTTCTCACGCTCAAAGAAAATTTTGGTCAGGAAAATATATACTGCCTTAGTTAAGCAAATTTCTATTGTCTACTTGGGTCACTTGTTATTTCCATAAATATATGCACATATTTAATATATAACTAGCTTCCAGTGATGGGCAGTTTGCTTTATATACCTCTGTTAGTTCACTTATTTTATACTATTTAGGTGATCATAAAATCTCTGCTTTTTCCAAAGTATTACATAAACACATTTATTTATCTTGAGGCTGCTGCAAATACGATCACTCTTTCTTGGAACTGTTCTCATAACTCCTAAGAAAAGAGAGCAACATAAACAAAAGATCATTACCCTGCTGATAAGGTGCTGGTTCAAATGGTGGCGCAGCTCCTCGAGGATCCTGATAATAAACATCTGCCTGTTGTGCTGGGTATAACTGAGAACCTCGTGGTACCATCTGAAGTGGTTTGGTGACAGGCATAGGAGGCAAATCTGTTGGCCCCCTTGGAGGTACAGGATGTGGATTCACAGGTAAGGCAGAAATACTCTTAGGGACAGATTCTAGCCTAAAGGAATAAGATTCTACAAGTCAAGTTTAAGGTCTCAAAAATACTTCTAATATACACAAATTACTAAATGTTCAAAAAAAAAAAAAAAGCCTTAATTTGGGAATACGTTTTTTCCCCCCAATAGTCACTTCTTCTACAAATTTCATAAACTTTGATCTTATTTCACTTACGCTAATTATTTCTTAAAAATCACTAGCACAGGAAATAAAGAACAAAATAAAGCCAAAAATGTAGTGTGTTTTTTTTGTTTTTTTGTTTTTTTTTTAATAAAATACTGATTTTTCTTTCTTCCCTCTACTTCCCATACTAACTTTAAATAAAAGTTAGGAAAAATGACGTACAGGTCAGGAGGGGATCCAGGGGCACTACTGCTCAGATGATCTATCTTTCCTGGCTTGAGGCTAGAATCGTAGGTGGCGTCTGTCCCTCGGGGAATCAGCTGTGTTACCGTATTCCCTGCTGATACAATTCCATTTGGCAGAGCAGGGGTTTTTCTGCTAGGCAGATCCACTGCACCTTCATCTGGAAGGACAGCTGCTGAAGGCAGGCCCACCTCATTAAGTTGACCCAAAGAGGCACTGAGGGGTCTTCTGGGAACTAGGCGTTTGTTCATTTTACGAAACCTATATAGAAAGCAAAGTCACACACCAAAACCCAAAATTATAAAAGCAAAACCAAGAACTAAAATGTATTTGAAAAACAGATACAAAGGAAAAGCTACTACGAATATTACTTTCTAGAAATTCTCTTGAAACATTGGCTGTAGCTATCAACTTGAAAACTTGTGTGTGTAGACACTACAAAATCTCAGGAACACACTAAGTATAAAACTCCTTATAATGAGTATTTGTTAACACTACAAATCATGCTAATTAATATCTGCATTATAACCTACTTTTACTGTAATTTCTATTTCTGAAACACTGGAGGGGGGAGAAACATCTTTAGAAGACAGTTTCTGAAATATCTTACTTTAGCTTTCCCTCAAATGCCTTAGGATACAGTTAGCCTATATTATAAATTAACAATAAAACAAAAAGCCAGTGTGCAGAGAAAAATTTACCATTTATTCCATTAAAATTTTTAAATTAAGAATAGTACTTTGTATTAGATATGATTCAGAGATGCTGATGCTATGTGTGCCCACCCAAAATTAAAATTATTTTAAAAGTGGATTAATATATACAATACAGAATAATGCCTAAATTTAAACAGACATTGCAGTATAAAACGCATGTAGACTCTAAAATCTAACCACAGGAATAATATTAAGCCATCGACTCTATTACCCGTGCTCAACAGTGAAAGCAAATCTATTTACACCTGCTAGGACACTTTAAAAAATAATCTCAAAGACAACCCCCCATAAGAATAATGCTATTTTCCCGAATGTTTCCCATATTTGACAAATTTCAGAGGGGCGGAGAGGAGACACTACTCCTTAGGTGTAACCACTGTTAACAGTCTGGTACATAATCATACAGATTTTCCCCTCCATACCATGCCTTAATATTAAGATGAATGTAAGACTATTATTAACAGAAATAGGGTCATATATGACTGCTTAGTAACTTCTCCTTCTACTTTGTAACTTGGATATTCCTTTATGTCAGTACATTTTAAGTTGTTTCTAGTTTTTTTCTATTAAAACAATGCAGTAACAGATGCTTATGTACATGTACTTGCATCCTTGTGTGACTAAATGACTAACCAGATGCAGAACTGTAAGTCTAATGTATGCACATTAGAAACTCTTACAGTGCTCTAAAACTTATTCTAATTCCTAATGATAATAAATGTCCTTTTCCCTATCTCATCAAACACTAGGTAGTATCACAGTCCGTCTTAATTTCTAAGTTCAAAATATCATTTTTTAAAAAGATTTTAGAGAAGGCATGCACAACACACATGCACATGCATGCACGGAGGCGGGATGGAGGGTGGGGTGGAGGGATTAGCAGACTCCGGCAGAGCGGGGAGCCTGACACCCCAGCCCCTCCATTTCAGGACCCTGAAATCATGACCTGAGCGGAAAACAAGAGTCCTATGCTTCAATGACTGAGCCACACAGGTGCCCCTGAAAATATCATTTTGTTTTAATTTGTATTTAACAATCAATGAAGTTGACATTGTTTTACTTTTTTTTTTTAAAATTCTTCTGTAAATTGCCTATTTGTTCATGATCCGTATTATTTACTGGTTCTTCTTACAGATTTGTAGTTTATATTAGGGATGTCAGTCCTCTGTATGTCATTTCCCCACCAATCTTTTTTTTTGTAATTGTGGTGTTTGGGCCACATCTTAGATTTTTTACGTAATCATATTTATCAATATTCTCCTTTACGGATGCTGGGTTGTCTTTCAAAAATTCTTTACTATTATAAGATTAAGTAACAACAGAAAAGATCTCTAAGTACAGTTTCCTTCTTAAAGATTTGAATCTCTAATGCATTTATAATTCATTTTGATATAAAGGTTAAGAACTGAGTTCTAATTATTTTTCAAATGGATAGCAGTTGTTTCAATGTCGTCTTCTTTGTTACTGAGGTGAAATACCACCTTCAGCACAACACTCAGTTCCTATTGTGTCTGGCATTCTTTCTAGATTTTCCACCGTATTTCACTGATCTATCCGTTCCTATGCTAATACCACAGTCTTTATGCACACTGCAGCTCATAATACACCTTAATAGTTGTTAGTGTAATCCGTTGAAAACTTATTTTTTCAGAAATTTTCTGGCCATTTGTACGTATTTACTTTCCCCAGTTAAGGATTTTGTTAGGTCCTAACAATCATCATGTTAAGATTCTAACTGAGATTTCACTGAATTTACTGTTTAAGAGAAGATAAAACCTATATAATGGTAAGTCTTCTCCAAGAACACAGTATGCTTCTTCATTTATTCAGTTCTTCGCTTATGTGCGTAGGTAGCTTACTAATTCAATCCTCAATAGTTCTTGTTACTTTATTATTTGGTATTTATCTTTTTTGTTGTTGTTGGTAATGCCAAAGAGATCTTTATTTTCCTTTATAACTGGTTATGTTTCCCTTTTTAGTTTATGAGAACAATTCATTTCTGTAAAGTAGTATTTTTGATTTGCTAAAATTTTCATTTCTTTTGTTTCTAGTACTTCTTGAATTTTTCCATGTAATGATTTTATGATGATTTTATTCTTTGGTATGTACAGTGGCTACTGCTCCTAGAATGTTCAGTAATAGTCTCACTACTGCTAAATTTTGCCTTACTGTCAACTTCAATGATACTGAATCTACTATTTTACGAATTGAGCATCATGCAGTCATACTAGCTTTTGAGATACAATTATGTTGAGCAAGTGTCTATGACAGCTTTCTTCTGTTAAAGAATTTTGATCTATTATGAACATCTGATTTTACTCAAATGCCTTTTGGCATCTTTGCATATAATCACATGGTATTTCCTCTCTAACCCTAAAGTAATTATATTGTGTTACCTTTGCACTTCATGGTGTCTACTTTACTGAATGCTAATATTTGGGATTTTTAAAATATTAATATGTGAGATGGATTTGTATTTTCTTTAATTGTGCTATCTTTGTCAAGTTTGGGGGCAATGTTACACTGGCTTTATAAAAAAAATTAAGAGGTTTTCTTTTCTTTCTACTATGGAAAATTTAACACTGGAATTATCTGATCTTTGAAATTTATTTATTATTTATTTTAAAGATTTTATTTATTTAGTTAGTTATTTGACAGAGAGAGAGACACAGAGAGAGAGGGAACACAAGCAGGGGGAGTGGAGGAGGGAGAAGCAGACTCCCCGCTGAGCAGGGAGCCCGACGCAGGGCTCGATCCCAGGACCCTGGCATCATGACCTGAGCCGAAGGCAGATGCTTAACAACTGAGCCACCCAGGCACCCCAATCTTCGAAATTTAAAAGAAAATCTGTGAAGTTACGCCTGTCAATAAAACAATTTCGTGAACAGAGGGCAAATTTTTCAATTGGAAATACATTATTCAATTAGTTAAAATCAATTCAATTATTTAAAATTGATGAAAATTTTTAGAGTTTTAAATTTTTTTGGTAGTGCAAATGATTCACTTCTATAGTTTCCTATTTGTGGGCACGATATAATGAAAGCCGAAGAAACTTACTTCAGTTTTCTTTTTAAAAAATCTGTATTACTTTTTAAACATTTCCCATTCATTAAAGAGCATGCAACTGCTCCTTTTCTGTTTCCTAACAGTGGCGAATTATTCTACTTAGTAACTCTACCTTATTTCATAACAAGTTATTAGAAGGTTGAGTTTAACAACTTTCACACTTACTTCTCCAGTTCCTCCTGTGAGTGTGCAAACGTACAGCTGGCCCCACGAGGGCATCCTCCCCTCTGCTTCATATCTCGACACATGTATGTTTTATATTTGCTATGCTGTGGAGGCTGAGACCAAAGTTAAAACATTAGACACCGATTCAAACTAACTCACACAATTAACTAGACTGCCCAGAGCAAGTGTTAGAAAGCCATTCTGTCTGAAGTCTGAGTCCAAAAATAAATTAATTATAAAGAATGGGGTCCTGATTTTTTGACATATTGGCACTAATTCTCAAACATGTAGCATCATATAAATCCTAGATTAAATCTCACAACGGCTTTATCATTTTCTTTCCAGGTTTATAATGGACAAACAAACCACTGGAGTTTAGGGCTTTCCAATGTTTAATATGTGTTCTAATATTTGTTTTGGACAATGTTTAGTATAGCTATATTTACAACTAGAGTTTCCTATGACACAACACGAATCTATAGTAGGCTCTATAAATGAAAAATACTCTGTAACCAATTCTTGATATGCAGAAGAACATATCAAGGACATACAGTAACTCTAAAAGTACAAATGAAACTATTATTTTCTTTTTTTTTTTTTTTTTTTTTAAAGATTTTATTTATTTATTTGATAGAGAGCATGAGAGGGCGGAGGGTCAGAGAGAGAAGCAGACTCCCTGCTGAGCAGGGAGCCCGACGTGGGACTCGATCCCGGGACTCCAGGATCATGACCTGAGCTGAAGGCAGTCGCTCAACCAACTGAGCCACCCAGGCGCCCGAAACTATTATTTTCTAGCATAAGACAGGAGGATGGACTTGGGAGTTAACGAGATATCAAACACAATACTAAGCTAAATGAAATTTGATTACCTATCGATTTGATTACCATTTTATCACCTATCAACAGAGCTTAAAAAATTAATCTTATTGTTACATTCTTCATGATGTCTAATAGAACATGGAGTTAAAAATAAGTTTTTAATCTTTTATTTCTTATCATAAAATAAAGTCTGGTCTATGCTTAGATAATTTAGGAAAACTGTATCCATATTATTCTACTCAGCAGGATACTTTCTTTAAAAAAAGATTTTATTTTTAAGTAATACCCAACGTGGGGCTTGAACTCACAACCCTGAGATCAAGAGTCGCATGTTCTACCAAGTCAGCCAGGTGCCCCCCTACTCAGCAGGATACTGAATGGAACTTAATGTTTCTTGCCTCTCAAAGAAAAAAGAAATATTGAATAATCTATTGTTAATAGATTAATTTATTATAAATTATTTAATTAATTAATCTGAACCAGATAAATTAATAACAATGTTTTAATTTCACAAGCTTACTATTGCAAAATAAAAGATCTAGTGAACCTAACATAAATCACGAGGGCAAAATAAAGTTATTGGGAATAAAATGAAAAACTGTAGTCATACCATAAGCTATTACGTTTTACTGTCATATATTTCATTTAAAAGTATTTGAGGAAAATTTGGCCCTCTTGCACAGCAGACATTATATGAATGAATGAAAAATGTTAAAATACTACTACAAAAAAAGCATTTATACAAATATATGAACAGTACTGGACAGATACAGCATTAAAAAGTGATATATACTGTCAAACTAAAATGTAACAGTAACCAAAGAGAATCATTTTACTTAACATAGAACCTTTAGCACAGAATCAAACGCTGCTATATATCCAAAGTGAAAAATGACTCCAGTGCAACATTAGACCCACAGGATTATTTCATTCCATTGTTGCCAGATAAAATCACTACACAAATCCATTAAACTGGGTGTAAACCATATTAAAGTAATTTATAGTTTCTATAGTCAGAGTCTCAAAATATTCATGTCATCTTGTTGGTTTTGTTTGTATCTGTCGTAACATCCACAGTGGCTTACTTCTAAGTTTCCAACTTCCCCCTTACCTGCTGTTGATCTGCTCCCTTTTTGCTATGGTTCTGGATATAGTCTACTAGCCCATGTACCACAGTCCGCACAGCAACCAGTCCATTTTCCAGCTGCTCCCAAGTAGGAGGAGGAGCATCTACACAACAAATCAAAAAACTTTTTTAAATGATGTTTTCAATATTTTGCCCAATATTATTAAACTAACAAAAGAGTTAGTGTCAGCCCTTCAGTGAAATCAAGTTAGGCTTCATACAGCTTTTCAGGTAATAACGTATTCACCTAAACATCATTTTAAAGAATGGATTGTAAAGTAAAATAACTACAGGGACAGGGAAGGTAGCATAAAGAAATTATGTAGGCCAGACAATAAATGGCAATCACCATTAGACACTCAGCGCTGGGAATGATGACAGAGAGACAGAGACGGGGTCTGTGCTGAACTGTAGAGTGTGGCCCACATCTAAGGTTATGGTTACTATTCATCTTTAGCTGATTGCCGTTACGTGACGATGTAAGGCTGGCACTCCAGATACACCGCTGTTTCCCAGGGAAAACTAAAATTTAAGATTTTCATGTAAAATTACCCAATTTCAAGTTTTACCTAAAAAATTTAGAATATTGTGCAGACCAACACTGTGTGGACCAAACAAAACTTAACTGTGGACTAGCCAATTTGTAATGGCCATTTTGAAATTCTGCATAAATGAAGTATTGGTAAACAGAATGTTTAAGAAGTCTGAATGAATAGAAGAGTCACTATATAAAGCAACTCTGCTATATATCCTCTTCATTTAATATTTGTCTAGTGTCAGTGCTGTGATTTTATAAAGGAAAAGTTAACCACAAATATGAAATATTCTCTAGGAGAAAATATAAAAAGAAGTGAGAACACAAACATAGAGATGAATTCCTCTTGGAGACACTCTGAGAGGCTTCTAGGTGATGGCTGTGAATGAGGCTTTGAAGGACTTCCACTTGTGAGTTTCACTTGGAAAAAAAAAACTAAGATATAGAGAGGGTGAAGAGAACAGTCATATAAAAAAGTAGTTTGGAACACCTACTAAGTCCCAGGTATTGTTCTAGTTGCTAGGGAAGCAACAGTGATCAAAACAAAAAACCATTATATCCAAGGAGAGGAGACAGACAATAAATAAGATAATCGAAATATAAATAATTTACATAATGATGACTTGAATAAATAGAGCAAAGAAAGGGAGTGGGACTGATATGTTTAAAATTTTAGACTGGGTGGCCTGAGAATGTCTCCTTGAAAAGGTTACATTTGATTAAAGACCTGAAAACAGAAGGGGAATGAGTGTGCCTTGTGGATATATTAGGAAAAAAATGGTTCTAGGAAAAGAGAAAAATAAGTGGAAAGGCCCTGATGTGGGAATATGCCGGGCATGTTCCACGGAGGTCAAACTGGAAAGGAATGAATTAGGTAGAAAAGAATAGGAAATAAGCTTAGAAAGAGGTAAAGAACCCCACATCACTTGAGGCTTGGTAGGTCATGGGAAAGATTTTCGCTTTTACTGACCAACAGAAAGCACTGGAGATTTTTTTTTCAAGATTTTATTTATTTATTTTAGAGAGCGAGTGAGTGAGAGAGCACGCGTGTATGGGAGCAGGGAAAGGGGGAGAATCTGAAGCCGACTCCATGCTGAGTGTGGAGCCCAACCCAGGGCTCAATCAGTTCTGGAGAATTTTTGAGCAGACGGGTAACAGGATCACTCTAGTTCTTATGCTAAAACCAGACAGACAATAGGAGGCTATTCTGTAATCCCTGAAGAGAGATGAGTATAGTAGCAGTGAAGGTGATAAGCAGATGGATTCTAGATGGATTTTAAAGGGAAGGGCCTACAGGGTATGCTATTGGATCAGATGTACCACATGTGAGAAAGAAGAGTTGAAGAGATCTCCAAGGTGTTTGAACTGAGGAAATGAAATGGAAGGTTGTAGTTGCCACTAAAAGGAATGGGAGGTGGGGTTAGGGCAGTGTTTGGAACTCACTTTTGGACAGATTAAGTTTGAAATTCTTTTTTTTTAAAAGATGTTTTAATTTATTCATTTGAAAGAGAGAGACAGAGAGAGCACAAGCAGGGGGAGAGGCAGAGGGAGAGGGAGAAGCAGACTCCCCACTGAGCTGGGAGCCCGATGTGGCCCTCAGTTCCAGGACCTGGAGATCCATGACCTGAGGCGAAGGCAGACACTTAACCATCTGAGCCACCCAGGTGCCACTAAGTTTGAAATTCTTACTAGATATTCAAGTAGGCCTGCTGGATGTTGAGCAAAAGAATTCAGGAAGAAGTTTTGGGCTGATATACTGCATGTTTCACAGATTCTAAATCAACTGCAACATACACCATTATTTTATGTGCCACCAAAATAAAAAAGATTGTTAATTAAATTACACGTCATTACTTACATAGATGCATCCCAATTTCAGAAATGCTAAGATCAAAAGAAATGTGGACTTCAGAACTGATGAAATATAGTAAATTTGTGAGTCATGTAAATAATATTTAAAGCTATGAGACTAGATGATATTATCTAGGGAATGGGTATAATTAGAAAAGAGATACATGTATTAAACTCTGGGAGCAATCCAAAAGTGCGAGGGTATGGAGATGAGAAATTAGCAAAGAAGGCTCAGAGGAGGGTCCAATAAAATGAGAATGAAACTCGGAAAGTCAAGTGAAAAAAGTGTTAAGAGGATCAGAAAGTGAACAACAACATTAAATGCTGCTAACAGGTCAAATAAATGAGAACCAAGAACTGATGTCTGGATTTAACTTCATGGAAATCACCTGTGACCTTGACAGAACCGTTCTGGTTGACAGTAGAGATAAAATGCCTGATTGGAGTGAGTTTGAGAGCATGTTTAAAAAAAAAAAAAAGAAAGAAAGAAAAATAGTAGTAGGTGGATGGCAAATGTTGTCCAAGTGGGTTATGATGACAGGAGTAATAGGATGTTTGTATGTTGACAGAAATACTCCAGTAGAGAAGGAAACTTGATGATATAAGAAACAGAAGTGATATGAAGTGATATACTTGACAAGATGATATTAGGAACATGAGAAGGGAGAAGGGCCTGAGCTTAGAGGTACAGTTTATCCACTGTTATACAAGGACTGCAGACTATATTGGCACAGATACAGATAAACAGGTTGGTGGTTGATGGGGTGGTGAACTTGTGGAAGTGCTCTTTTGATTCCTCAGAATGAGCAAAGCACAATAGTGAAAAAAGAAAAATGTCGACTATATTCTAGGAATACATCTGATCTGGTTTGAGTAAGCAATTTTGATAGTAAAAAATTTTTTTTAAGATTTTATTTACTTGAGAAAGAGAGAGAAAGACAGAGAGAGCACACAAGCAGTGGGAGCAGCAGAGGGAGAGGGAGAAGCAGGCTCTCCGTTGAGGGAGCCCAGTGCAGGGCTCGATCCCAGGACCCTGACATCATGACCTGAACCGAAGGCAGACACCTAACTGACTGAGCCACCCAGGTGCCCCATTGATAGTAAATTCTATAAAGGTAGATTGATAAAAAAATAAAATAAAATAAAAAATTAGAGGGCCCTGGAATGCCACTGTCAAGAGTTCCAAACCTTATTCAATAAGCAATGGGGTGTCACTGAAAGTTTATGAGCACAGAAATAAGATCAGAGATGTGATTTATTTTGCAGCAGTAAGTGGGCTGGACTGTAAAAATTGAGAGTAGAGGAAAATGGAAGGCATCCAGTCTCAGGTAAAATAAGGCCCTCACCAATGCAGTATTAACCAGCATGGGATAGAGGGATATTGTGAAAGAACAGATAGATCCTGTTGTCTGAAATGGTATGTAGAGCAAGTAAAAGGAAAAGATACAAGCTAAGACAAGAGACTCGGGTTTTAAGTGTAAATACCTCAGACAATGAGGTCATTTAACAGAGAATACAGGAGGACGAGCTGGAATCAAGTGAAGAAGAATTTGCTTTGAAGATCAGAGATGATGAAGACTCTCAGAAAGCATTTGGGAAAGTAAGTCTGGAGTGATGAAGAGACAACAATGATAAGAGATATTTGGGAGTCTATTTTCTACAGAAAGTGATACCCAATGAATGACCTGAATCATCAATAGAATGCAAAAAAACCAAAATTCCAAGAACACAACTGGCCTAGTCCTTAGTGGGCAGGAGGGAAGAGTGGTCAAAATAAGACAGAAGGAGCATTTAAACAAGTCAGAAGGAAACTATGAGAGTACAGAAAGATAAGGTATCAGGAGTTTCTATATTGAGGAATTAGCCGACAACATTATCAAATGCTAAAGAGAAATCAAGTAATTTGAGGACTGAGAAACCGCCTTTGGAATTCGAGACTGGGAAATTACTTGTGAATATTAGGAGTTTTTTAGCTCAGGTGCAGGACACAAGCTAAAAATACCTTAGATGTGAAAAATGAAAGTTGGGTGATTTTCAGGTCAAGGGCAAGGAGCAAGAAAAGGGTTGACAAAGTAAAAATATGCAAGAGAGGATACTTGATGAATTAGACATTATCATCACAGAGTGGGGGAAAAAATGGGGCCAAGAAAATGCAACTAAGGACATAGGATACAGAAAAAATTAGAGAACCTGTGTTTTGTCAAAACAGATGAGAATAGTAAATACAGCACAATTCTGTGATATGGGAAGGATCCCAGAGTGAATCTACTTCCCTAGTGAAGTGAGCAGGAAGTACAAAGGTTTTAAATAAATACTGGTTGAAGCAATAAACAGATGGACAAGGTTGGGGCAGAAACTTAAATACTGTGTAAATGGGAAATTCTCAAGGAATGTAACAAAAGATAATTAATTAAAAGAATCACTGAGCAGCACTGAGGCACTCATAGGACAGTCCATTAATTTCCCTTAGGTTTATTTACCTGGACTAGGGTCAATGTTTGCCAATAGCTCCAAATGGGGTCTTAGTCGGTTCAAATTTGCTGGATCTCCAGTTCGCTGGAGAGCAATTGTTAGTTCCTGAACACTTTGTGCAAAAGAGGCTGGGGTCTGCAACTTAAAAACGATAAATATTAACTTTCCAAAAACCAGCTAATCCTTTTAAAGTAAAGATTATTTACAATATTGCAGTCATTTTTGCAACTTATTATATTTAATTTTATCCTCCCACACATTCCAGGCTTTGGCCAAACTGGATTACTGGTGCCTGAGCAAACCCTGCACTTCCCTGCATTCACAGCTTGGCAGATTGTAAACTCTCTTCCCTCTGATGGCACATTCCTCAAATGTGAGCCCTTTCTCAATTCCTCAATTTGGAAGTATACTCTTTCTGTCTTAACGTTCTTAGAGCACTATATTAGTTTGGTTCTTGGAGTGCTTCCAAAGAACTGAAATTTGGAGTCTAGAGATAACACTATACAATACCAAGAACAATGAAACTGAACTCAGTCAAACTGAGCTTGAGTTCAGGTTTTGTTAGAGACCACAAATCATGACACCGGATATAATCTTTACGGACTCAATCGAAGTCCATCTGTGATATGGACTAAAAAATTTCCAAAGTCCACTCCAGCTCAAAAATAATCTTATAATGGTTTGGGATTCTTGGAAGCTATCAGGCTGTATATTTTCCTCAAGCTTAATTAATGACACACTTTCTTACATTAACTCCCTAAGAGGCCCTACATATACGACCTTTAATAGGGGGAAATTGATTAGATTATAGTAACTAAAGGTGCTTACTTGGAAACATTTATTAATATAGATGAGACCCTAAAAGGTCACTCTTTAAAAGGTAATTTTTTTTTTAAAAAAAGCATACATTTTAAAAAACATGAGAAATAACCATTCAAATGCTAACATGCCTTTATTCAATTTTTTCATCTTTGCATGCTTTTTATAAACTTAAAATCATTTACACACTTATGGTTTTGGCTACCATTAATATTATAACAAAAGCATTTTTCTACTGCTAACCATTTTTATTATGAAATATTTTAAACTGTCTAATATAATGACAACACCCATGTATCCATCACTGATACTTAATAAAAATATTACACTTTTTTAAAAAGAAACTGAATGTTATTTATCAGCTGAAGAGAGTATCTGTCTTGAAATAACTTATTTTAATGGCCATATAACCGTATTCTGAGCAGAGAGCTAGATAACTTCTTTAACCATCTGCTTATTTTCTACTTTATAAATAATGTAGCAATTAACACTTTTGAACTCATAACCTTTTTCAAAGTTTGGATTATTTCCTTAAAATATATTCCTGGAAAGAGCAAATTTGATCAAAGGACATGAACATTTTTGAGTTTTTATTCACTGACAAATTGTTTCCCAAAGGTTTTAACTAATGCATTTTACAAACCATAAGCAATGTATGGCAATATATGTCTCTTTTGCTAATTTAATAGGCAATATTTGTAATATTCGTTTTAAATGTGCATTTAATTATTACTGGGGCTGAATTTATCCTATCAATTACATATGTTTCTTCTTTGTGAACTGATAATTCATGTTTATCCATTAATTTACTATGATTATTGCTTTTCATATCACTTTTAATAAATTCTCTGTAGGGTCCAACACAGTAGCCATTAGCAGTATGTGGCTATTTAAGTTAAAATTAATAAAATAAAAATGTAGCTCTTCAGTTGCACAGTCACATTTTGGGTGCTAAACAGCCGTGGGTGGCTAGTGATCACCATATTAGTGCATATATAGAACATTTTCACTACCACAGAAAGTTATACTGTTCTAGATAATAAGATGCCACATACACTGCAAAGTTTAGCAGTTTGTTGTAAGAAGGTCTCTGGATATTAAATTCAAACTATTGCTCATGATGTGAAGATACTGTTACAGGATAAATTATATAGTCTAGTTCACACAAAAAGGTCAACCTGCTTGTAGAACCTTTATAAAAGCAAGCCAAGTTTCTCTTCAGAGGTAGAAAGTTACTTCTTTAAGAGACCATTACTAAGGTTTCAATACATTATAATCGGTCAGTTGCATAATTTCAGACCTAGGAGTTGCAGGTAAAGTTTGGGCAAAAGTATCTAGAAAAGATTTATAGGACAAAACAAGTAATATACATTATACTGAAAATTGTGTAACAAGCATATAAAACACATTCCCCAATTGTCCTTTGACATCAATACACTACTCATTCAAATAATCCTTTCTTGGGAATAACAAAAAGTGACAGAATAGTCTGGAAAGATTTGGTGGTTAAGAACAGGGATTCTAGAGTCAGTATACCCAACTTCAAATCCAGCCCTGTCACTGATTACCTATGTGATCCTGGAGAAATGTACTTAATCTATCTCCCTGGGACAATACAGGGTTATTGAAAGAATTAAATGGATTATTTAAAACGACCAGGCACCAGTAAACTCTCAGTAAGTGTTAAATAGTATTATATTTGATCTACCCTTACATCTTGATCTTATTTCTTTAAATTAAATGTGGGTGGACTCTAAAGTATAATCATCTCTCTAGTTTTAAGTATTTAAGGTAAAATAGTAAAAGTTAATGCTATCATAACATATATATTTACATGGTGCTTTAAGACTTCCTATACTTTCCTATACTTTCATATACTTCATGTTGAATTACAACAAAAACAATTATAGGATTATCCTAGTTTTAATAGAATTAAATATAGCACTTAGAGCCAGCAACAAACAATGGAGCCTGACCATGTGTACTCTAGTGATCTTTTATCATAACAAAGAAGAGATAAAGTAGAAATAAGTTTATTGAAAATTTGATCAAACCTAGAATGACTGGTAACTTATTATGTGAAATTATTGTGGCTAAGAATCATAAGAAACCTCAATGTATACATTCTCCAGAACACTGAATGGCTGTTACAGGAAGACAATAAAGGCATTTAGAAAATGGGTTTAATTAACACAATGATTAAAACTCAGGGAACAAAACAAGAAGGGAGAGAGGCAACAATAATAGAGATGGAAGACTCTCAAAATAAACTAGAGTGTGCCAGATAAACTATTATAACACTAGTCAAATCTTATATGAATAATGTCAATTATACATTAATTTAAAAAACCCTTTATATAAACAAACTGGTATTACTATGTGACAAGCTATGATACTCAGCTACAGATAATGTAATTTATTATTTTTTTTATTCTTATGTTAATCCCCATACATTACATCATTAGTTTTAGATGAAGTGTTCCATGATTCATTGTTTGTGCATAACACCCAGTGCTCCATGCAGAATGTGCCCTCCTCAATACCCACCACCAGGCTAACCCATCCTCCCACCCCCCTCCCCTCTAGAACCCTGTTTGTTTTTCAGAGTCCATCGTCTCTCATGGTTCCAGATAATGTAATTTATAAGAGCCTGACACACAGTATTCACTTTAACATACATTTATTAAATAAATTACTAAATCATGAATTACCAAAACTCCAAGATTAGTCCAAGAAGTAAGGAACAAAAAAGGGTCTACCTTGTCAATAATTGACTGCATATGAGACTTGTGAGACTGGTCTCCATAAAGTAAAGAGGACCATTGGTCTGGTGCAATTCGTAAGCCTGCTTCCATGGCAATTTGCACTATCTGGGAGTCATGTTCTCGCCGCAAAGCTTCATAGGTTCTAAATTCTTCTTTTAGCTGCATCAAAGAAGAGTCTTCATCACGTTTGGTGACCTAGTAAGACATACATAATCTCATGAGTCAGGTAAGAAACAAAATGAGTTTATACTTTATATGAGCATATATAGAGAACAGATAATTTTTAATAACAAATTTAACAACAATAACAAGATTAAAATGGAACACACTGTTTTGCCTGTAAACCATTTCTGCCTTTAAAGACATCAAAATCTTGTGAATAGGTCTTATGAAAAGAATGAGTATGTGCTGGAGGAAAATCCCAAGATTGGATAGACCTTAACACATATATAGAGTTTAAACTGTGTATGTGTAGATACGCATTTTTGAAAAGAAGAAAATACTCGAGGCACCTGTCTGGCTCAGCCAGTACAGCATGTGACTCTTGGCCTCAAGGCATGAGTTCAAGCCCCACATTGGATATGGAGCCTACTTCTTTATATATACATACATATGTACACACACACACACACACACACAAATAAAGCAATGACTTAAAAAAAGGAAAGAAAATATGCAATTATCCTGGAAAAAAAACCCAATGTATGTTTCTTCTTCATAACTGTGGATTATTAAACTTGGGCTTGCCTGGCATTGAGCTGGCTAATACTCCTAAGTGAAAGAGCTTCAGTCAGATGCTTGTATGATTCTAAAGATGATTAATCTGTGCTTAGCTTAATTTTCCACAGAGTTTTGCAGGCTGGGCCACCATCAGAAAGTATAAAATAATAATGATGATAATATCTTTTAGTAATTAAAATGATTAACCCTTATTGAGCCCTTAGTATGTACTAGTCAGTGTGTTAACTTATTTACCCATCATACTGACATTAACTCATTTAATTCTCTAAACTTGTTGAGGTAGGTACTATTGTTATTTTTGCTATATTGCTACATTTTGAATCAAGCTGGGTTTAGGCCAAAGGCTCAAGAAATCAAAGTTGAATAATTTTTTTTTAAAGATTTCATTTATTTGAGATAGAGTGAGAGAGAGCGAAAGAGAGAGAGAGAGAGAGCATGAGCAGGTGGGAGGGGCAGAGGGAGAGGGAGAAAAAAGAATGCTCTCCACTAAGCAGGGAGCCTGACGCAGGCATCAATCCCAGGACCCTAGGATCACGACTTGAGCCAAAGGCAGATGCTTAGCCAACTGAGCCACCCGGGTACCCCCAAAGTAAAATAATTAATTCTAGTTCAGGATCATCTGTATCCTAATATATTTCAGAATATATTTTACCTTGTTAACCTTTTATGCCCATAAAGACTCAAATTCCTCTAGTAGAAAATTCCCATTTTTTTCTTCCACCAAAGAAAACTACAGCAAGACTTCTAGGTCATCCTGATTATATTTTTAAATGTATTCCATTCTTATCAGAAGAAGGTCTAACTTAAATTTTGTTAGGTAAGTCCGTAAAAGACCAAATAGATAAAAAAAAAAAAAAAAAAAAAAATCAAGAACTAGAGTCACAAAAACAAAAAATATCTTGCCACTATTCAAAGGCAAGTCAAAAGACCAAATGCATTATGTGGATGTATAAAAACACCCTCTCAATATAGGCTAAACCTTATTAAAATGTAGAATGTTTTCTATAAGATATACTAGGGTTCTCTGGCCTTGGTCCTCAAAACTGTCTTTTAACTAAAAACAGTCAAAGATTTCTAAGAGATGCATGTCTAAAGTAAGTCCTGGAACTATACTGTACTAAGAAGGACCAGAATTATCCCTGTCTGAAAAGGTTTTCCTTTAAAGATTTTATTTATTTATTTATCATGACCTGAGCCAAAGGCAGACACTTAAGGACTGAGCCACCCAGGCACCCCTGAAAAGGTTTTTCAAATGGAAATAAAAGAGATGCTAAAAGGATGCAGCCAGAACACGGCTATGTGGACACATACAGCTATAAGGAAGAATGGAAAATGCCTACCGATGTGACTTCCACAAAGAAAATGAAATAGGTATTGGTAGATACTTAACAGAAACTCTGCCATGTTGAGTAAAATTTAGGGTATGGACCTATTGTGATGAGAGAAGGTAAGTCTTCTCATGATGGAGATTGTAGGACACATTACCAGCAAGAGAAGAAAGCAGGTAGACAATGAAATAAAGGGAAATAATCATGACTCAAATGAAAAATAATTGGATTTTTACAAATTTCCAATCTCTTTTCAATTACTATTAATGCTTTTAATTAGGATTGAGAGAGGTTCACTGTGGGTATTCTGGGGTTTTTGGACTAATTTTTCACAGGGGGAGGATGGATTTCCTTTTCTTTCCTTTTATTTTTTAAGCTTGTAATATTGTATCTGTCTGGTGCTGTTATTAGAGAAAAAAGAACTCTGGAAGCAGACAGACATTCTGAAGTATATTCCAGATTACACTGTACAATCATGTTATTATAATCATTACAACAAATGTGAGTTATTTGGGGACAATCTGAACTAGCTGGGAGTTATTTTGGCTAGAGTTTCTGACAGTTCCAGAGGTACCTAAGGCCAAGGACAGGGTTGGGTACAGACCTGGAGCGCACACCTCATTTTCATTATATATATAATCTGACTCTAGAAAGAAACATCATAATGTGGGCATTTAGTTATAGAGCTTTAAAATTTTTTTAAAAATTAAATTGGTATGCTTTTGGGGCACGTGGTTAAATGTCTGCTTTCAGCTCACTGAGCTCCAGGTCAGGCTCTCTGCTCAGCGGGGAGCCTGCTTCTCCCTCTCCCTCTGCCTGCCACTCCCCCCGCTTGTGCTCTCTCTCTGTCAAATAAATAAATAAGATCTTAAAAAATATATAAATAAACTGGTATGCTTTCCTGTTGATTTTGTAAACCATTCTATCTTTCTCAGGAAATGAGAAAATAAACTATAGTAGACTGTAGGATTTTTTAGTTTGAGTGTCAGATGAGGGGACATGGTGACCCAGGAATGGATATCCTTATAGTTTGTATGAATTAAAAAATTTTTAGAGGCATGCCTCCCTGGCCCATGAAGTACTAGTTATGTGTGTGTCAGAAGCAAGAAGCCTTGACACTAAGAAGTCAGGAAAACAGGATGAATGATAAATGATACACAGTGAGCATTGATGTTTGAAGCAGTGCTGATTCAATTGGGGATACAAAAGAATATGTGCGGCATTACTATATATACTGAAAATGAAATGGCAAATGAACTCCAGTACTCTATATGTGGAATTACAGCAGGAGCAAAGAGCAAAATGAAACTTCTTGCTTCAATTACTCTCTGTTCAGACCAATTCTGCATATGGTCTTGGTGAAAAAAATGACACAGCTTATTAGACTCTTCAAATATAAAAATCTATAAACCTTAGCTATGTTGTTCAATATCTAATATACAAAACTTAATATAACAAGTTTTAACTTTAATAGGACACCATTTACATTCTTTTTATTTATTTTTTTTACATTTTTGAAAAGAAAAAAATTACTGAAATTTTCTGAGGGGCAACTTTATTAAACTCAAAGTTGTACTACTTAAGTTTGGGAAAAAGACAATGTTTCCTTTTAAGCTGAAATTTAACATTAGTTCATACCTTGAAGCAGGAAGCTCTATAAAGGAGCTGGACAACATGCCCAATGCTAGTTTTAGAGGCCTGAGGAAACCGCGGCTCCAACCTTTGCACCACAAAGAGAACCAATACTTTTCTTGACAAAGCAGAACCATCTTCCAAGGCCAGGAGAACCAGCTTTAAAGCTTCCTCCTGCATTGCTAGGAAAAGTTAGGCAAAACCAAAATTTATCACGTACAAAGATAAGATAAATTTATTTATCAGAAGGGCAATGTTTAATAATTTCTGCAGGTACCACTCGATGGGCAACACAACACAATAACACATATTCACAGTTACACTTTCTAAACATTCTGGGGCAATTTTATATTACACTCTGCATATTTTATTTAAGAAAGCAGATAAAAAATTAATACATTCAAGAAAAACCTCTAACAAACTGAAAACTTTTAACACTGAGAGAAGTTTTACATGGTCTAAAATACTGACATGGAATTACCGAAGCCATGACTGTCAAGTGGGATATTTCTTGGTAACAACAGAATACTACAAAGAACTAGACTTTGTACATCACATTTATAGTTCTTAACACCATACTTTTAGAATTACTAGTATAGTAAATATCAAACTTTAATCACATACCTGGTCCAAGGAACTGGCAGCCCCTAGCCCTGACTGCTGCCCAAAGATTAGAGGAGAGTTGCTGAGGATTCTGGTGCTGAAGAATGAGCTCTGTAACTGTTCGTTCACCTAAAGATCGAGCTGCTCTCATAGCACGAATCCTGCCTTCTTCTTCCACTAGTTGGCAGTGGACCAGAGTCACCAGCTTCCTCTGCATTGGGCGACTCAGAACACTCTGAGTAGTGCTATTCAGACCCACTCCTTTAAAAGAGAGTAAAAGGTTATTTCTAGGTTTACAATGCAATTTTAGAGTCCAGAAAAACTTCCTCTGATGGGCTGACTGACTTACGCATACATGAATAATTCCCTGTTCTACTAGAATGTTTAAAATAAATAATGGATAAAATTATATAAAGCCTAGTTTGCTTTTAAAAGTATACAAAAGCTGTTATCTCATGTAAATATAACACTCATTACAACATTAAATATATCATTATTCATCATAACCATGGAGGAAAAAGGGGAAAAGGCCAGACAACATTAATAATTAGTTTAAGACTCAAATCTTGAGGTCCTAACAGTTATGGCACATTATTTCATAATGGTTAATTTTACCTTCCTAATGAAATAATAAGCCATAATGGCAAGGCAGTTAAGGGCAACTTCCAATTTTATTTCACTCCCTATGGCACACCATATAAAACTGAATAGAAGGCAGACAATCCAGAGTTGTCAAATGATGGAGAGCCCTTCTGAAACCACTAGTATATTCACTTAGTTTTGCAACTCATTCAAATGTTTTCAACATCACATAAACTCTAAATTCACTTATTTGATGTGGTTTGTAATGATATTATTTAGTGTTTGTGGGTTTGATTTACAATAAATAAGTGAATTTCATTAGCATTCACTTAGAGGCCACAATTTTTTTAAAGATTTATTTATGGGGCGCCTGGGTGGCTCAGTTGGTTAAGTGTCTGCTCTGGCTCAGGTCATGATCCCAACGTCCTGGGATCCAGTCCCATGTCGGGCTCCTTGCTCAGTGGGGAGCCTGCTTCTCCCTCTCCTCCCCGCTTGTGCTCTCTATCTCTGTCGCTCTCCCTCAAATAAATAAATAAAATCTTAAAAAAATATATAAGTACAATAAAATATTGATTTATTTTAGAGAGGAGGGGGAGGGACAGAGGGAAAGAGAAACTCAAACTCTGAGCTGAGCACAGAGTCTGACAGGGCTCAATCCCGGGACCCTGAGATCATGACCTGAGCCGAAACCAAGAGTCAGACACTTAAATGACTGTGCCACCCAGGTCCCCCCATAGCCCACAATTTTTATGATAATAAAAACATCTTTAATAAACATGTTTAGCATGGATAGTTGCATCTGATTTACCTCTAGCACTGCTGAGTGGTTTCAGGTACAATGCTAACTCTTCTACACATTTCTTGGCTTCCTCATAATGCTTTGTATCTTCAACCCCACTACACAAAGTAATGGGGGGCTGCTCCGGGACCTTGAGGTCAAAAGAAAAGGTCTGTATGAGTACTCATTAATTAAATGTTTGATTGAGTATATTCTATGCGCTGCTACTCTAACTGTGGTAACATCAAAGCTCCCACTAAATTTTTTGAATTCCTCCAAAGGCCTTTTCTATACTAACACACAAAATTTAACGCATTATTTTGGTTTTGTAATAGCTTTACTGAAATATAATTTGCATACCATATAAGTGACCCATTTAAGATATACAATTCAATGGTTTTTAGTATATTCATAGTTGTGCAACCATAACCACAATTTTAGAACATTTTCATCATCCCTCCAAAGAAGGCCATACTTTTTTAAGTCTCCCCTCCCATATTTCCTTCCAACTCTCCACCAACCATAGGAAAACACTGATCTATTTTCTGTCTCTATGGAGTTGCCTATTTTGGACATTTCACATTAACAGAATCATAGATTCATATAGTAACTTCCAAAGTGGCTATACGATCTTTTATTTTCACCAGCCATTTCACCAAATGAGTTCTATTGGTCCACATTCTCACCAGCATTTGGTATTGTAAGTGTTTTGGATTTTAGCTATTCTAATTGGTGTGTAGCAGAATCTTGTTTTTTAATTTACAATTCCTTAATGACAAATATGTTGAGCAACATTTCATTTGCTCATTTGCCATTTGTGTATCTTCTTTGGTGAAGTGTCTATTCAGATCTTTTCCCATTTTAAAATTATGTCCTTTTTATTACTGAGTTCTCAGAGTCTTTAATATATCCCAGACACAACTTCCTTTCAGATATATGAGTTACAATTACTCTCTCCCATTCTGTGAGTTGTTCTTTCACTCCCTGATGGTGTCCTTTGAAGCACAAAGTTTTAAGTCTTGATTTAGTTCAATTTATCTTTTATTCCTTGTGCTTTTCATGTCATATCTAAAAATAACCACTGTCTACTCCAAGATCATGAAGATTTATGCCTGTATTTTCTTTTTTTTTTTTTAAGATTTTATTTATTTATTTGACAGCGAGAGAATTAGTGAGAGCCGGAACACAAGCAGGGGGAGTGGGAGAGGGAGAAGCAGGCTTCCTGCTGAGCAGGGAGCCCGAAGCAGGGCTCGGACCCTGGAATCATGACCTGAGCCGAAGGCAGACGCTTAACGGCTGAGCCACCCAGGTGCTCCATGCCTGTATTTTAAGAGTTCTGTAGTTTTAGCTTTTGCATTTAGCCTTTGGTTCATTTTGAGTTAGTTTTTGAATATGGTGTGAGGTAGGGTCCAAATTCATTCTTTTGCATTTGGGTATCCAGTTTTCCCAGCACCATTTGTTGGAAAAACTGTCCTTTACTCAATGAATGTTCTTGGCAACATTGTCAAAAATAATTTCATATGTGTGTATTTATCTCTGGGCTCTGTTCTATTCCATTGATCTACATGTCTGTCTTTATACCAGTACCACACTGTCTTGATCACTGTAGCTTTGCAGCTTCAAAATCTGGAGTGTGATTCCTCCAACTTTGCTCTTTTTCAAGATTGTTTGGCTATTTGTGGTCCATTCTGATACCATATGAATTTTAGGATGGTTTTTGTTGTTGTTGTTGTTTCTGCAAAAAGAACCACCACCATTGGGAGTTTGATAGAGCTTGCACTGAATTTGTAGATTGCTTTGGGTAGTACTATGATCTTAACAATATTAAGTCTGCCAATCCATTAACACACAATGTCTTTCTATTTATTTATGTCTTCTTTAAATGTCTTTCAGCAATGTTTTGTAGTTTTCAGTACATAAGTCTTTCGCCTCCTTTACTAAACTTATTCCTAAGTATTTTATTATCTGATACTACTGTAAGTGGATTTGTTTTCTCAATTTCCTTTTGGATTGTTCATTGCTAGTGTATAAAAACACAACTAATGTGTTGATTTTGTATCCTGCAACTTTGCTTAATTCATTTATGAACTCTAACAGCTTTTTAATGGAAATCTTTAGTTAAAATAGTGGCTACTATATATTAAAATGCCCTATCCTTGTTCCTCAGAATGTTAAAAATAAAACTACTCTACGACCCAGTGATTGCACTACTAGGTATTTACCCACAGGATACAAAAATACAGATTCTAAGGGATTACATACGCCCTGATGTTTTATAGCAGCATTATCAACAATAGCCAAACCATGGAGAGAGCCCAAATGTCCATCGACCGATGAATGGATAAAGAAGATGTGGTATATATACAATGGAATATTACTCAGCCATCAAAAAGAATGAGCTCTTGCCATTTGCAATGACATGGGTGGAGCAAGAATATATTATAAGTGAAGTAAGTCAGTCAGAGAAAAACTACCATATGATCTCACTCATGTGGAATTTAAGAAAGAAAAAAGATGAACACATGGGAAGGGGGAAAAGAAAAAAGGAAAGAGGGAAACAAACCATAAGAGACTCTTAACGATAGAGAACAAACTGAGGACAGATGGAGGGAGGTGGGTGGGGGATGAGCTAGATGGGCGATGGATATTAAAGCAGGGCACTTGTTATGAGCAGTTGGTGTTGTAAACAAGTGATGAATCACTGAATTCTACTCCAGAAACAATATTGTACCATATGTTAACTAAAATTTGAAAAAATAATAAAATGTCCTATCCTCAAATACAAACATTAGTTGTTTCAGTTAAGATATAACAAGGTCTTACTCATTTTGTAGAAAGAGTTAGTTCGTCTTTAGACAATTTTATGAAAAAAGTAAGCCTTGGTTATTTGCTATTATAATAGTATATTTCTAAAATTATTACCCTTAGTAAGTCTATTTTTTAAATGTTTCCAAACTATCATAGTGGGATTTTCAAAATAAAGAGAAATGATTATGAAATGAAAAATTAAGTACAAGAAGCAAAAGGATCTATTGCACTTTCCCTTTTGACAAATATTTTGTAGTGTTGTTGGTGACATCACAAAAGAGGTTTAAAAAAAGTTTTCCTTTTGAATAAGCTATTCTCGAACTGCTCTCTTCATTTCTAACATACATAATATCAACCTTTCCTACATTTTAGCAGCCTATATCAAGACTGATCTAGAGAACATTAATGGGGCCAGATCCAAAGTTCCAGTATATTCATTCAGAAAATGATTTATGGTAAATATATGGCATTTCAGACTCACACTATGCAAATTTAGTAAAGGGTTACTTAAGTAGGGGCGCCTGGGTGGCTCAGTCGTTAAGCGTCTGCCTTCTGCTCAGGTCATGATCCCAGGGTCCTGGGATCGAGCCCAGCATCGGGCTCCCTTCTCTGTGGGAAGCCTGCTTCTCCCTCTCCCACTCTCCCTGCTTCTGTTCCCTCTCTCTCTGTGTCTCTCTCTGTCAAATAAATAAATAAAATCTTTTAAAGAAAAGGATTACTTAGGTAAATCATATCTAGCTTTCAAAAGCCTGCCTCCCTTGGCTTTGTGAAATCTTCTGAAGATACTACTAATCTCTAAATTTGAGAATACAGACATTAAATTTTAGAGTATTACCATCAGACTTGCTAGACTAACTTTTATATTGAGATACCTAGGAATATTTGCTCCTATTCTAGAAAAATGGTTCCCAATATGCTCTATAGTTCTTGTCACCATCTTCATCTTTCATTTCAGTTAGTGTCTACTAAGGAAAACTGTCTGAAGTAGCTTCACTTTTCCTATTAAGTAAAATGCAATGGTTATATGAGTAATATTTTCCTCAATATTAAGAGGTCCTTTAGGTTTCTCTAGTGATCTGAACAGCTCAGATTGTTGAGAAAGGCTGAGCACCAGACTGAATGGCTGTTCCTGCGCTATGACCGAGGAACACTCCACTACCACAATCCATCTCCCAACACACTGAAATAAAGGATTTGCACAGTACTGAATAGAATTTTATCTATTTAGATAGAACGCAATGTTGCCCAATTTTAATTCAACAAGTTTCCCTTAGGAGGAAAACACATACACTCAGAAATTAAAAACAACAGTAAGTCACCCATCTTACCTGAGCACCCACTAGCTGCAGCAGAGCTGAGTTCACAGGGAGGAGCTCAATGTCTGTGTTGATAGTGGTCTGGTCAAAGGGGCAAGCCTTGCGGTGGAGCTTATTCAGGCACATCTTGCAGACAGTATGGCCACAACCCAAACTGATGGGCTTTCGAATTGTTTCATCAAAGGTCTGAGTGCAAATCGGGCAGGAGAGGAAATCCGTCCATTGTGGAGCTTGTACAGGCATTGTTACTGGAGTTACAATTCACACACACACACACACACAAAATAATCTAAAGCAAAGATTCCACTGGAATCAAAATCTTTGAAAAAAGTTTTTTTTTTTTTTAAATATCTTCTGTAGATACAGTCAGCACATAGTGTGAAATATAACCTGGAAAACAAAAAAAAGAGAGAGAGAGAAAAATCAGTGTCTTCCTTTTCAATTAAACTGTGCATTCACACTCTACTACCTACAACCTTTGATACCACATTTATATCATTATAGTACATTGTTTTGCACTTTTATAGAATTAGAGCCATAACAAAACATCTAGTTTTATCCTCTCACTGTAGAGATGGGGAATGGACCCCAAAAAGAAAATTACTTGCTCAAGGTAACAAATGAAGTTAGTAATAAAGTTAGATCCAGTATCTAAGTCTCTGAAGTTTATTGAAGTCTATGATTATATTGAAGAATTAGCCTTTTAGGTGGTTAATAATATTATTTCTTGATTTGAACACTAGTTACATCAATCTGTTCGGCCGTGAAAATTTATCAAGCTCTACATTGATGAAATGTACACTTCTGTGCATGTTACACCTCAATAAAGAGTTTTTAAAAATTGGCCTAAGGTAAAAACTACCTTAAATATTTTATCATCAAATTGGGTATGGGTGGGGCTCCTGGGTGGCTGAGTACATTGGGCATCTGCCTTCGGCTCAGGTCATGATCTTAGAGTCCTGGGATGGAGCCCCAAGTAGGGCTCCCTGCTTGGTGGGGAGCCTGCTTCTCCCTCTCCTCCCTGCTCTTGCTCTCTCTAGCTATCTCTCTCAAATAAATAAATAAAACATAAAAAAAAAATGGGTACAGGTAATGAGATAACAAAGAGTCTGTGGGCTTTTTTAAAGTTTGTTTTTAAGGGTCTTAGATATTGTTAAGAATTTTATTTACAGGTAGTTATCTTTAAGCCCCTGGTATGGCCTATATTTATGGCTATTGTGTGTTGTATTAGAACAACTGCATAGTTAAAATTATTTACTTCAAAAGATTTTTTAAATTCTCAAATTTATGAATGATAGAACAATTATAATTCAAACTAAAATCAAATTTCATTGTCTACCCTCTGTTTTTGGCAGAGGATAATAGCCAAATCATAAAACTCATCACCTGTGTCTAATAGAAATTCTTTTTATATATAGAATTCAACCTAAAACTTCCAGCACATATCTTAAATAATACCTACTACACTTACTCTAACTGTTAGGTTCTAAAAATGAGAACTGATGCACAGAACAATAAAGTAACAGTATTACAAGGTTCTTCAAGATTTGATTATGCTCGAGAGACTGCTTAAAGATGAAAAAAATTATTTAAGCTGTAATTAACTATGGAAGTAAATCATCTATATATCTTATTCTTTGAGCATTATATTTAATTCTTGTTTTCCTGAAATAACTCAACCTTATATGCAAGCCCATTATTGATGAGAGAGCAATTTCCATTAGATATGCTAACAATGTATCTACTCATTCAACAAATATTTACTAAGCACTACTATGTGCCAGACTGAATTGGGAAAACAGTGAAACAGCACAGTCATAATATCTGCCTTCTGAGTAATCTTAGTTTTGTTTAGGTTTTTGCAAAGTGTGCTGTAAGATAAATGGATTTTACCAAGTTAATTTTATGTTCAGGATGTTAAAATTAAAGTTATCTGCATGTGTGTTAAAACGGCCCCTGCAATAACAAGAATGAGTAAATAAATTGCTCACATCTTGATTTCTATAATGTTTTAAAGATAAATACTTCTAATAAAACAGATTTAATCAAATAGATTATGAGTAGCTCCAAGTATTTATATTAAATTATTACTACTTAATAAATTGAAACTCTCATCTGGAATGGTTAAAAAAAGAGAATACAGTATCTAACTACTCTATTCAACTGCAGACTCAAATGGTACATTTGTATATGGGGTTAGAGAATGTTCCAAAATAGAGAAAAAAAGAGGTAAATTTTTAGAAGACATAATACTCAGAAAAAAAGAAGTAGGTTATTAGTCATAAACTGCTTGCTGAACCTGATTAAATCAATGAAATATCACCCACATGAACTTTTCTATAGATTAGCACGGCAATTTATATTAATGCCTGCGAAGAATCCGATCTTGATCTCTGCAAAGTAGAGTTTAATGGTTCCTTCCTTTTTATTAGTACGGCCTTGTAGACAACTTAAAATTTGTTAATCATAAGTAAAGATAAAACACAGCACTTTATTCTCTCAAACACTAAACTATACAAACCCCAAAGGGCACAAAACATAAATATTTTATTGTACATTGTTACAATTTTTACTATTTACACAGCTATGTGCCACATACAATGCTAAATGCCTTACACAGAGCACTTATAAAAGGTAGATAATTACTGTTATCCCATTTTACAGATTTGAGAAATGGAGGTTTAGAGAGGCTGAGTAAGATAAAAAGAAATAGAGCTAAGATATTAAACTCAGATATTCTGGCACAAAACCCAAACTCTTAACCATAGCACCATTCACAAATTAAAGGTTAAATATAAAGAAGGAAGAACTACTTGTGACTTCATCCAAAAACCAATGACACAAAGCTGCCCTAATAGCTACTGACCTCACAGCAATTCTGCTAAACTTATTGCCAAATCTAATGGTCAGGTCATTGTTCTAATCTCATTTGTCTTCTCAATAAGGTATGAAATAGCTGACTACTAACTTCCTGCTTCTTGAAAGTGTCAATGAAACACACTTCCCTCATCCTTTCCAACTTGCTGTGTTTTTGATCTCTTAAACTCCTAAACGTTGGAATCATCAGATCTCTATTTAGAGTTTCCTTTTCTCATCATTCTTCAGCTAAAATCCTGAAACAGCTTTCTATTAGATTTAAAGTAAAATCTGGATTACTTATTCTGGTTTATGAAACCCTAAATGATATGACCTATAATTCTACTTCAACTTCATTTTCTAACACTCATCCCCACCACCCCAGGACTGTCTAGCTACTCAAGTGAAGCTTGTTCCCACCTTATTATGTAGTATGAGCTATTCTTTCTCATCTTTGAATTGGAAGCCACTCTTTATCACTTAGATGCCACCAAAAATGTCAAGCCCTCCCTGACCACTTAAAACTCTAAATCACTCTCTAGTCCATCACTATATTTAAATTCTCCATAAAACATTTCCATCATCTATTAAGTAGCATTTTCTTTCTTATATTTTTATCTGCATACTTAATATCTATCTTCTATAAGAATATATATTCTACAAGACCTGAGACCTAATGTGTCTTGTTCACTATGAAAGCTATAGCTCCTCACTACAATTTAGGCACACTAAAAATTTTGTATATAATTTCAGAGAGTTCACAGACCTGTGGAAATCTATTCAGAAATCTCTAAGGTACTTAAAAACTCTAAATTAAGAAATTCTAATCTATATTATTCCTTAATGAGTCTTAAAAAAATACAAGTAGGGGCGCCTGGGTGGCTCAGTCGTTAAGTGTCTGCCTTCGGCTCAGGTCATGATCCCAGGGTACTGGAATCGAGCCCTACATCGGGCTCCCCGCTCTGCGGGAAGCCTGCTTCTCCCACTCCCCCTGCTTGTGTCCCCTCTCTCGCTGTGTCTCTATCAAATAAATAAATAAAATCTTAAAAAAAAAATTACAAGTAAATATTTGAGATTTATTACATGTCAGACACTGCAATATGGAAACAAGTAGAAAATACAGTCACCATCAGTTTTACAGACTTGAAAACTCATGGCTCTCCTACATGATCTCAGATCTGTGCTGCCATAACAAATTTTCCAAATTATTCTGTTTTAACAAGAATTGTTTAAAATACAATCATAAAATTTTACTGGTAAAAGATACCTTAGAGATCATCTGCTTCTAGCCTAATTTTTCAAGATGAGATGCCTAACATTTATTTCTGCCCTATCAAAAGCAAGTATTACTAAGCTTTTTCAAACACCTCTTTTCATTTAATCTTTAAAACTCAAAGAACGGGATGCTGGGTGGCTCAGGTCATGATCCCGGGGTCCTGGGATCAAGTCCTACATAGGGCTCCTTGCTCAGTGAGGAGCCTGCTTCTCCCTCTACCTGCCACTCCCCATGCTTGTGCTCTCTCTCCCTGACAAATAAATAAAATCTTTAAAAATAGATAAATAAAACCCAAAGAACTGGAATCACTTTCCTTCTTTTTGCAGAGAAATAAAATAACATTCAGAGAACTCTATGCAAGGTCACACAGATAGTAACTGGCAAAGTCAGGAAGACACAGCCACCTCAGGTCAGTACTTGACACTGAAGCCTATGTGCACTTTCCACTGCACCAATTTGACATGGAGAAGACCAAAAGGCAAGACAAGTAAAATAGTTACAAAGTCATGCAGCTTGATAATGGCAGAGCTAGGATTAGAAACCAAGTTTCCTGATTCCTAGTTCTAGTGTCCCCTGCACCCCCACCAGAATGCCTTGCATATAAACCTATCCCCAAACACCTGATTTTTAAAATATCCTTGCATACTAAAACCACAGTTAACAATATTTGGCTTGGAGGGTGCCTGGGTGGCTCAGTTGGTTAAGCGACTGCCTTCGGCTCAGGTCATGATCCTGGAGTCCCGGGATCGAGTCCCGCATCAGGCTCCCTGCTCGGCAGGGAATCTGCTTCTCCCTCTCCCACTCCCAGTTTGTGTTCCCTCTCTCGCTGTGTCTTTCTCTGTCAAATAAATAAATAAAAATCTAAAAAAAAAAACAAAAAACAAAACAATATTTGGCTTGGATCAAAGATTCCATTAATCTTGGAAATAATATGTAAAATTGTTTATATACACATGCTCATTCTTCTGGGAATAAGGCCCTGACTTTTATCAGATTCTCAAAGGTTTTATTTGGGGAGGAAGAGAGGGGGAAGATAAATATCACTGACTCAGACATATTGAAATAAAGTAACTGGTGAAAACATAAGAATATAAAAAAATTAGAATGGGGCGCCTGGGTGGCTCAGTCTTTAAGCGTCTGCCTTCGGCTCAGGTCATGATCCCAGGGTCCTGGGATTGAGCCCCGCATTGGGCTCCCTGCTCGGTGGGAAGCCTGCTTCTCCCTCTCCCACTCCCTCTCTTGCTGTCTCTCTCTCTCT